GGCCCCATATAAAAGAAGAGTCTTCTTTTAAGGGGGGGTTCGTTATACCTGCAAATAAAGTTTAAATGTAGAATTTTAATTCTAGGGCTTTTGCAGCAGTTGCCTTACAGTGCAAAGTGCAATCCTGCGGACGTTTAAACTAATACAAAAATAAGTAACCATTCTGTCATTACTAGAATAGTCAATTCTAAGTCAATTCAATTTGAAATGAAGCCAACCTGTTGCAAAGACTAATCCTATGCATGCTTCCTCATAAATGTAAAACTTGCCCTCTCTTGCCAAATTGTGCACTTTCAACTCATGGTGAAACCAGCTGTTAGCCAACATGCCATTCTGTGACATCCTTCTCACTAATCTAAATGAAAGAAGGGAGACAGGAGGCCACTGCCCCCTAGTGCCCAGAAGGCTTGAAAGACAGAAAGTGTGAATGTGTGGAGGCTAAGTTATATTACGTAACTGTGTTTTTCTACTAAGCAACAGTCCTTCCCTACTCAAAGTTATTTTATTGGCACATCAGTAAATTTTTTCAAGTCTATGTAACTCAATAGCATACACTTCCCTTACATTATTGAGATTCAAGTCAGATTTCAGCATGATAGTTCAGAATGCTTAATGATATGTGCTTCCTGGGTATAGTCACCTGAAGAAAGATTCATTGCAAACTAATATTTGACTGGCATTGAATCCATTCCTGTTGCCCAAATATATTTAGATTGTATCCATGCATTATTATGACTTGGCTTTTATTTATTTATTTTTAGTTTTTGTTAATTTTTTATTGAAGCAAATTCAGTTATAGAAGTGGAAAATTGCTGCAGGGAAATATAGCTGTGGAATTTATTTATTTTCCCATGGGGGCGGGTGTGGATTACCTTCCATTTCATAAAATTTCTAGCATTCCTCACTGGTAATCCTGGAGAGTATTTATGGCCCAAGAAGCTCCCTCCACTAAGAGGAAGTTTAACATTTTGGGGGACGGGGCGGGGAATGATCAGTATTGCTAGTTCTAATTTGAAATCAACAAGGCAGATAATTTCATAATTATCTATCTGATCTACAGGTTCCACTGCCAATGAAATGCCTCAAACAATGAATACGGTAAGAAAAATTCCTATGAACAAACACCTTTATCATGATTGTGAACTTCCTGTTAAATCCCAACTCTATTATTAGAAAAGCATATGACTCCTTTTTTATATATACAGTGGTGCCTCGCAAGACGAAATTAATCGTCTAGCGGGTTTTACGTCTTGCGAAGCAACCCTATTAGCGGATTAGCGCTATTAGCGGTTTAGCGGCTATTAAAGGCTTAGCGGCTTAGCTGCTAAAAGGCTATTAGCGGCTTAGAAAAAGGGGGGGGGGAGCGGAAAAAAATCTCAAGACTTGCAAGACATTTTCGTCTTGCGAAGCAAGCCCATAGGGAAATTTGTCCTGCGAAGCAACTCAAAAACGGAAAACCCTTTCGTCTAGCGGGTTTTCCGTCTTGCGAGGCATTCGTCTTGCGGGGCACCACTGCATTTAGAAATATTTTAATAGCCCATGTTTCGTGGCCAAACAATGCCTGGGTACAGTAAAAACATCAGTATTCTATGTGGGAAAGGGCTATTGTGCTCATTCTGCTTGTGGGCATTTGATGGGCAACTGGGGGAAGCAGGATGCTAGACTAGATGGGCTTTTGGTCTGATTCAGCAGAGCTGTCACACTCTTAATCAGCGCCAACCTATGCTTCTTACTGGGGATGAAATAGACATGGGAAACACCTTCTGCAGCCCCTAGCCTTCCAGTTATTTTGAACTACAACTCCCACAGACCCCAGTCAACATAGCCAATATCTGGTTGATGGGAGTTGTAGTTCAAAGTGTTTGGAGGACAAGCTGTAGAAGGCATAGCTGTCAACTTACAGATTTGAAAATAAGGGACCAGCAGCCTTGAAAATAAGGGACCAGCAGCCAAAATAAGGGACCTGCAGCCTCACCTGTTCCAGGCACTCCAGTCTTCCTGTCCTCCTGCAGTCTGGTCAAACTCATGCTGGTAGCTTCGAGAACACTGTCCAACCAACTTTGTAACCAGAGGTTCAACTGAATAGAATCTGAATCACATGCACCACCAGGCATATGCAGCCTCAACTTAAGATGGCTCCCTGGCCTGGCTTTGCACTGCAAAGTTTGCAGCAGCACGTGCAACAAAATGGCGTCCAGCATTCAAAACCCCCCTCAGCTTGCATTAACTAGCCACACACAAGGCATGCAAGCTCCACCCCCCAGTCGTTCTTAGACTTCTTATTGGGTGAGCAACACAGCCAAGCAACACAGTTGGAGCCGCCCTCCTCCCTGGCTGGCTGCTTCCTTTGAAATTTAAGGGACATCATTTAAGGGACATTTAAGGGACATCCATCAATAAGGGACAGCAGCGGGACATGGCGCTGGAATAAGGGACTGTCCCTTCAAATAAGGGACACTTGACAGCTATGGTAGAAGGCTGGATTCGTGTCTCACTCAGCCTGATTCCTAATATTAAATTTCAAAGCTGCCTTTGTGGCTGTGCTCAATCTACTATGCATTTTGGAAAGTAGTTTGTCTGCCTGCGCTCTATGCATTCAGAAACCCCTTGAGATATCACTGCCAAACTGGGCATGACAGTTCCTCAGCCGGAGAAATTAGTTTTCATCAACACTGAGATACCAGGCACCCAGCAGGTGTGAACCCTCTTGTTCCAGTGTGGGTGGGAGGAAGGAGAAAAGACGTGCAGTGTTTCATTCCCCCTTCTTAAAAACCTAAACATTCGCCCCTCCTACATATTGATTCAGGGCTAGATCCGGATCACATGTTTCCTGGATCAGGTTGGGGCTTCTACACAGCCTTAAAACTAACAAATTATATTGTCCATTTAAAAATCTTTGGTTTGTTTCTAAGAATTCCCTGGCAATGCCAGGCACTTTTTCCTAGTAAATAAATAATGGTCAGTGGCATTAAGTCTCTTGTAACCTAATCTACGATTACATCACGGATATGCAATGTGTCCCTTTTTTGATGCTGCCTGACTCCAACCTCTGACAGCGCTAAGCAACATGGACAATAGTCAGGATGATGGGAGTTGTAGTCTAACATGATCATCTACCCCTGGATTGCAAGCTTAATCTCTTCTCTTTTTTTGACCCACCCTGTAGGCCCCAGAACCTTACCGAGAAACAGACCCTGCTGAAGTCTCCTACGCTGTATTGAACCACAACTCACTAAGGACCAAGCGAGCAGCTCCTCCTGCCACAGTCCCGCAAACTTGTGTCTATGCCACACTGGCCCATGACAAAGTCAGGGAGGGTCGGTAGGCAAGACTTTACAGAGATGCTGCATATGCCCCGAGTTCTGGGGTCAAACATTTTAAGGCTGCTTCATGTGTACAAGCGCTGCTTATTTTATCGACACATGTCAGGTGTCATGGGGAGCTAGCCAGTGGTCAAAAGCTGGGGTATCTGTTACAGTGGTCAGAGAGTGTTTTTTGACTCTGCAATTTCGACTTTATGCTCTATCCCTGGAATGTAACCCATGTGTAAGTTGAGAGTCGGCTATATTATATATGTCTATGTTATTTAAAAGCAGAGAAAGATCCACATATGGGTGCTGGGCTGAGAGAAAGAGCCTACAGCAGCTGGATTCCATTCCAGTTCCCCACAAATTCCATTTAAAGAGAACACCCACCTCTTTCATAGCCAAATTAACACACAAAAATAGAATTCCGCTTATCCAGACTGAATCAGAGCCACAAAATACATGGTAGTTATTGTGTCTCATAAGTATGGACTATTTTTTTCTTATTCATATAAAAAAGTGCTTAAATTAGTGTGTTTTTGTTGTAGTTTAGGTAGCATCCAATATAAAACGCCTGCCTTGTCATTTTCCCAATCACATATTGTGTGGTTACAAATTTCAGTCGTTAACAAAAAAATCACTAGATGCTTTGGTGCAGAAGAAAGACCTCTTCTCTGGCAGCAGATGTACTTTTGTATGTGAAACAAAGAAAAGCGAAATAGCTTTTCAAATGGTCCAACGGCACCCTCTACTGGACTACTCTGGGATAACAGGGCTGTTTGTATTACAGGTGTGCATTTTATTTAAAACCTGAAAGCTGAAAAGGCATCAGAAATATTTGCATTGTTATGAGTTTGTGAGTGCCAGACAGCTATAATCTCTGGATCCAGCAAGTGTTAGAATTGAATCAACTCTCCTGAACTCCTGGATCCAGCAAGTGTTAAAATATAAGCCATGCTAGGAGTAGACTAGGTTTCTATTTATTTACTTACCTATCTTTCACTTTTCAACTGCAGCGCTCAAAGAAGCTCCTATCAAATGTAAATAGGGTGTCTGCAAACCAAGCATTTAAAAAACAGAACAAGCCCAACAAATGCAAAAGGCAGCATCTGACATTGTCTTCCCCTCCCTCTCCTCCTTGCATCAGGAGAGTTGGCGGTAAATAGCCAAATGGAGGAGACAGTTCAGATGCTGCAAGCAACTACCTCTCTCGACTCTGCTATTCCTAACTTGAAATGACAGTTCCTATGACCTGGGACTAAGAAGTCATCAAGGACTGCTTCATATAGCAGCCTTAGTTGCCAAAAGAAATTGTTGCTCACAGCTGAGCTAGGCAGGTGAAGATACTTCCTGGGCTGCACATAGAACAATCATATATCTATAAACTAGGGAAAAGTCCAAGTTTTTAGAGTCCAAGCTTCTTAGAATTTTACGGAGTAATGATGCAAATGGTGAGATGATTGGTAATTTATTTTAAGATGCTTTTCTCATTTCCATTTTTATCTTTTCCCCCTCTTTCATTTGAATGCAGAAGAGTCTGGTGTTGTTGGGCTTGTAACCAGTGTACCGCTGCCCACAAACTGAAAGGTGCTTAAGAGTTACAGGGTTTTCTGGAAGTAGGGAAGTAATACGCCAAGCCTGGTAGTTCTTGCCATTCATACTCAGTTTACTGGGTCCATTTTCTTGTTTTTTTTTAAAAGCATTTATTGATCTTCCATTGATCAACCAGTCCATTTTTTAGAAAAGCATTTATTTTTTTTACCCTTGGAGAATGTCAGGCTTAAGACAAATGAACCATGCCTTTTGAAATGATCCAATACTCTGCAAACAACTGTTAACAGCAAATGCAACTACAATCTCCTCTTGCAATTGACCTGCTCATGCACTAAGTGCCACATCACCAAGACAGAGGAATAGCTTTAAAAGACTTTATTCCAATCAAGTATTTTAAAAAGTATTACGCTCCCCTAATACACACATACACACACCATGAAAAATACAAAACCACAAGTTTCTGCCTTCACGCCCCTACAGGATACCGGCCTGATCACGGGGATAGGAACTACCCTGAGGCCTCAAGCTTCCCACTCCTGGAGTCAAGAGCACCCTCCAACCACCCTCTCCAATATAGCACTATTAAAAAGGCCCCCTGCCTCCCCCACCCACTCCCAGTTCCTAAGCCAGGACTGTACATGTTCCAGCATCATCCTGCACATGTCAAATCTGAGACTGGGTGCAAGCCAAGCTGAACTCTTCCATGGAAGTTTCTAGACCTTAAGGCTGTGATGACAGGTTTGAAAGTATGTGAAGTATCAAAAGCCAGAAAGGTGGAGTGGGTGGGAGGGAGCCTATTCAAAATGTCCAGTGACCGTACACAGTCCAGACCAACAAAACAGAAACAAAATAACAGTAGGAAAACTGGATCTTCACAATTTATACAGGTTCAGAGTTTGGTTTATGTTGGCCTAGATATTTGTTTTATTGCAGAGTACATATAGCCCTGTTGAATACACTCCAGCATCTTCTTTCCTGTGAAAATAAAAAAAAATCCAGACTTGCCCAAGTTCATTATAAAAAACTCTAATCCTAAAGTGAACGAACAAGTGCTGGAAAAGCCCTAAAAAGCATTGGGGAAATTAGGAGGAGGCAGGTAGAGCAGCGACATAAGCTTCACTTTAGTTGCTGTATACTATGGCATGAGCAATCCATTCCCTTACAAAGGAGATTTTGAGCTGGAGTTAGCAGCTAACTTGCCACAAGAGATAAGTTCTATAAATGACACACTGCAGTTCAAAACTGCAAATATTAGAGCAGATGGTGATATTCTAAAGCCCTCCACTCCACTACTCCCTGAGGAACCCGGCCATCCAGAGACCTTTCCCAGTGCCTAGCTTGTTTATTTATTAAATTTATATACTGCCCTTCCATCAAAAGATTTCAGGGCAGTTCACACAGTTTCTTCATCCTCCATCCCTGGCAAGGGTCAAGGTGCCTTGACACCTCCCTGAGCACAATTTTAGGGGAGGTGGGGTCTTCTTTTGAAAAGAGAACAGATTGGCTCCAGGCCAAAAGCATGCTTTATAAACCTTACAGAGGATGGAAGAAGCAATGCTAACATACAAGGGTATGTCGGTGTGTGTGTGGAGAGTGAAGTATGCAGAGGCAGAATGACAAGGGCTAGCTATGACAAAGTTTTTTATGGGAATGAGACAGAGAAGCTGTTTAAGATAGGATGCAAGAGTCAAAGAAAACTGGGTTCACCACTCTTGAGGTTTAAAGACAAGCAACCCTCCACCCATGTGAAAGCCATGGAGAAAAGACTCAACAGACACAGGACTGAAAGCAAAGAAGATCAGAGACAGAGCCTAAAGGGATGACTTGATGCCCCCCCTCTCAAAGCGAGGTAGCTTAAAGAGTAAATCCACCTTAAAAGATGGGTAAACACGAGGCACCAACAGGTGAAAACTGAGCCCCAGCCTGTCCTCCAACAGGAGCATTCAGTGTCCTGGCTAGCAACATCCACCCTTCCCACCCCAAACCTTTCCCTAAAACAAAGCCCTTGATCATCTCACCCCCTTCCGTTCTCTTTACCCACCCCACCCCACCCCACCCCACCCCAGCAGTACTACCTAAAGGCTGTGCACTAATCCGCTACTATTAACAAACATGGAACAACACAAACTGACAAGAGTAGCAGACAGGGAAGGAAGCATGGGCGCTCCCAGCAGCAAGGGCCAAAATCAGCTGCAAGGGGCAGGAAAAAAGATCAACTTTTAGCACAAACAGTGATATACAAGTGAAAATGCACACCTCATAATATTTCTCAATATTATTACTGTAAATGTTTGGTAGTGTGTTCTGATGAAGCATACTCTTTCTCCAAACAAGAGGATTACTATCTCATAGTAACGTGAAAATTTGGGTCAAGACTATTGGCACAGAATCACATATCAGCACAAAATGAGCACCATAAACCACATAACTTGCACCACAAGTCACTGTACCTAAACAATTAAGGATAAGGATAAGGATAAGGATGAGGATGATGATAATAATTTATTAGCTGCCCATCTGACTGAGTTGCCTTCAGATGTCTCCTAAAAGTAAGATAGTTGTTTATTTCCTTGACATGTAACAGGAGGGCGTTCCACAGGGTGGGCGTGACTACTGAGAAGGCAGGTAGTTACTGGGATTGTTTGTCCACAACAAACAAAACTGGTATTAAACAACTAGAGAAGTAATGGGGGGAAATGTCTGAAATATGTATTAACATACATAAAGTGAACTGAAGAGAGCAGGAAAAGATGTGCAATTTCAGCTGTATATCAACTGTTTTAAAGAGCAACACACTATTAGTGTGCTTTGACAGACCGACACTTTTCAGCTCTACTTTGTATATACATATGTGAAGTTCAAGTTGAGTGGAATAGAGAATGTGCACAAAGGCAACTTTGCAGATTAATATGAATGATGGTGGAAACAGCTCAAATTACCAGCATAAAGAGGATATATGAAAGAGAGTGTTGTTTATGTTACCTAGTTGTGCAAGTTTCTCTTATGTTTTTGTTTATTTAACAAAATTATCATGCCTTCACATGAATATGCAGTTGCAAGTATCTACCAACATTCTCCACAACACAGATAATGGACTCCCTCTCAGATCCATTAATGAAAATGCTCATGACTGAAGGTCTGTGGATTTTCAGCCTTTTTGTTGTGAAGGAAAATACCCTTCTCCACAGCTAAGTCCTCACACTCACACAACCAAGTTCAAAATATTATCCCTGCACTATAAATACAATTTCCTTATTGTGACAGAATGAGCAGCTACAGCTCCTTCTAGCTGCAGTTGTGCTTTTGAAACTCTTACCTACAAATGCCTAAATATCACTTTTTTAAAAAAAATCAGTACTGGTACTTGGCAGAACTATTAAAAACAGAAGGTCTGGATTATAATATATATCCAACACAGATACCAAGCAAAACTCTAGAAGCAGCTCTAAAAAACAGATTTCTCTGTTTCAGCGCTCAAAAACTCATCCAGAAGACAGATGCTATCCACAGTTAGAAGGAACTCTCACCAAATTAAAAGGATTTACTCCCAAGTGTGCATAGAATTGCAGCCTTAAACAGCAGTGACTCACAGATGCACATCTGTCTCTTTCAGAAGCTATATGGAGAAGGCATTAAGACTGAAATGCACCAAATTGGAAACAAAACTGACGAAGAAGGGAGAAAAGAGAAAGTTAAAGCAGGTCCTGCTGATTCCTGGCTATGGATTTTTCCAAAGTCAACACCACAAATCTCGCTATGAAAATGGCTGCAAAATGAAGCAAGCATTCTCCGAAAAAGACTGGCTGCAATACAGCCCACCTGTTGGCTTCTCATCTTCAGCTAATCTTCAACTAGATTTCTAAGTACCCCGCTGAACGTAGCTCAGAAAGAGGCTGGAAATCCCAAGAACTGCCAGACAGGACCACAGGTCAAAAATACAGATGATCTATTTACTGTACTGCAATGACATTTGAACTGAACCCAGCCACTACTACATGAGTAAGAACCATTTATCCAGTCCAAGCCAGCACCTCACAGAAGGAAGGTCCTTTATCACAATGCCCCTGAGCCAAGGAATCCTCTGATCGGAGCTAGGAAAGTTCAATTATTTCATTCTCTACCATTTGACTACAGTGTGAAATATTTGCATAAAATTATCAAACTCACTGGTATTCTAAAAAACCATTTAACCTCAGCCATATCTAAGTATAAAAACATGAATACCTTAAAGGTCAGTAACAGTGTAAAAAGCCCCAGTACACATTCATTGAAAAGCCCCAGCAGGGAGGAGAGACAAGACAGACCTAATACAAAAGCAGCTTTAAAAACTAGAAAAGTGGATGTCTTGTAACAGTAGGCACCTAAAAAGCGGTTTGTGGGAGGGGGTAGAAAGTGAGAAAGAGGAGAGAAGAAAGAGTAATTCCCTAGATAAACTTGTTTAAGCAAACAGCAGTCATCAGGCTAAATGGGCTGAATAGGCATGGGTTGCATGCGCATGTGCACTTCTGGTTGCTGGTTTTCTTACAAAGAATTAAAGAGGCTTCCCTGATTAGATGTAGGCTTCCTTTACCCGCCAGTCATTTCACTCTCACCAGCCTCACAACCTCCTTAGGGGCAACAAACAGCAAAAGCACCATGTGTGTCTGTAGTTCCATGGTTGAACTGCTACAAACTAGAGCATTGGGATACCTGGAGTCAAAAGGTGAAAGGAGCCTGGGAGAAAGCAAGCGGAGTTCCACGGTAAGATGACAGGGAGAGTCAATCCCAGACATCCATGCAGCCTGCTATATGGCTTAAGTTTCAGGGGTAATGGATCAAGGTTTGGCCTGGTTGTGGAGGGTGCTTCTAAAAAGGAAAGTGAGAGTACAAGTGTGATGGAGGGAGCACCCCGGAAAGAGGAAAAACGGGAAGTAAATCTGCTTTAGAACGAGAGGAAATGGAACACAGGATGGTGTTGTTAGCACAGATATATCCTTGAGCCCTTTGTGAGCATCACAACAGAACAAAAGTGATGGTTTCTCACCCCCATACAAGGTGATTGGGACAAAGATGAAAAAGTCAACAGATGCTTTCAGGCAAATTCTGGTTGGTGGGTTTTGCCCTGGCTTATCAAGGATCAAGCTTCCGCAAGCAGCTGAGGGAGCCTTTGCAAGACCTGGAGACCAGCCAGATCAAGATAACTCCTCACAGGAGTTGGAGGCCACTTCAAGGTTGATGGAGCCGTGGCTTACGACCAGTCGAAACCGCTTGGGTGGCACAAAAGGGGGAAAGGAAACAATTTGCTTTGGGGGATGCTGCTCCTCTGTCGGCTCCTCCTTCCCCTTGTCTGGAGGGGGCTGCTGCCAGTACTGCCTGCCTCTAAAGAGGGGGGTCTCCAAGCGGACATGAGCATACTGGGAAAGTTTGGGGTCTACTGCTGATAGTGAGACTTGGGGTTTGGGCAAATCCCAAGTTTGGCGTCGGGTCATGCTCCTTGTTCTGCATAAGACCTGGCCAGAAGAGGAAGAGCCTGTAGAGCCAAGGATCTCTTGGTCCCCTGGGTATAGTTCCCCAGATCCTGATCCATGAGACCCCATGATCTCAGCGGGGTTCTTCACATCTCCTGTGTAGTGCTCCTCTGCCCCCTGGCTAAGCTCCCCGTTGCTGCTATGTGGTTCTCTCTCACCAATCCCACGCACCGCTTCTCTGCGCAAGCCTTCCCAGTGCAGGGGAACTCTCTTGCCAAGATTCACCACCAAGTCGCTCTGGTCTGCCCAGCTCGGGCTCTCAGGTCTATTGTACGTCCTTGTGAAGAAGAAGCTTTGCTGGGTCTCAAAGTGGCTGCTCTTCCTGCGCGAAGAGCGGCGGAGATGTGATGCAGGGAACATGGAAGGAGGGCAGCGTTGCAGATGCACCAGTGGCTGCTTACTGAGCTTGCAGCTACGTGCTGTGCAGCCCAAGCAGTTGTGCAGGGGGATACATAAAGGCTTTAGTATCCTCAGGTACCAACGAAAGGCGGATCTGCGGAGAGCAGCTGGAGGAAGAGAAGGGAGGTCAGCCCTAAGAGCAATGCTCCCCACCACACCATCCATCCCAAGCTGTAACCTATTTAAGCAGTGGTACCACTGGACCCTTTGCCTGAAAAGTACCTTTAAGAGTTAAATTGGACACCTCAGTAGAGGTGATGCTGCAAGTCATATGCACAGTACATGGGTTTGGGCAATACGATACCATCAGCTATCATTACAATAGGGGCCCCCTCTGGAAATGTGACCACTAATTAAAACTAGCTGAAGAGTGAGTGTCACCACTTGTCTCTGCAAAACAAAATCCATGAATTGCAGTTGCTCTGGAACTCTTGTTTTTGAGGGTATATAAACTCTAGGCTTCACAGATACTTCTGGTACTACACGGTCACCTTGACTTGCTGAAATCACTCTTGCTGCCTGCACAGAACCCAGGGTCTGACTGTTATCTCCCCATGCTTTTCCTTTGCTGCCTCCCAGGTTCCCTATTTGGTGCAGCTGCTCAATGCTTTTTCAAGTCTCTCCTGGTTCCTGCTTCTCTGGATCCCTGAAGTAGAGATTCTGGTGCCAGCTGCTCAGAAGTCCCTTTTCAGGGTTCTGGCTTGTCTGTTTGTCCCTTTATTTCCTACCTAATCCAGGAGCTATATGCCCCAGTTCCACTTCTTCAGGATTGTCTACCAAGGCTGGGAAATTTATTTCTTGCTACATATACTATAATCTGGAGATCTTTCCTCTACAAAATGTAGCCTCCACATTTGCTCCCTCTTCCTATCTTCAGTGCTGTGTGTGACTGTTTTAGAAGCCACCTCCTGGTACTCCCTGCCCAGTTATGCATTACTGAGACCTGCTCTGACAAGTGGGCCCAGAGAGAAAGAGCAGGCTAGTGCACCTCCAGTTTCTCACTCCTCCTCTTACACCCTGTATCCTTGCTCCTTCTTGTATGTATGTGTGTTAGCTTAGTCATGAATACTTAGCTAATTCTCCCAAACCAAAAAAACTGTGTATATTGTTGCTGAGCTATTCCCCACTGCCAAAATATACACATCATTAGCTGTTCCCCATTGAAGTGCTGCAACTGTATACAGTGGTGCCTCGCAAGACGAAATTAATCCGTTCCGCGAGAGTCTTCGTCTAGCGGTTTTTTCGTCTTGCGAAGCAAGCCCATTGACGGATTAGCGCTATTAGTGCTATTAGCGGTTTAGCGGCTATTAAAGGCTTAAAGGCTTAGGGGATTAGCTGCTAAAAGGCTATTAAAGGCTATTAAAGGCTTAGCAGATTAGATAAAGGGGGGGAAAAGCGAAAAAAAAATCTCAAGACTCGCAAGATATTTTCGTCTTGCGAAGCAAGCCCATAGTGGAATTCGTCCTGCGAAGCAACTTCAAAACGGAAAACCCTTTCGTCTAGCGGTTTTTCCGTCTTGCGAGGCATTCGTCTTGCGGGGCACCACTGTATTTTGATTCTCCGTGTGTGTGTGTGTGTGTGTGTGTGCGCACACACACACACACACACACACACACACAATAAGCACCCCATTTAAAAAACCTGTGTGAATGTTTAGTTGCTGGGTAAATCTACTAAGATGCATTATTGCCACTGTCTAAAGGCCCTAATTCATGAGACTCACAGAACGTGTGGATGTGAAACATGTGTCTACCAAAGAAGATTTATTAACACCACTTCAACTCAGGGGAAAGTGCTACTCTTTTTCCTCACCACACAGATCACTGTAATAGCACTAGAGTAATTTTTCTTGTGCTGAATTTGATGAGGCATGGGAGGGAGAAAATGGGTGCAAACTAGCAGGCTCATCTCTTTTGCAAGGCTACATTGAGCAGATGCTCAAGCCACATGTTACCTTACAGAACTGCAACCCACAAAATCTTGTTTCAGCAAGTCAACCCTTATACATCTCACCATGTATTTTTGCTTTCCTGCGCCGGGCCTTGCATCCCACTTTCACACTGAGTCGGGCCAGCTTGTATGACGGACGTTTCCACCGCTGTAGACGGCCATCTGTCTCTCTGAGCAGATAGTTATCATTGATTGAGGTAGATTGTGGAGGTGTTTGATTCAGGAGGCGGTAGGCTCCTTCCCCCTTCCTGAAAGAGGAAACAGTTGATAATTGGGTGAGGTGTGTAACTGCACAATAATGGAGCTCTGCATTTACTAAGCAGTTCACTCTGGCTTGTATGTATGTGTATAAATGTACACCCACACCCTTGAAGCCTGGTTTTACAAGATAACCAATAATAAGAGAAAATCAAGACATAGCAACCATTATAGGCTTTTATGGAAGGAGGAAGGAAAAAGGGAAAGGGGACAAATGAGATCATTCACTGATCTCCTGTGGAAGAGTATGTATAATATCCTCCCCCAATCCTTAGGTGCTGCTGTTGCTCTTTAAAAGGTTATGTGACGGCCCAGGAGGAAATAGCTGCCATCCAAACTGTGCTACCTAGCAACCAACCCCAGGAGCGCTCCTATCCCTTGAGGATGGAGCTTCTCTGTACCTGAGCAGTTGGACAGTCTGCAACTCACAGGCACGGTAATAGTATCAAACCACTAGAAATACCACCCATCCCCCAGCTGAGATTCCTTAAGACTTCACTGCCCACAGCCTTCACCTTTCACAAGTGTAGCATTCGCACAACTCATTGTCCTCTCCAAAGAAGCCGTCTCCATAGAAGCATGTGATCTCATCATCTGGCTCAATGTCCCGCAGCACCTTGACGCAGGCAGTGTTCCCATCCATTGGGACAAACTGCAGTACAGAGACAAACAATGTACAAGGGGAAGGAACAGCAGGAAACAGGAAAAAAACCCAGAAATGTAGAGGTTCAGGATGCTCTCCGGGGGTGTGTGGAGGGAGACAACAAGCAGACTCCTCCTCTTTCCTCCCTCTCAGAAATCCCAAGTGACCCAGCTCTTATTTTCACAAGACTCTATTTGCAGACACAGAAATTCTTGACACTGGGCTTCTAGGCACTTCTCAGAAACAGCACGCTAGTATGAAAAGAGGCAAATAAATTTATTTTTTTCTAGACCTGAACTATGGGGAATGAGGGTCATGCTTCTAGCCTTTATGATGCTGAAGCAATGGCTGAAACTCAGCATCCTGAGAAGCAGTAGAAGAGAAACTGGGTGGGAGAAGCAGTAGGAGAGAAACTGCCAGGACTCGGCAGGGGGAACTTTTGTAAGTCATACAGCTTCCTTCCTCTCCCAAATATTTACAAGGTATTACTTGCTTCCTTTTTCAACCTCTTCCAACATATCCTACACCCAAAGCAAACACCACAATAATAAATGATTTCTAGGAATGAGTTTGTGTGGCTTGTACCAAATGCGAAGCCTCAGAATTTTAAACAAGGAGTGCCACCTCTACTAGCAATAAGCCAAAATGACTTACCTTACAATTGGGCCTGCAGTCTGAGAGGTTCCACGGTGAGGGACAAATTATATGGGGTGGGGGATAGGCAGTAGTGGAGAGAGATTTTCAAAAAAAAAGCAGAGACAAGTTATAAAGATAGTCCACTTGTTCAGACACTATTTACATTTCAGCAACAGGCTAGAAGAGAAAAAGTATGCTGCTGCTTTTCAACAATGCATCCTGCTTTCTCTCAAAGCAATTACAAGTTGGGGTAAATTATCATTTCACTAATAACCTAACTTCCTTCCAGCCTTCCGTCAAGAAATAACATGGCAGCATTCATTAAGTTCCCAGCCAGACACCAATCCATGTACCATTCACACTGAAAGCTGCTTCGCTTCAGGAGGGTGACTGCATCGTGTGCCCTCAAATCATGCCCTGGCAGGTGTGGGGTCTAAACATAGTACCCCAATAAGCGCTCTCACTTTTTTCTGAAGACAAGCTTCTAAGCTTTCTAGCCTTCTAAGGTTGTGAAGACTAGCTTGATGCTCCTGCTGAAATCCCAAAGCCTCTGGGGAATGGGGAGCTGAACAAAACAGTGTGCTTCAGAGAGGGAGGAGACTTTCAACTGCACTGTGTAGGATTTTTCTTGCCTTCTACAGAGAACTAAATCCAGTTTCAGTGATCACATGATCTTAGTTACCTGAAGTCCAGAAAAGGGTAGGCTTTTCAGCCATTAATAACTCTTGGGGAGGGGAAAGAAGTTTCCATTCAAGGTCACATAAATGGGGTGCTAAAATAAGCAATCTAAAAAACTAATTCTTACTGGCCTTTTCATGAAGGGACCTAACATAGCTCAGTGAAAGTTCCAGGTTCAGTCCCTGGTACCTCCAGCTGGAAGGACCAGGTAGTAGTAGATGGTGGGAAGAACTCCGGAGAACTGTTGTCAGAGTAGGCAATGCTGGGACCAATGATCAAATAGTCTGACTGCTATAAGTCAGTTTCCTATGGAATGTACCAACTGATTGCACCCTAGACTTCACTGGAATGACCAATTTCTTCACTTTTCAATTAATTCCAACAAAAAGCCTACCAACTTGAAAGCTAATTAAAAATACATATAACATCTTAAGCAAACCTGTTCCTACACCCCACTTATCTTAATACTCATTCCCAATCCTCCTTACATTCTTCCTGTACTCGCCAAAATAGACAGAATCCTTAGGAAGTGTATACTAAAAATCAAATTATGTACCAGATTTAGAAAAGGAACCTTTTACAAGTAGCTTGGAATGAGTACTGGAAACTTTATTCGATCCTCTCTATTATGGATTGGTTTCTGATGGGTCCCACAAGCTGCTAAGATTGAAGTTATTGGTTTTTTTGTTTGCCTTTACAAACTTTATTGAAAAATTTAAAAACAATTATGAAACAAAAAGTGTTGTCTTCCAAGACAAACACATGGAAGTTTGATAAACTCAACTGAAGGAATTGAATATCTGTTCTTTCTGATTTAGGCAGTTAAACGGACACCTTTGAATTCAATATTTTAATTTGCACTATAATGAGATACTCTATGGACATACATTGGTTTAATTGTTTTCTTCAATAAAAGTATTTAAAAAAAACAATTTGTTGCAATTTCATTCCATACTGAAAGGGACTTTCTGGTGTTAATCTGGGACCTGCTATACCTGCACATAAATCACATCCAGCAGTTATGGTATGTTTCATGCATACAGGAAAGCAGCTATGATGGATCTAAATGTCTGGATTTCTTCTGTAGAAGCTACTTGGACCTTTGCACATTTATTTACTGCTTTCAATAACACTCATGGAGACCTTGGTATTATAATTAGAGTAGCAGAAAAGAAGCCATGTTGCCTAAACAAAATGTAAATCAGCACTGGAAGTGTGCAAAAGTTCCCCAAGTAGGGAACTGCTAATACGGCAGGGGTCCTGGTTCCTCATTCCCCCACCCACATCAGATAGATTATGGTAATTCATAGTCTACATTGTATGCCCACATGAACAGTAAAATTAATGGAAAAACAAAATGCAGAGATGGAGTCAAAGGGCTGTAGGGCACTAGAACTCTGGGAGGTGCAGAAGTTATGAGAAGATCTATGGAACAACGATTCAGAGGCAGAGCCAGGACCAGCTGCACATTCCACATACCATGATTAATGAAGGCTGCAGGCCCCAGCCATAGCTGGGCACACTGTTTGCGTGTGGAATACATGATGCTGAAGTCATTTTCACCAGTCCGCAGGAGACTCTCGTCTGGCTCTGTTAGCTCTGTAATATAACCCTCCAGCAGCTCCAGTTTGTCATTCTTTTTCCTTATAGGCAGGGAGAAAGACACAAGCATCATAGATTAGCTGTCATGCTCCCCATAAGTGTACAGTAGGTGAGGATGGTGGGCAAATTTAAGTTCACTTTACTGAATATTAGTTCCCTCCCTGCATTATAGATTGGGAATACAGTGGTACCTCTGGTTGCATACTTAATTCGTTCCGGAGGTCCGTTCTTAACCTGAAACTCTTCTTAACCTGAAGCACCACTTTAGCTAATGGGGCCTCCCGCTGCCACACGATTTCTGTTCTCAACCTGAAGCAAAGTTCTTAACCCGAGCTACTATTTCTGGGTTAGCGGAGTCTGTAACCTGAAGCGTATGTAACCTGAAGCATATGTAACCCGAGGTACCACTGTAGGGCCTTTTTGAGAACTTTCCCCCAGAGAATCAACAGCTCATTGAGCCTCCAGAACACCAACAACTTCTGTCCAAGAGGGAGATAGTCATACATGTTACCAACAGTGCAAAACACTGGAAAGTTTCTACACCCCTGCTTGCATTCTACCTGCATTTTTGTTGTTGTTGCTCTATTTAGTTTACTAAGAGTTTAGGATTTCATTGGGTGGAGTGGGGTGCCCCTGGGCTCCTTGCGCTGCACATCTGCTTAAGTCACTTTGACACTTTGTCAGCTGGGGCAACTGCTAGCCAAAAATATCTTCCTGGTGGTTTTTGGTGCCAGCTGGAAAGCTTTTTATTTTCCCAGGACTTAAAAAAAATGTTTTAATTTAAACTTTTAGAATTGCGTTAAAATACTATTGATATTGCTTGAGGATTTGAGATGGTTTTTATTTTCTGTTGCATTGTTTGTTCTTGTTTTTATGATTTATAAATTGCATTTCAATGTTTTCATCATTACTGTAAGCCATATAAGGTTACATAATACTAGCAAGTGGAAGGGTGTTACATGGAAAGGGTGTCAAACCACCACACCCTACCATGATTTTGTAGCGACCACACGGGCACCATTTATTTCCAGGGAATACCGGGTACAGCGCTTGATGGCAAAACCACTCTCAGGAAGGAAGATGCGAAGGTAACGAAATATCTGTAGAAAAGAGATAAACAATTGGCTCCTAGTTAGTAATTCTGGCTCCCTGCTTACCCCCTCATCAGAAGTCTAGCCAATGCTTCTCCTAAGAACCAAGGAGCTATCATAGTCTTCCTATCCATCAGCCGGAGCAAAAAAAGGATCTGATGGGGAGTGGGGCATTAGAGAAAGTGCTTCGGAGAAGAACAGACAGCCAAAACTGCCACTCATATTATTTTTTTAAAATCCACATTTAAAAGGGAAACTGCAACATAAAACTGCTGGAGGGATACATCAAGAATGTCAATGTTATCACTTGTGGAATGTCTGGACTAATTGACCTAGCAGTGTCAGCAGGTATGTGTCATGAAGAACTATTTTGAGGATTAGCATTGCTAATTAATGACCTCTGTTGGTGTAAAGGTTCCTGTGAAATACGACCCAAGGGCTCTTTCACATATCTGAAGCAAAAACAATCCCTCCCATGCTCACTTTCAGATTTTGACATCTTTCTCACCCTCCCTCTCCCGAAATAGCAAAGAGGTAGCAAAGAGGTAAAAGAGCTGTACATGAGTCTTGAAGGCAGCCTCCTGCTGACGGCTCCGCTTCGCAAAGTACTGGCAGGCCCATCCACCTTGCATCAAGGCCTGATATGCCATGTCTAGGTCCTTGCGCTTCCGGAAAGCTTCTACTGCTTCCCGCAAATGGTGCTTTCTTCTGATGGCTGGGAGTGGGCTGAAGGGATAAGAAAGAGAGAGGAGTTGGGTTTGCTTTGAAACACACTGCTTTCCTTATCCCCCTCAATCCCAAGCCTCACCACTCCCCCTCAATTTCTATTTTGCCCTGTGTTGCAAGTGGAATCTTCTTGGGTCTTTGAGACCTTAGGCCCTCACCTTACGTTCATCTTATGGGTCTTAAAGCCGAGGTAGGAGTCGAGAATGAGTGTTGTAGCTAGATCATCAATTTCACATAGCTCCTTGGCAGTCACACGAGTAGAACCCATCTTCCTTCCAGAACCATGCTGTACTCAGCCGTGCTACCTGCAAGAGAGGGGGACAGAGTCAAAGATGCACACACACACACAGGAAAGTTGGGGTCAGTGCATAATTCCCACCCCTAGTTACCAAAATTCAGATTAAAGAAGGTAATGAATTATGTAGAAACATGTTTTGACCCTAAACCGCATCTGCATTCTCTGAAATCTTTGGTTTCCCTATGCATGTGCATGCAGATCTGCCCACAGGTTTATTTAAATTCACATTATTCTTTTTCCAATATTCTCATGACATTAATATAACATTCTCAGTAACCACTTTTTTTGCTAGGTACTGTAAACTGTAATCTTTATAACTGAACTACAAGCTCAGCAAGACTTTATTTACATTTGTAATAAACCACAAAATTAAGATTGCATTGGGCTAATCTTTATTCAACAAAGTGATTAACGAAAACATGTTTTTAATGGACTGGTCTTACTGCAATCATAGTATTTTTTTACAGAAAAGTCTGCATGTGACACTTATTAAAGCCACCCTATTTAAGTGGGAACTCATATAAGAGACTTGATTAAATCCACCATGCCAGGAATTCTGTCTCCAATCTATTCGATCCAACCTCATATCTCTGTTACCTCCTCACCCCCAAAATCAGCTTTAAAACCTCCTACTCAAATATTTTTACTTTACAAAGGTTATATTTCTACACAGCCCCTCTTGCAAACACTGAATACTTAACTTTTTCCAATTAAAAAAACCGACAAAACCATACTACAATAAAATCTATCACCCCAAAAAACCCTGAAATCACTAAACCTCACATACTCTCAAGATACACAAAATGGTTGTATACTATAGTCAACTCTAGAACATCAGTTGTCCAGAACTTTCTGTGGGAATATGCTCCTCATAGCAAGGGTCACTAAACGTACTTAGCCAACATCAATCCAAACTCACAAGAAGGAATATCCAACGGATCTCCTTGGAAAGAGGCATTGTTCACCAGGGGCCTACAGATATTAGCTTGATTTACTAGCCTGACTCATTCCTACCCCAAATCCTCTGGCACATGCAGAGGGCTTAAAGAAGGGAAAGAATTTCCCGCATTTGTGCTTGGGCACAGAGAAATTAGGAAGCTGTGACAGAGTACAGCTGTTTCTTGCTTTCTTGAAACCAGAGCACATTGGATTACTTACAGAAAGGGATGCAAGCTGTTGGGTATCATTCTCTCCAGAGGGCCAGGGACACTGATAAAGGAACACTTGTTCCCAAAGAACAAGAGACCAAAAGAGAAGGGGTTGAACAATGACTGCTAGCTAGGAACTGATGTCAATTTTTTTTCAGCCAACAATTCTGCACAGTTGCTATGTGCCAATATAAAATGCTACTTTTCCATTTAGGATTTTTCCACCCAGGGAACATGCATTGATGCCTTTGTGGGACACTTAACTTCTTTATGTATAAGAAATTTTTCAAGCAAAAATAACATGTGAGTTTAAGTCACTCACTAGCTTCCTAGTTGTACATGAGGATCTCCAGAATACAGCTCAGAAAGGAACCTGAGGTCATCTCATTGACTGCCCACTACATGTCATTTCAGACAGCAGTCATGACCTACATTTAGAAATAGATTATAATCACTTCATTGCTTTGTTCAGGGATACAACTCTCTGCCTTTGAAGAAGCAACTCCCAGGCAGGTCAATGCTGAGCAAAGGTCGGCCAGAGCTACAGTAGAATAGCTACCAAGTCCCATTTGTAGATTTTCTGGAGAAAGAAAATGAGTTAGGTTAATTTGCATCAGAGAATTTCCTGATGCCTTCAAGAATGATCTAATTCAGAATGTTTATTTGCATTTAATAAACAAACTAAAAACTTTAAAATTGGACTTTAATTGTATGGTATTTGCAACTGACATCCATTCATTGTTACTAATGTATACTAATGGGAATTTTTCTGCAATAATAATAATAACAACAACAACAAAACACTGGGGGGAAAAAATTAAATGATATTTATTAAGGTTTCCAAAAAAAGGTTACATATATAAGAAAAAGAAAAATAGAGAAAAGAAAAAATACAAAATACAGAAAAAATAAAAGAGACTTAAAAAACAAATCAATCTTCCCATACCTTACATTTCATTTACTTGTTTCCCTGACCTCCTCTCGCCTCCCTTTTTTGTATTCCAGTTCAGTTAATTAATTCAGCAATTCCTTTCCCTCTTTATTTTTATCTTAATCCTTTAACTTAACTTATTATAGCTTTAGATTCTCACCTGTTAACAATCCATTTTTACATACACCTTTATAACATTGCTACTAAAACCACTTAACTTCATTCTGACATCATTCTAACATTCATTAATTTTGCAGTATTTCTGTAAATAGTCTTTAAATTTCTTCCAATCTTCTTCCACCGACTCTTCTCCCTGGTCTCGGATTCTGCCAGTCATTTCCGCCAGTTCCATGTAGTCCTTCACCTTCATCTGCCATTCTTCCAGAGTGGGTAGATCTTGTGTCTTCCAATACTTTGCAATAAGTATTCTTGCTGCTGTTGTGGCATACATAAAGAAAGTTCTGTCCTTCTTTGGCACCATTTGGCCGACCATGCCCAGGAGAAAGGCCTCTGGTTTCTTCAGAAAGGTATATTTAAATACCCTTTTCATTTCATTATAAATCATCTCCCAGAAAGCCTTAATCCTTGGGCACGTCCACCAAAGGTGAAAGAATGTGCCTTCAGTTTCTTTACATTTCCAACATTTATTATCGGGCAAATGGTAGATTTTTGCAAGCTTGACTGGTGTCATGTACCACCTGTAAATCATTTTCATAATATTCTCTCTTATGGCATTACATGCTGTAAACTTCATACCTGTGGTCCATAACTGGAAATTTTTCAGCCCCTCATCACTGATCTCTAAAAAAAGAAAACTTGGACTACCAGATTTATTCTCACACACACACATTTAAGTAAGTACACAAAGATTGATACATTCTAGGAACACATTCCATGTTGTTGTTGTTTAGTCGTTTAGTCATGTCCGACTCTTCGTGACCCCATGGACCAGAGCACGCCAGGCACTTCTGTCTTCCACTGCCTCCTGCAGTTTAGACAAACTCATGCTGGTAGCTTAGAGAACACTATCCAACCATCTTGTCCTCTGTCGTCCCCTTCTCCTTGTGCTCTCCATCTTTCCCAACATCAGAGTCTTTTCCAGGGAGTCTTCTCTTCTCATGAGGTGGCCAAAGTATTGGAGCCTCAGCTTCACGATCTGTCCTTCCAGTGAGCACTCAGGGCTAATTTCCATAAGAATGGATGCATTTGATCTTCTTGCAGTCCATGGGACTCTCAAGAGTCTCCTCCAGCACCATAATTCAAAAGCATCAATTCTTCGGCGATCAGCCTTCTTGATGGTCCAGCTCTCACTTCCATACATCACTACTGGGAAAACCATGGCTTGAACCTATACGGACCTTTGTTGGCAAGGTGATGTCTCTGCTTTTTAAGATGCTGTCTAGGTTTGCCGTCGCCTTTCTCCCAAGGAGCAGGCGTCTTTTAATTTCGTGACTGCTGTCACCATCTGCAGTGATCATGGAGCCCAAGAAAGTAAAATCTCTCACTGCCTCCATTTCTTCCCCTTCTATTTGCCAGGAGGTGATGGGACCAGTGGCCATGATCTTCGTTTTTTGATGTTGAGCTTCAGACCATATTTTGCGCTCTCCTCTTTCACCCTCAATAAAAGGTTCTTTAATTCCTCCTCACTTTCTGCCATCAAGGTTGTGTCATCTGCATATCTGAGGTTGTTGATATTTCTTCCGGCAATCTTAATTCCGGCTAGGGATTCATCCAGCCCAGCGTTTCGCATGATGAATTCTGCATATAAGTTAAATAAGCTTGGAGACACTATACAGCCTTGTCGTACTCCTTTCCCAATTTTGAACCAATCAGTTGTTCCATATCCAGTTCTAACTGTAGCTTCTTGTCCCACATAGAGATTTCTCAGCAGACAGATGAGGTGATCAGGCACTCCCATTTCCTTAAGAACTTGCCATAGTTTGCTGTGGTCGACACAGTCAAAGGCTTTTGCATAGTCAATGAAGCAGAAGTAGATGTCTTTCTGGAACTCTCTAGCTTTCTCCATAATCCAGCGCATGTTTGCAATTTGGTCTCTGGTTCCTCTGTCTCTTCTAAATCCAGCTTGCACTTCTGGGAGTTCTCGGTCCACATACTGCTTGAGCCTTCCTTGTAGAATTTTAAGCATAACCTTGCTAGTGTGTGAAATGAGTGCAATTGTGCGGTAGTTGGAGCATTCTTTGGCACTGCCCTTCTTTGGGATTGGGATGTAGACTGATCTTCTCCAATCCTCTGGCCACTGCTGAGTTTTCCAAACTTGCTGGCATATTGAGTGTAGCACCTTAACAGCATCATCTTTTAAAATTTTAAATAGTTCAGCTGGAATACCATCACTTCCACTGGCCTTGTTATTTGCAGTGCTTTCTAAGGCCCATTTGACTCTCCAGGATGTCTGGCTCAAGGTCAGCAGCCACACTACCTGGGGTGTACGAGACATCCATATCTTTCTGGTATAATTCCTCTGTGTATTCTTGCCACCTCTTCTTGATGTCTTCTGCTTCTGTTAGGTCCTTACCACTTTTGTCCTTTATTATGGTAATCTTTGTACGAAATGTTCCTTTCATATCTCCAATTTTCTTGAACAGCTCTCTGGTTCTTCCCATTCTGTTGTTTTCCTCTATTTCTTTGCATTGCTCGTTTAAGAAGGCCTTCTTGTCTCTCCTTGCTATTTTTGGAAATCTGCATTCAATTTCCTGTATCTTTCACTATCTCCCTTGCATTTTGCTTGCCTTCTCTCCCCCGCTATTTGTAAGGCCTTGTTGGACAGCCACTTTGCTTTCTTGCATTTCCTTTTCATTGGGATGGTTTTCGTTGCTGCCTCCTGTATAATGTTGCGAGCCTCCATCCATAGTTCTTCAGGCACTCTGTCCACCAGATCTAAATCCTTAAACCTGTTCCTCACTTCCACTGTGTATTCATAAGGGATTTGGTTTAGATTGTATCTTACCGGCCCAGTGGTTTTTCCTACTTTCTTCAGTTTAAGCTTGAATTTTGCTATAAGAAGCTGATGATCTGAGCCACAGTCAGCTCCTGGTCTTGTTTTTGCTGACTGTATAGAGCTTCTCCATCTTTGGCTGCAGAGAATATAATCAATCTGATTTCGATGCTGCCCATCTGGTGATGTCCATGTGTAGAGTCGTCTCTTGTGTTGTTGGAAAAGCGTGTTTGTGATGACCAGCTTGTTCTCTTGACAGAACTCTATTACCCTTTGCCCTGCTTCGTTTTGATCTCCAAGGCCAAACTTGCCAGTTGTTCCTTTTATCTCTTGATTTAGCATACCAATCCCCTATAATGAGAAGAACATCCTTCTTTGGTGTCACTTCTATTAGGTCTTGTAAGTCTTCATAGAATTGGTCAATTTCAGTTTCTTCAGCACCAGTAGTTGGTACATAAACTTGGATTACTGTGATGTTAAAAGGTCTGCCTTGGATTCGTATCAAGATCATTCTATCATTTTTGAGATTACATCCCAGTACAGCTTTCACCACTCTTTTGTTGACTATGAGGGCCACTCCTTTTCTTTTACGGGTTTCTTGCCCACAGTAATAGATATGATAGTCATCTGAACTGAATTCGCCCATTCCTGTCCATTTTAGTTCACTGATGCCCAGGATGTCAATATTTATTCTTGCCATCTCATTTTTGACCACATCCAACTTACCCTGGTTCATGGTTCTTACATTCCAGGTTCCTATGCAATATTTTTCTTTACAGCATTGGACTTTCCTTTCGCTTCCAGGCATATCCACAACTGAGCGTCCTTTCGGCTTTGGCCCAGCCGCTTCATCAGCTCTGGATCTACTTGTACTTGTCCTCCGCTCTTCCCCAGTAGCATGTTGGACGCCTTCCGACCTGAGGGGCTCATCTTCCAGCGTCATAACTTTTATATGCCTGTTGTCTTTGTCCATGGAGTTTTCTTGGCAGGGATACTGGAGTGGCTTGCCGGTTCCTCCTCCAGGTGGATCACGTTTGGTCCAAACTCTCCACTATGACCTGTTCATCTTGGGTGCCCTGCTCGGCATAGTTCATAGTTTCTCCGAGTTATTCAAGCCCCTTCGCCACGGCAAGGCAGTGATCCATGAAGGGGACACATTCCATAGGACATTAAAATTTCTACAATGTAAGAGACACTTCATTCTTGACTCAGGTATTGTACTGTCTCCCAGTGCTTCAGAAAGGTATCCAAAGCAAGAGACGACTATCTGGAAAGCAGGCTTGGAGCTCCATCAACCATGGAATCTAGCTCATAACAGAGGTGAAGGATTGCTCTCAAAGCGCCAAGCAAGCAACTAACAGAGGGTTTCTGAGGTATCCAAGCTTCATCCACCAATCATCTTCTTCTGTGGCGATCACTTGTAGCCAAGTAAGACTGTCTTCCATAAACACGGTTTTAACAATGAGTCCGTAAGTGACTGTGGAGGCCAATTCTGGATCCACACGTCCTTCCACAGTGCGGACATTGGTTTCTGGGCAGGAGTTCATCATGGTGTGGATTTGCCAAGCGTGCCTTCCTCTTAGCACGTATCTCCCTTGCATCCTGAGTCTGAGTGTCTTCAAAGCCCATGACACTTTGGGTAAAGGCTGTTCTCCAATTGGAGTGCTTGCAGGAAAGTGTTTCCCAATTGTTGGTGTTTGTACTACATTTTTTAAAATTTGCCTTGAGAGAGTCTTTAAACATGTTTGTTGACCACCAGCATTATGCTTTCCATTTTTAAGTTTGGAATACAGTAGTTGCTTTGGAAGATGATAATCAGGCATCCACACAACATGATCAGTCCAACGAAGTTGATGTTGAAGAATCATTGCTTCAACACTGGTGATCTTTGCTTCTTCCAGTACACTGGTGTTAGTTCGCCTGTCTTCGCAAGTGATGTGTAAATTTTTTCGGACACCACTGATGGAATCTTTCAAGGAGTTGGAGATGGCATTTATAAGTGGTCCATGTTTCACAAGCATACAGTAAGGTTGGTAGTACAATAGCTTTGTAAACAACCATTTTGGTTTCCCTGCGAATGTCCCGGTCCTCAAACACTCTGCACTTCAATTGAGAGAAAGCCACACTCGCAGAGCTCAGGCGATGCTGGATTTTGGCATCAATGTCAGCCCTTGTGGAAAGATAACTGGCTAGGTAGGAGAAGTGATTGACATTTTCCAATGTTACACCATTGAGTTGGATTTGTGGCACTGCAGAGGGGTTATTTTGTACAGCACTTTGGTTTTTTGGATGTTGAGCGATAGGCCAAGCTTTTCATAAGCTTCTGCGAAGATATTTAGGATGGTTTGGAGGTCATCCTCTGAGCATGCACACACTACATTGTCATCAGCATACTAAAGCTCTATGACGGAAGTTACAGTAACCTTACTCTTTGCTTTCAGCCTGCTCAGATTAAAGAGCTTTCCATCTGTTTGATATATGATTTCTACTCCGGTGGGGAGTTCCCCTTCGACTAAGTGTAAGATCATGGCAATGAAAATAATGAACAGAGTTGGGGCGATAACACAACCCTGTTTAACACCTGATCCCACTGTGAATGGTTCACTTTGAGAGCCATTGTGATCTGTGATTGTTGCTGTCATATTATCATGGAGGAGCTGAATGATGTTCACAAATTTATCTGGGCAGCCAATTTTCAGAAGGACAGTCCACAGGGCATTACGATTTAGTGTCAAAAGCCTTTAGTCAGGTCAATAAACCCCATATACAGGGCTTGGTTTTGCTCTCTGCATTTTTCTTGAAGCTGTCGAGCGGTTAAAATCATGTCCATTGTCCCCATAGAAGGCCGAAAACCATTTTGGGACTCAGGAAGGGTCACCTTGGATATTGTTAAGAGATGGTTTGCTAAGATCCTTGGAAGAATTTTTCCAGCTGCAGCTAATAGAGAGGAGCCTCAATAGTTTCCGCAATCAGTTCTGTCACCTTTTTTAAAGAGATTGATGATTTTGGCATCCCTAAATTCTGCTGGGATCTCTTCTCTCTCCCAGATTTTTTTGATGAGCTTGTGAAGTTGTTGTGCAAATTCAATTCTACCCATTTTGAAGACTTTGGCAGGTATCCCATCAGGTCACCCACAATTTATTTAACTAAAACTCTAACATTATGGCATATGTATCCATGTTTGTTAACTGATGTGGTTAAACATTTTTTTAAAAACAACAACAACCTTAGACTGAGTTTTAGCACACATGAAAAACTTAAAACAAATTCTTATTTCCTGATGAATGGCCTTTGGACTATAAGGTAACTTAAATAGAAAACTATCTTTAGAAAATATTTTCCTTCAAAAGCATTTTATTTTAAAAATCCAATTTAAATTTTAAAAAAGCCGATAAAAAAAAGATTTAAATCGTTGATTTTTTTATCCACCCTGCCAATTAGTAACCTAAGTGTCCCCTCATGTGGCTAACCACATAAGCGTATTTACCACACTGATAGGCCCATTCACCTGTAGAGTTAGCACAACAGTACTTCACTGGCTCAGGGCAGTCACTGTGGGCATGACAACTCAAAAAGCCAATAGGCTGCCACACATGGTAACTTTACACACAGAAAGAAGCACCTTGCGCAGACCACTTACATGGGCAGTCAGTGCTAGCATCATGTGTTCTGGCCCCGAAGCCTGATGGGTTGAGGCCAGGTAATTGCCTTGAACTAGGCCAGACAATTTGTCTAACTCAGGGGTCGGCAAGGTTTACCTCGCCTGGGCCGGTTCACTCCAGCGGAGATCCCTCCGTGGGCCGGATCACATGCACATGTGAGTGCGCACAGCAGCGATTTCCAGCCTCTGCATCTGCGCAGACATGATTTCCGGTGTCTACTTCTGCACAGGCACAATTTTTGGCGTCTGAGCATGCGCAGACGCGATTTCCGGCACCGCAGAAGCGAGTCCACGCGCCATGCTGGTTTAGAGCAGCGCGCAGGGACTCGCCAAGAAGATGGCTTGGTTCATGGGAGGCTCGTGGGCCAGTTAAATGACCCCCATGGGCCGCTTGTGGCCCATGAGCGTTAGGTTGCCTACCCCTGGTCTAACTAATACAGCAGAGCTTTCCAAACTGTGTGTTATGACACGTTAAGTGTGTCAGCTGCAGTGTGTAGGTGTGTTGTGCGAACGCTCCCCATGCTCTTCCCGGGGCTGGAAAGGGGTTAGTTTAACCTCCGGTTTGCTAGTAAAACTGAATTGCTGTGTCACAAAATGATGCATGTCTCAAATGTGTGTCACCAACATGAGAAGTGCAGAAAGCTCTGTAATACAGCATTTGTTTATATTTCTAGTCCTCCTTTCAGATTGTAGTTGGCAGGAGAGGAAAAAAGAAGGTGAGTGTCCTAGATATGTGTGAGAAGGCAGGAAAGTAATTAGGGCTGGAAATGGGGAGAGAAAAGGTGTCACAATACAGGGCGAAAGGCAAGGAAATGTGGGGAAGAGGGATTTCTTTTCAGTGTTTCAGGGAGACTGAAGAAATAAAAAGGAAATAGGGAGCAGAGGATGCTCTCCAGTGTTTCGGTATTCTTATTTTTTCCTGACAGTGTGTGTGTGGCATTTTAAGATGAAAGAGGAGAGGGCACGTGGGGGGGGGGGGAGAGGGCATTTTCGTCTTTTTCAGGGAAAAGACTTTTTTTAAAAAAGGGAAGACTGGAACTTAGGACAAGACAAGCGTTGGGGCGAGTCCTTTTCGTGCGAGTCTTTGTTTGGGTGGGCAGTTAAGATTTAGGATTAAAAAGTGAGGTGAGAGAAGGCGAGGCGAGTGCCCGCTCTGACTGCGAGGGAAAAGCCCTCGCTTTTACCTCAGCTTCCCCTCTCCTCACAACCACCTTATCCCCACGCAAAAGGACCCCCCCACCCCACATATTGGGAGGGAATAGGGCTGGGGAGACTCTTTTCCCTCCTCTCACCTCACAGAACCGCCCCCCCCCGGGACGCGCGCGCATCCCTCCCCTTCCAACCGAAGCCCGCGCGCGCGCCAGGCCTCCCCCCAACGGACATTCCTCCCCCACCCCCCCGCCGCTCTGATCCCTTTCATTCTTTCTTCCGCTCACCTACCTGCTCGCGCGCTCCTGTTTCTCACTCTCTTCGGCTATCGCTGCTGCGACCGCATCACGCCACGCGCCCTCCCCTTTCCCCGCGCCATTTGCCCCTTTGAAAGCCTGTCACTCCCCGGCCCGGCTCCCGCGACGCGCCGTTGGGCGGCCGGGGCCGTCAATCAAAGGCAGCTCCCGCCTCCCTCCCGTTGTGCGTCCATTGTGCCCCTCGAGCGAAGCCTTGCCTGCCCCGCTTTCCCACCCGCATGCTGAGGGCTTGATTGGCTCGGAGGGAAGTGCCTCTCAAAATCCCTCCCGGGCTCCTATTGGATCGACTAGGCCGGGAAGACTCCCTCCTTTCACGGGAGGGGGCTCGCCCCTCAGCCGATTGGGCGAAGCTGGTATCTGTTAAATGTTGCTCCCGCCTTACAGAGTCGAATGAGGACGCGGCCCGGTTCCCCAGCCCCCTATTGGGAGAATTTGGTGTCTGTCAAATTTTCGTATGTTCCTCCTTCAGTCGCGCCCTTTGGGAAGAACCGCTGCCCAACTCAATGGCCGCTGCAATTCCAGAAACATCATGCCTTTCCCATTGGATAACTGGATGTCAAATAACTATTGCCGCCGATACCAAGAAGCCCCACCTCACCTGGCTTGTCATTGGCCAAATAAGACGCTTATCAATGCTTCACGCACATTTCCGGCATCCATTGGGCCATTCACTGCTCTTCGCCGCAATTCTCCGCTTCCTCAGTTGGATCTTCGTCACACCAGGGCCAACGGTGCCAGTCGCTGTTTTATTCCGTTTTAATAGCTGCTGGGGAGCGGGGGCACCATGGACTAATGTTCCCTCTACCGTCTCTTATTAAGTATCCTGACATTTGAAATTTCCCGCCAAAATGCTAGCGCTTTCTATTGGTCCGCCTGATCTATTTGCCGTTTCCCTGTCGAGTAGCAAATATTAGTGGTCCGCTTTGCTGTCACTCAGACAACTTCCTCCCAACACGATCTGATCCGTAAAGTTCCGGAAGAGAGGCGTATAGAAGAGCTTCCGGTTGCTCTGAGGCTTTTTCGTGCTTTAGCGTGAAGAGGGAGCTGCCCATAGAAATTAATGGAGAAGCCCAGAATTTTTGCACACTGATAAAGTCAAATTCTTGGGGTGCACTATACTTAAAGCGTTTTCCCAACTTCCTCCTGCGGATTCCTGAATCGGTCAGGTTCAAGCAGTACAGACACAGCCAAGCAAATATAGAATCAAACAGCAGCCAGGAGGCCTGATCTTTATTTGTCTCAACAAAGGTTCAAACCCTCAAAGCATGCAGAGGGAAGAACAAGAACCATGAAGCTTTGAAGTTTTCTAAAGTTTCCCATAAAATATTTAACAGCGTCATCAGAACATCACCAACATGCCATAGAAAGGGGTGGGGGGTTTTAGGTATCTGAGATTTCTGACATGCCCCTGTCAATCATGCATGGTTCAAGTATTCACCTTCACACAAGTCAATGATAATATCTACATATCCTTTTGTCAGGAAGACATCCCTTGACACCTTTATTTGTTCAGGCAGGGTTGCATTCCACACTGGAGATGGGTTTTGTGTCTGGAGTATTGTGTTTCAGGTAACACCTTCCTGGTATCTGTGGCAGGACAGGTGATGTCAGGTTTGGCACCTTAGAGGGGTGCTTGGTATGTGTGGTGGCACATCTGAAGGATGATGGAACGAATTAAGTACTTGACCTGAGGTACCACTGTAGTACCTAGGGTTAAGAACTTTGCTTCAGGATGAGAACAGAAATCGCGTGGCAGCAGCGCAGCAGCAGTGGGAGGCCCCATTAGCTAAAGTGGTACCTCAGGTTAAGAACAGTTTCGGGTTAAGAATGGACCTCCAGAACGAATTAAGTTCTTAACCTGAGGTACCACTGTACTGTGTATTACCAGTCCTGGAGTGACTTTCTTCCTGCCGAAATGGATGTATCACACACACATCTAGGTATAACTCACTTCTGCACAGTGCTGCACACCTTCCGGCATTTCACTCTAACAATCTTTAAATAAGGCCTTTAAATAAGACTGTGGGACAAAGATGGAACAAGTGCCCAAAAAAGGGTGGTGAGGGGGAGCGCAGAGCATTCTCCATGATGGTCATGTCCCCTATTCTCCATAGGACAGCCCTTTATTCAGAGGCTGGTCTGGTCCAAGTCTGATTTAAAGGTAAAGAGGCACAAGCAGAGAGACCACCTTGAGAGCAGACTAAGCAGCAGCATAGATCACCTGGACCAGTCTTCTCAACTATGGTGTGACATACCTCTGTTTCAATTGTAGTTCTCTCTTCTATATCTGCATTTAAATCGGGTCAGCAAACTTTTTCAGCAGGGGGCCGGTCCACTGTCCCTCAGACCTTGTGGGGGGCTGGACTATATTGGGGAGGGGGATGAACGAATTCCTATGCCCCACAAATAACCCAGAGATGCATTTTAAATAAAAGGACACATTCTACTCATGTAAAAACATGTTGATTCCCGGACTGTCCGCGGGTCGGATTTAGAAGGCGATTGGGCTGGATCTGGCCCATGGGCCTTAGTTTGCCTACCCATGATCTAAATATACAAATTAACCCACCCCGCTCTCTGAGTGTTAGATGACCCGCCTTTGGGCAATATGTAAGAGGGCAGCTCAACACAGTTCCCTTTGTAGCTTTTCCATCTCTATGTACAAAGCTGCTGCTACCTGGCAACTTGTATTTAACCACTCAGCTGGTGACAAAGAACTCCATGCATCCCCTCGCAAAGCTACAGTTCCCAGAATTCCCTAGGAAGAAGGTTAAACTCATTTGGGAACTGTAGTTCTTTGAAAGGAATAGGGGGCTCCTGGCCATTTTAGTACCCTGAACAAACTACAGTTCCCAGGATTGGGGGGGGGGAGCCAAGACTGTTTGAAGTCCACCAGTTAGTGGTGGCTGGAGACCGCTGAGACTGGTAGGTCAGAAGGTGGAGAGGTCAACAGCAGGTGGAGCCAGAGCCAATAGCAGAAAGACCCAAGTAATTCTAGTTTTGCCTCCAAACCTCCTACCTGCTGAATTCTAGGAAGGCAGCACTGAGAAGGAGGAGGAGGAAGTTGGAAGGCAGTACCACTCCTTGGGCTGTATGAAAGTAAGAACACAGGTGAGTAGGCGCTGGCCAAGGGCAATTGCCCAAATGGACAAGCCTCCACTGACTCTGGCCAGGGTAATGCAATGGCAAAATACAATGCATTTCTGGGACATTTTATGCTTGTTTCCAGAAGGAAACAAGAAATGGTAACTGACTAATGTTTGGGGGTGTTATGAAGGTGACAATTTGTAACCATGTTCTAGATGGGCTACCCTGTAGGTTTACTTATGTGTAATCTGCACAATGAAAAATGCAGTTGGGATAAGTGTCTTACCCCAGAAAACTGGATGAAGGTTTGGCGGTTCAGAAGTGCTTTTAATGAAACAAATAAATGACAAGTCAGAAGGAAGTCCTGTTGAAATCTGTGGGGCTTACTCAAAGGTAAGTGAATATAATATTGCAACCCTAGAAATCTAGTTATCATTCCTCCCTCTCTCTCCCAGCCCCACCTAATGAACCATTTCACTAACAACATACCAGAAGCTTCTTCCCTCCCTTTGTCTGTTAAATGTTCTTGGAATAGCAATCGAAACCCTGCTGTTTGCAGATGGTCTTTTCTCTCTGACACATTTAGCTTCTTCCTCCAAAACTGGGGCTAAGTTCAAGCCTGGATTTCTCTTAATATCCTATACATTTCCCAATAAAGTAAGTTGCTAAAAGCCAAACAAAATTCACTCCGCAGCGCATCAAGAGACTTCAAAGCAGGGAAGGTTCTCAGTGCGACCTGTTACTGTGTTTGCCACTGTACTTTTGCCTTCAAGTGATGTCAGAATATAGTCTGGGATTTGAGAAAAGAATGTTAAATGGTTCTTCATGTCCCAAGGCGGCCTTAGGGGAGCTCTTTGACAGAATATGGTTTCACTATAAACAGAGGGTCTGGAATGTTTGGAATGAAAAAGCCATCAAAAGTTTGGGGAAGGCAACCCTTCCCTCCTCTTCTAACTAGAGGGAGGATGCTGGGCGTATGAGAGAGAGAAGGAACAACAAGACTTTTGATTAAAATCAATGGCTCCCTTTAAACCCATGTTTTACCTTCATGGTTGGAGACAATCTTGATTCTGAATACCAGTTTCTGGAAACGATAGGAGGAGAGAACGCTTACAGGATTCCCACAGGCGTCTGGCTGCCCACTGTGAGAACAGAATGCTGGACCAGATGAGCCATGGACCTGATCCAGCCTTACTGCAGCTGAAAATTAATCACACCCGCGTAGACACCCGCCTACTCTGCACTCCAACCAGCTTCAATCCAAACTGAGGAAAAGAACAACCTAGCTGTGTTTTAAGCCAGTAATGTGTACACAGGTTCTTCTTTCTGGGACCCAGAAAAAAACTTGATGGAAGTGATATGTATTGATCTTTTTTAAAAAATAAATAATAATACATAGATCTCCCCACCCATTACAACTGCACTATGAATTTGGATTCTCAACCCAGCTTTGATCTGAACTGAGGAAAAAGAGCAACCCAGCCGTCTTTTTAGCAGGTTATGATGCACACACAAAGTATTCTTTCTCTGTGAAAATTTTTGTCCCTGACTGGCCCCATCTACTGGAAATCAGAGGAAACAGCTAGTGAAGCTCTTTTGACAGTGAGCCAATGAACTACAGTGGTACCTTGGGTTACAGATGCTTCAGGTTACAGACGCTTCAGGTTACAGACTCCATTAACCCAGAAATAGTACCTCAGGTTAAGAACTTTGCTTCAGGATGAGAACAGCATTCGTGCTCTGGCGGCGCAGCGGCAGCAGGAGGCCCCATTAGCTAAAGTGGTGCTTAAGGTTAAGAACAGTTTCAGGTTAAGAACGGACCTCCAGAAGGAATTAAGTTCTTAACCCAAGGTACCACTGTACAAGGGACGCGGGTGGCGCTGTGGGTAAAACCTCAGCGCCTAGGGCTTGTCGATCGCATGGTCGGCGGTTCGAATCCCCGCGGCGGGGTGAGCTCCCGTCGTTCGGTCCCAGCTCCTGCCCACCTAGCAGTTCGAAAGCACCCCTGGGTGCAAGTAGATAAATAGGTACCGCTTTATAGCGGGAAGGTAAACGGTGTTTCCGTGTGCTGCGCTGGTGCTGGCTCGCCAGAGCAGCTTCGTCATGCTGGCCACATGACCCGGAAGTGTCTGCGGACAGCACTGGCCCCCGGCCTCTTAAGTGAGATGGGCGCGCAACCCTAGAGTTGGACACGACTGGCCCGTACGGGCAGGGGTACCTTTACCTTTTACCTTTACCACTGTACAAGGATGAAGTGAGAGGTGGTGGGCAGGCAAACCCACAGTCCAGCCCCTTATAGTAAAGATTATAAAAGCCCCCCCTCCCCCAAAGATGAAGCATTTCTGGAAAGGGGACTCATTTGCAGGGAGCTTGCCTTGGCCACGAAAACCTGAACCCGCCACTGCCAGAGACAGAGCCTCCCCTCCTCTTTTCCCAGGGCCGCAGGAGGGTTACTACGTTCTTTAAGAAATACACTGTTTTTTTTCAATTAAAATGGCCATGATGTGCCCCTGACAAAGCCTACTGCCTTTATGCGCTGCAATGGAGCTGGGCTTTGATGCACCCATATGTGCTTTTATCCCACAGTATGTAGTGGTGTCTTAACCCTAAGTATGGGACTTCACCGCAAGAGTTCTTGATGGGGAAGCCTTTTCAAAACTAAAGTAAAATCAGTCCAAAAGTGAAGTAATTCAGATCTTTTAAATCAGTTGTTTCCTCCTCCTATTGGTGACCATGCCTTCAACTGCACCAGGATTTTCCAGATCTTACCCAGTGCGGGCATTAATATGTATCTTAATGCCATGGCAGCAAACCACACTTTTTGTCCGGTTTGCAGGCAACCCTACAGGTGACAGAAAATGCATGGAGGATTGGTGGAGGGAGAGATGGCTCTGAAAAGTTTGCTCACATTCAAGGTATCAACAGAGCACCAGTTCTCTCCTTACAGAACATTAGATGTTATAAAGCTAGGTAGCTTTATTTGGAGGATTTTACAGAGCAGTGTTTGGGGGAGAATTGAAAGCTCATGTAAATCAAGGTTACCAAATTTTTTTCAATGAATCCGGGGACACTTTTCAACTGCAATTGATTTTGTATGGGGAAACGGGGACGTCTGGTAACCTTAATGTAAATACAATTTCCGGAGGGCTAGGTGTGTTAGTCTCTTACAGCAAAAGCAACGAAGACTTCAGGCACAAAGCAACAAAATCATTATGGCATCAGCTTTCTTCGACAGCAGTCTACATCATCAGATGGACAGCCATAGCCTAGCATTTGCTTCTGCATGCAAAAGGTCCCAGTTTTTAATATTTGGTATCTCCAAGCAGGCCTGGAAATATCTGCGGTCAGTAGAAAATCCTGACCTAGATGGACTCAATATAAGGCAGTTTCCACCGTTCCTAAAAAAATAGAAAATGTGGGTCTTTTAAGACGCCAAAAGGTTGTTGTTGCTTTAACATAAATACAGGTGCAGACCCCCGACTACATCAGAAGTTCAGGTTATACAGCCATTTGCTTCCTGGGCCATAAAATGCACCATTCTAGTGATTTATAGGTCCGTATAGTAAAAGCTATGGTTTTCCCAGTAGTGATGTATGGAAGTGAGAGCTGGATCGCCAAAGAATTGATCCTTTTGAATTATGGTGCTGGAGGAGACTCTTGAGAGTCCCATGGACTGCAAGAAGATAAAACCTCTCCATTCTTAAGGAAATCAGCCCTGAGTGCTCACTGGAAGGACAGATCCTGAAGCTGAGGCTCCAATACTTTGGCCACCTCATGAGAAGAGAAGACTCTCTGTAAAAGACCCTGATGTTGGGAAAGACAGAGGGCAGAAGGAGAAGGGGACGACAGAGGACAAGATGGTCGGACAGTGTTCTCGAAGCTACCAGCATGAGTTTGACTAAATTGCGGGAGGCAGTGGAAGACAGAAGTGCCTGGCGTGCTCTGGTCCAGGGGGTCACGAAGAGTAGGACACGACTAAACGACTAAACAACAACAAGTGATTTGGACCTCTGGTGTGTTGAATGGGGGCAAATGCCCCAGGCCTCAGACATGGAGGGGCCCGCACCTTGAGAAAAACAACACTCTCAAATGAAAGGGGGTCCTCAGCTGACCATTCAGCCCCTGGGCTTCACTGAGTCTTAAAATAAGTTGTGCCTGTGAGTCATAAAATGGGTCATAAAACCATTTGGCTGCAGGCAATCTTAGACCTGGGTAGTGTCTCAGCAGTACGTGCTGACCTAGTGACTCCAAATTCCTGAAGTGAGGATTCTCAGCAAACGGCTCGCCCCCAGGCCCACACCAACCAGAAGCAATCAGAAAGGTTATACTGCTCAATGGCCCCAGTGGATCCACATCATGCATTTAAAGTGCATTCTATGCACATAAAATCTCCCCAAAGAAAGCTGGGAATTGTAGTTTCCTCCTCGCAGGCCAAAAATTCCCAGTACAGTGGTACCTCGGGTTACAGACGCTTCAGGTTACAGACGCTTCAGGTTACAGACTCTGCTAACCCAGAAATAGTACCTCGGGTTAAGAACTTTGCTTCAGGATGAGAAAAGAAATCGCGCAGCAGCAGCGGGAGGTCCCATTAGCTAAGGTGGTGTCTCAGGTTAAGAACAGTTTCAGGTTAAGAACGGACCTCCAGAACGAATTAGGTTCTTAACCCGAGGTACCACTGTATCCATAATGAACCATAATTCTTGGGGGGGGTGGGGAGAGGTCACGTTCTTTGAGTGTCCATTGGGTGTACCTTAAATATTGCAGGGCGACATGTTGATATTAGAACACAAGGCACGTGGCTCTTGCTTTTGCCCTGCTCTCTCTCAAGCAGCAAAGACAGCAAAACGTAGCACAAAACTCTTTTAAGCCAGCCTTTCCCCATTCTGGTGCACTTCAGTAGTCCTTGGATGACATAAGAGCATACCTTTGGGAACAGGCGAATGGTCCATATCCTGTCCTCACAATAGCTTTTGATAGCCCTCTCCTCTGTGATTTTGTCCAATCCTCTCTTAAAGCTATCCAAGTTAGTAGTTATCGCTGCCTCCTGTGGCAGTGAGTTCCATAGCTTAATTATGCGCTGTGTGAAGTGAAATGCTTCTCTTCTGCAGGTGAAATGGGGTGTTGGGACTGAGCTCAATGAGGTTAGTGCGCATCTGTGAGATGTGCCCTTCAAGCATTCACACTAAGCGAAAACAAAAAAATGGATTCCCACCCGCCCAGCACTGTGTGATGAAGTTTGACAAGTTCCTGATCATTGTCCGTAGTTGGCAGGGACTGATGGGATTCAAAACATCTCATTCCCTCAGTGCTTTTTAAGCAACCTTTTTTTTGGGGTGGCGGCATTTTAGCTGTTGCTATTGTCAAGACAACTGGGAACCAGAAGGCAGGATGATCTACTGCAAATAATCTCAGTGTATCCCCTGCCTGACCCTGCCTTACACAGCTGTTTGGAGTGGAACATATCGCCTCCTCCAACTGGAACCAGAATTGTGTAGATGTTGCAACTGTCAGATCGTTCTGGCAGAGATGCCCTTTTGCAAGCTTTATTTTTTTATTAAATCAGTGCTCTCTGAACCAAGCATTTGTGATCAAAAGTATTTGGTGGTAGGTGCTTCCATCGAGTGGTGAAAGAATGAGCTGCACCTTTACAAATATTACGCCTTTTCTAACAGGAAGGCTACACTGTCTGCTCAACTCTCCGTTTTAGATTTTAAACTAGTAGAAAGAATTTCCCCCTGGATTTTAACGTGATTCCCCCCCCAAAAAATTTAAAAGTGTACTTCTTCTCTTGAGAAAATAAAAAGTGGCGTGTTCCTGCTTAAACACAACTTTCACCAGTGTCTGCTATATATCTTTTTCTCCTGTTAAACCTCTTGACGCTAAATTTTATCTGTAAGCCACCTTGAGTCCCTGTCAGGGGAAAAGGCAGGATACACACAAACACATTTAATCTAGAGGACACCAAGTTGCCAAAGATTAGGATAAAATATAGAAACGGCCATTTTTACTGTGCTCTTAATTAAGGAGAAATGAGTCTAATCCTGAATAATGTAGCATCAGTGGGGAAGAACTGACAAAAGACACCTCCTAACTCCCAATACAACTAAGAAAAAAACCATTTGCTTCCCTGTTTCGATCGATTCCGCTCCAAACTCTACCCATTTCACAGATTGTTCTTTTGTGCTACAATTGGTGAAACGTCCATAAGTAAACAAACATAGCAAGGCCGGGGTGGGGGGTGGGGAGTTATCAAGATTCCTTTCCTTTAGCTTCTTGTCTCTGTCGCTCTCAGCCTCTGTTAACAGAAACTACGTTTGCAATTTTGTCAATTTGCTCAGTGACTCATCTACCCACCTTCTCCGACAACAAAGCAAAAAATGCCCACGTACAGAATCATTCGGCGCATCTTCCATCTCTGCATCGATCCTTGCAAAGGCAGCCTCCCCTGCTGTGTGTCTCTGTTAGGCCTCTCCAACTATTATCTTTCTTTCAGAGGAATCAATCTATACAATTATTATTGTCTTGATATAAACATTCAAGCTTTCAGTTGGGGGCTGGGGGGGAGAAAACTGCAATCCTTTCCTTCTTCGCTTTGTCTGCCATCATTGAGTTTTTAGTACTTCCACAACTCCAGGAGTACCCTTTCTCAGGCCCCAGTCTTGTAAACGCCCTTCCTAGGACAGGCAAAAAGTGAGCAGAGAAATGGAGGAAACTCTTGCCTGCTCTGCTAGTCGTCTCTCCATTCTCAGAGTGAATTAACAGTCAATTAATCAGTCAATTTACAGGGGGCTCTGTGAATGGTAGCTCTGTATGGGGAACAAGGGTCTCCTAACAACTCTCAGCAGCCCCCTTAACAAACTATACTTCCCATGATGCTTTGGGGGAGGAAGCCATGACTATTTAAAGTGGTATCATAGTGCTTTAAATGTGTGGTGTGAATGTGGCCCAAGCCGAGCGCCCTGCTTTCATGGTGGCCAATCAGATGCCTACGAGAGTCATGTGGGCGGGACATGAGCAACTCTCCCACACATGAATCCCAGTGCTGGAGGAATCGCATCTAGCCATATGGGTTTTCTGCGGACTGCCATTCAGCAGTAAAACGTGGATATTCCTGGGTTAAAGCGCCAGGACAACAGCAACAACAAACCAGGACACGGATCTGGAAAATGCGGACTTGTGCCTAGAAACTGCAAAGCAAATGTAAGTATGGATGAGCCCTTTGCAGATGGCACCAAACTGGGATGGGTAGCTAATGCCACAGAAGACAGAATCTGGATTCAAGATGATCTTAACGGATTGGAGGACTGGGATCCAAACTAGCAAAATGAATTTCAATAGGGAGCTTCTACATCTAGGCAGAAAGAACTACCTGTCATGGATGCTTGAGATGAGATTCCTGCGTTGCAGAGGGTTGGACTACATGACCCTTGGGGTCCCTTCCAACTCTACAATTCCAATCCCCTTTTAACACTATCCGGTTCAGCAGCCACCCCTACACCTTACAATAGCAGATTCCACCACTTTTGCATGCGAGGGAACCCTCCCCATGGTGTCACACAAATCACCGTAGCCCACTGTTCTCAGGCTAAACAGAGGTTCACTTCACAGGTTATAAAATAGGGCAACCGGCAACTTTTTCTTTTCATCCTCAGGTCATAAAATGCCTTGTGATACCTGCGTGCCCTGGACAGCCTGCCAAGGACTTCCACGAGCCCTCTTCCAGTTTCATCAGGTCAAGGTCCCTAGAAACTTGCCAAATAACTTCTCGCACCTCAGGTAAGCTACATCGGGAACAGGTGAACTTACCTTGCAGCCGGCAGACTAATATTAGACACAGCTGCGTTGGTGGCAGCAGAACTTATGCTGCTGCAGCAATAGGTACATCCCAAAACTTTTTACTGCCAGAGGTACAGAACGTGATGCTCCTCTCTTCTCTTATTTCAAGACACCACTTCCAGAATGTTACTCTGGATATGCTGACCTATTCCGGCTCCTGGTAACCTCGCCATAACCCAGCAGTCTTCCTTCCTGGTTCCCACAAATTCACTCCTCTAATCCTATACAGTGATACCTCAGGTTACATACGCTTCAGGTTACAGATGCTTCAGGTTACAGACTCAGCTAACCCAGAAATAGTACCTCGAGTTAAGAACTTTGCTTCAGGATGAGAACAGAAATTGTGCGGCGGCAGCGGGAGGCCCCATTAGCTAAAGTGGTGCTTCAGGTTAAGAACAGTTTCAAGTTAAGAACGGACCTCCGGAACAAATTAAGTTCTTAACCCAAGGTACCACTGTACTCCCAGATCTCCTTTCCCTCCCTCTCCCTGCCTGACTACCTTTTTTTACTCTGCATCCATGATAATTTGTGTTCAGCATGGCAGTTATGCACGATACCACTTTCAATAATACTTGCACTCGCAGAAGTTTCAGGGAGGGCATACCGCTTCACTTCCTAGCAGCACGCATCCCATAACTTCCTGTTGAAACCCTGCAGCCTTTCAAGACCAATGCAAATGTTCCGCAGTTCTCGTCCTCTCACTTTTGTGGCGCTATAGTGCAAGAGCGCCTCTGCAGGTGGCAATAAATGTGGTAACATTGATGGAGCATCACAACTGATACGGTGGAGCGGTGTGTGTGTGGACAGTCCAGTATTATTCCACCATTGATGCACTATTATAGTGTCACTGGCATGCTGCCGAAGAGATCCACACCGAAAAATGCCAGTCTGGAGCGATCCCTCGTAAGGAACCCAGTAACCGTGGTTCTCCATTAGAAAAGCACATGTTGCACTGATAAACTGCGTCACGCCGCAGAGTGGTCCCTCTTTCTGCAAGCGCCATCTGTGTGGCAGCAGAATGGCACGCCTTGGGGACAAAAGTCACAGGCAGATAGCGCCCTCACAGTGCCCTTTGCCCCGTCCCAGAGATGGAGTTGGGACAGGTTTATTGGAAGGAGCGCTGGCACACTAACCTTGCTACCTGCTAGGGAGAAAGACGTGCTCCTGAGCGAAGAAAAAAGGACGCAGCTAGCAGATAATTTCTGGGTAAGGAATCCCGCGATATTCCTGAAGACTCAGAAGGGAAACAGAAACCAAAAATCTTGATTCTCAAACTCCCTGCTCGGAAGCCCCACAAGGAAGCCCCTGGTTGCTGCTGCGCAGTATAATTTGCAGCAAGGTCTATGCCAGTCTCCGAGTGATGATGTAGCTAGGGTGTTGCTCTGATTTCAGGGCATTTCCGCACCTTCCCATGGACTTTTGCTTTAAAATCCTTTGCTTTGATTACTGGCAGGAGCTCAGCCCTGCTGGGTGGTGGCTGAGTGAGGGGCGTGGCGGGGGAAGTTTATTAGTATACCATTAGCAGAAGTCTTTCTAGTGTTGTTGTTTGTTTTAATTCCTGTAGCGCAGAGCAAGGCAGTGAGGAGCGATAAGGCCCCTTGGACGTAGCAGAGTTTTCCAGTTATCAAGAGCTTAGCCAGAGAACCCAGGAATCCTGGCTTGCTGTGACCTAACCTACTTCCCCCGAAATTTTAGGATTCAGCCTTGCTGCTCTTTCAAGCCCACCAAGTCACAATGGGTCCCTAGAGTCCAGGGATCTGGTCTCCTCCCCAGGCTTCCTTCAGCTTTATCCCACCTTGTTCCCAAAGAACCCAAGAATCTCAGGCTGTTCTTGATGGTTTCCTTATATTTTTTGCCTTTAGGTCTTCCGCCACCATGTGGCTTTGGGCTCTCCTTCCTGTGCTCCTAGCTGTAGGAGGTATTGTCGGCTTCTGGGTTGTGTGAGTAACAATAAGCAAAGCGGAGTGGGTTGACTCTCAGGTGGGATGTGGGGTGTGTGTGTATTTGTGTGCTTGCTTTAAGCCCAGCAGTGATAGAGTTGGATTTTGGGAAATGGGATCATGTCAACTCCAATCTGGTATAGGGAGAGCGTGGCTCAATGGTAGGACATCTGAATTTAAGAAGCTGCCTTATACAGTGGTACCTTGGGTTACATACGCTTCAGGTTACATACGCTTCAGGTTACAGACTCCACTAACCTAGAAATAGTGCTTCAGGTTAAGAACTTTGCTTCAGGATGAGAATAGAAATCGTGCTCTGGCAGCGCGGTGGCAGCAGGAGGCCCCATTAGTTAAAGTGGTGCTTGAGGTTAAGAACAGTTTCAGGTTAAGAACGGACCTCCAGAACGAATTAAGTACTTAACCCGAGGTACCACTGTACTGAGTCCATCCAGTGCAGGATTGTCTGCAGTGACTAGCAGTGCTTCTTAAATGTCTCCGATGGAGGATCTCTCCCAGCCCTACCTGGAGGCACCGGGGATTGAACCTGGGAACTTCTGCATACGAGGCAGAAGCTTTGTCCCTGAGCTAAGCTTCAGTGTTCCGTCACTGGCGGGTCCAGGTGAAAGGATCAGGTCACAGGTGATAGAAACGGCCTCTCTTTGAGATCCTGGAGATTTGCTGTCAGTCACAGTACAGTATCTAATACAGATGACAGATAAATAGTTGGGCCTGACGCAAGACAGTTTTCTTGCGTTCTTTTTTGCAATACGAGATAATTACAACCCAGCAAAGTTTTCCCCTGCCTGCAGGTCAAATTCCTAGTGGAAAAGGGGACTTTGTTCAAACAGAGCAGGGTGCCAACGTGGAACTCACCCCTTTAACAGCATTTTGATCTGCAGCAATTGGCAGCTGATTGCAGCTCACCGCAAAGGCGCTTCGCTTGCTGAGATCTGCACGCCAAATACCTATTTTAAAGGGACAAGAGCTTTCTCTTTCCTCTTCTTTTGCAAGCTGGCAACCGTACAGTGACACACACACCTAGCTTGCTAACCTTTCGTGAGCCAGCTTGGTCAACATATGCAAAGGATCTGGACCTCTGTGGTGGTGCTGTTTTTAAAGTCCTCTATTCGTAACAAATGCCTGCCAACTAGGTTAGCTGGCTCAATTTCATCTGGTGTGCAGGTGTTGCTAAGATCATATGACGAGCCAGTGGTCCATTTAGTCCAACATCCTGTTTTCCCGGGGGCCAAGCAGATGCCCATGGGAAGCAGGGCATCTAGCAGGAGCTGAGCACAAGAACCCTCTCTCCTCCTGTGGTTTCCAGCAGCTGGTATTCAGAAGCATTACTGCCTCTGGCCACAGAGACAGAGCAGAGCCGCCATGGCTAGTAGCCATTGATTTGGCAGCACTTGCGCTTTGTGCCACAGGACAAAATGTGCAGAGGTGTAGTTAGGGTGGGCAGCCTTTAATTTCTATTGCGGCACTGCCAGGTCTACTGCTTCCCTCTACTCCCAGGTGCTTGGAGGCTAGCTCCGTAGCTGTCTCTCTCCCTCTGTTTTGCACACTAAAACAGCAACCACCCACTAGCCTCCAGGATTCTCTCTTTGCAAGGAAATTGCCCCATGAACTCGGGGGCACTTTCAAGTGAATTGGGCGTTCGCTCTGATTTGTTTGCAGGGAGATGAGAGGATGTTGGCTATTTAACAAGCACTCATTTGGAGGTTAGATGATGTTGCTTCAAAGGAAGTGTCCTCACCCACTTTCCTTATTGCAAAAAGGCCCATCTTTGGGGGGTAGTGGAGCAGGTTTGTTGTGCGACTATAATTGTGCAACCAGAATTTGCCACTTTGGATGAAATCCCACCTTAAAGCAGAGACAGTCTGGAGGCACCGTGTGTGTGTGTGTGTGTGTGTGTAGTGAGTAATTGTGTAAGTTTTATCATTAAGATAGTTTGCCAGGTTTTCCTAACCAATCAGTTATAGTAGAGAAATGCAATACATAATAATAAAGGAAGGAAATTTATTGAGAGGTGGGCTTTGTTTTTACATGTTTGGAATGACAATGTACATGTTTATATTTTAATCTGTTCACTGTACAGTACTTTAGAGATTTGTTGTTGTTTTGCTGCCCCTTTTCTCCTTCATATGCCATTTCCCTGCTCCCCCCCCCCCCACTTTTCTTCTTTTTTTCTTGACAGGCAAGTTTGTTTGATGAAGAACAATCTTGGCTACAAAGTGTAGTGATATAATATTATTCAAAAATAAAAAAACAGGGACTAAGTGTGTGACAGAGTATACTTTAAACTTATTGGGAAGAATTTGAAAAACAAGCGTTAGTCTGGCAACTCCATCCAATTAATGAGTTTCCACCCCCACCCCCTTTTCAGGTATGCCATGGCTGTTGCAAATGGATCTGTAAACATCACAGAAGCTTTTCCATATATCAGGTATGGCTTGACTGGGTTTCTGAGAAAGTCTTCCAACCCCCCCCCCCTCAAAAAAAACCCACCCTTCTCTAGCTTCCATCTTTTCAGGAAGTCAAGTTATTCTCTGTATTGAAGAGAACCCTTTTGAGTGACAGCCTCAAGCCTTGTGGAACAGGCGGGCCATAGCCAACCTGATGTTCTCCAGATCTTCCGGTCTACGACTTCCATCAGACCCATCCAAAATGGCTTTGGGGTGTGTGATGGGGAGGATGTGCCACTGTGTCCTTCACTTCAGGCAGCAAGAGGGCCTGGACCAGCCTAGAGAAGAAGGATGGAATATTGCCCCATCCAGGCCTAACTAGACTACCCAGCAATCGGTGTGCATCATTTTCAGCCCTAGGACTCCCCTTTACCCCAAACACACACCTGGAGACCAATTTCTCTCTTTTATTTTATACTCTATCCTGTATATGGATGGTAGCAGCGCAGCTGTGCTGTGACCCACTTTGGATGAGGCTGCAATCCAGTTGTGGGTCCCACCACACTAGCTGAGGAGGACCAATGAACTAGGGCTGTTTCTGTGTACTGAATTGCTTCTATTGATGGGCTGGGGGGAGTCTAAGGGGCCAACTTCTAAACTCAGCTGCAATCTGTATGAATTCCCCCCTTGTCTTCCTCCAGCACATGTGGCTCTTCCCCACCCCAGAGCTGTGTCTTTGGTCAAGTTCTTAATCTAGGAGCTTTTCTAGGTAAGCCCTGTCTCTCTTGGTCTCTTTCCTTTTGCCACCATGTGTCTCCAATGCTCCATATTTAATCAGGGACAGCCCTAACCTTTTAGTTCAGGGGCAGGGAACATTTTCCTGGTCAAAGGGCCACATGCCTTTCTGGGCAACCTTCCAGGGGCCACTTGCCAGTGGTGGGTGGGGCCATGGGCAAAAGTGGGTGGAGCAACTAATGCAAATTTTACCTTTGGTACAGTAGGCTGGTTTCTACAGAGATTCATACACACACGCCTCTCTATTCTCCATCCAAGAGGCATTGTCTGAGTGGAAGGACGCCTCTAGCAAAAACACTCAAGGAAGATGCAAAGCCAAGCCTGTGAGGGGCTGGAAAGATGTGTGGCCTGAGGAGACTCTTGAGAGCCAGATAAAGAGATGAGGAGGGTCACATTTGTCCCCTGAGCCTGAGGTTCATTCCTCTCCCATTTTAATTCTTAGCTCTGGTCAATAACTGTCCATATTTCTGTCTGTGGAGGATGCCCAGTTAGGATGGTGTCGGTGCAGCAGGTGCATGTGTGGAGGGGAACGAATGCCGTGTTAGGGATTCATTGGGGAAGGAGTTGAAAAGAAAACCACCAGGCCTGTAAGCCCTTTCAACAAATCTGCGCTGCAACGACACTTCGGAAGATGCACCTTAAACAGGATATTGTAGTCCTGGCAAAGGAGCCAGGTGTTATGTAGTGGTTAAGAGCGGTAGTCTTGCAATCTGGGGAACTGGGTTCGTGTCTCCGCTCCTGCACATGCAGCTGCTGGGTGACCTTGGGCCAGTCACACTTCTCTGAAGTCTCTCAGCCCCACTCACCTCACAGAGTGTTTGTTGTGGGGGAGGAAGGGAAAGGAGAATGTGACGGGTAGTGATAAAGCCGGATATCAAATCCAAACTCTTCTTCTACGATCAAAATAACGGTGGGATTGGAGCAACTGAATCATGAGGAAAGGTTGAGACTTTTTAGTCTAGAAGAAAGGCAAGCGCGGTGGATATGATACAGGTGTACAGAATTATTATCATTGGAAAAAGCGGATTGAGAGAGGCTTTCTTCCCTCTCTCATAATACAAGACCCCAAAGGGTTTTTGAGGATTCAGGGCAGATGAAAGAAAATAAGGTAACTTCTCTCCCAGCACATAGTTGAAATATGAAATTTGCTCCCGCAGTATGTAATGATAGGACACCAGTTTGAATGGCTTTAAAAGAATATTAGGCAAATTTATGGAGGGAAAGGCTGTCTTCTACTTTAGAGTCTGCCTCTCAGTGACATGTATGGACCATGTGGTGGCTCTGGGACAGCAAATGAAAGGATGGATCTTATCAGCCTCAATAACTGACATCTCTTCCAGGCGCAGTGATCTGCTTTCTGAAATACCAACAGGTGCGGGATTATGGCTGTCATTCCCGTTTAAATCTAGTTGGGCTCATTTTCGGCCTACTCTGTGCCCTCGGGTCGTCTATTGTGGGCAATTTCCAGGTAAGAAGCTGCAGATGGGGAGGGGGGTTGACAAGCCTTACCAAAAATGAAGAGGAGGAGGTCTCAGTAGGGATGGTCCTTAAATGACAGGGGTGGTCAGAAGAGGCCCACCCATCTCACCTTTGCTGGGGATGCAGAAGATTGTGGGGTATTTGGGGGGGGTCTAGGATGTTTCCCGAACATCTCTACACACTTTAAAAAGGCGATGGGGACGTGGTTTGTCTTAAAATTGGGGCTTGTGAATTTCATTGAAAAGGATTTCGATGAACTAGAACATGAAATGGCCTTGGTGGGGTGGGATTTTCTCTGTTGATTTACTCTGTTCTCTTTCCCCTACAGGAAAAAAACCAGATAGAAACCCATTTAGTTGGGGCCTTCTTGGCTTTTGTGGTGGGCATCCTTTATTTCTGGGTCCAAACATTCCTGACCAACCGAGTGAAGCCGAGGCACGGAGGATGGTGGATCGGGCCCCTCAGATTCTCCCTCAGCTTCTGTGGTTCTGCCTTTCTCATTGCCAGTATCCTGAACTAGAGCGTTGTCTTTAAAGATGCAGGAGGGGAAATTGCGGAGTACGCAGAGGGCTTTTATAAGGATCCATAGATCAGCGGCAGAGCATCTGCTTTGCATGCAAAAGGTCCCAGGTTCAAGTCTCTCAGCATCTCCAGGTAGGGCTGGGAGAGATTCCCTGCCTAAAATCCTGGAGAGCTGCTGCCAGACTGTGTAGACATTACTAGCTTGGATGGACCATTGGTCTGACTCAGAATAAGGCAACTTCCTGTGTTCTAAGGGAAGAGACAGGTATTATCTACATTATTATCAACATGAAGCAGCTTGGGGTTAGTTGATAGATAGTGTGATTGGGAGGTTGAAGGGCACAGTTTCACATCTATTATCTCTTGCACCAAGTTGTTGTTTAGCCTCAATTGGCTTTTCTTTGATGTGCTATGCAGAACTGGAAACACACTCACTCGTATCCTTAGGGACTGGCTTCAAGTGGTCCCGAAGAATTTCTTTAAAAAATGTTCTTAGTATTTATTAGGAGCCCAGGCAGCCCAGAACCTGGGACTTTTCTGAGGCCGGTGCCAGGAGTTGGCATGGCCAGGCAAATGCCCTTAGCCTGGCATGAGGGGACGGAGCAGACACCACTGGCAGCAGTTTGCTAGCTCTGTTGTTGCCTGTTTGTTTGCTCACCCACCCACTGGCCCAAGGGGGACGGGCAAATGAGAAGCAGCAACATCTCCTGCTGTTGTCACTGCTTGCTTGCCAGTTTTCCCTCTCGAGCTGGTAACAGTGGCCGTTAAGGAGGCTGCGGCTTACCAAATGCATCTTGTGAGAGTCCTGCCCCACATCCAAAAACAAAGTGGAACTAGGTCTGGCCTCTCCTCAGTCTTGCCTAGGGCTGCATATACACCGTGCATTTAAAGCACATTCTACCCCATAATAATAATAAAAGACCTGGGAACTGTAGTTTAAGGGTGTTGAGAATTGTGGCTCTGTGAAGGGTAAACTATTGTTCCCAGGATTCTGTGGAGGAAGCTACATGCTTTAAATGCATGGTGTGTGTGCAACCTATATCTCTTTTGGGAATAACAGATGCACCGGCTCTGGCTCCTTTTTCCTTGACTCCTTTAATCCCAGCGATTGTGCTCTTTTTCCTGAAGCTGCATTCTGAGTCAGCCTACTGCGAATGGGCCCTGGCCATGGTCCTCTTCCTTCTCTTTGGGCTCTTTGCAGTGGATTTCTGGCACATGGGGACCTGCTCAGTTCACGTCTATCACCAGCGGGCAGACCAAGCAGCTCAAGACATGCAGACGTCAACGCAGACTCTCCCTCTCTGATACCTCCTATGGACATGGGGGGAAGAAGGGGTCTCTGCAAAACTTTCCACACAGTTGGAGTCCTTTTCCAGTGGACCGGATCATGCCCTGCCATGTCCTCTGATGGCGAGTGAAGTAGTTCCCAGCTTTTCTGCTGGGGTGTGGGACTCCCTTGTGGGACTGCCTACAGTCAGGGTTTCTTGGCCATTTTGGAGAGTCTCCCTGACTTGTCACTCACCTCAGACAAATCTCCTCGGTGCTCTTCGTAACATTTAGCCACCGCCTTCTGCTGAGTAGGGGCAGCTCTTCGCCTCCCCTCGCAAAAGGACCCACCAACCATCTCCTTTGCAAACCAGTATTTTAAAAGTGTCCTGTTTTATTTTCTGTTAGCATCCTCCCACTGGTGGCTGCAAAATCCCCGCCACTGCCAGTTCTTCATCTTACCCATCTCCACACCGCTGTATATGAAAACCATAGTGATCTAGAAGGGTCCCAGGCCCATCTTTGTGTGACGCACACATCAGCACCCGCCATTGGCTGATGTGCCCAGGCCTTGCTTTCTCTGTCGCGTGGATGGGCCTAGTAACTCTTTGCAGCACAGGTGGCTGTGAGGAGCCGTTTTCTCCTATGCTTCCCTCCACAGTAATATATGGGAGGGGAAGACAGTGAGACCAAAAAAACCCCAACTACCTCCTCCACAGCCTGCTTTGGTGCAACGAATCTTGCTGCCACAGTCAACGGTCTGGCCAAACTGTGTGAGTTGCTTAGGCACATATTCTTACACCGGTTTAAACAGTATCCCGACACGGCGGTTGTGTCTTTCAACCACAGCCTCTACACACACACAGATGAATTGTTCGTTTCTGAAGCTGTTGGGTGGGTGGATAAGATATTGTGCCAGAAAGACTAGGTCCAGCTCCTTAAAGCTCTCACACACCTCTCCAGTCACCCATGTGCGTGGATCCAAGTTCTTTTTCATCACGCTCTGGCAGTATCAACAACTATGTGTGTCCTTCCTCTGATGGAAAAGTAGGCACCTTTGCTCTCCTGTTAGGAAAGGTGTTGTATTATCCTATTATACAGATGAATACTGAAGTCTTGTCTTCCTTTTTTATGTTCCCAATGGGGCTTTGCCCAATCCATTCTTCCACAACTGAAAAAGTAGGTCCCTCTAACCTAATGTGAGAAACTCTTTTTAAACAAAAGCAAAAAACTATTCTTCTTTATCCCTTGCTAGACTCCTGCCTTGAGGTTAAAGTAAACATTATTCCTACTTTATAGCTACAAACTGAACCTCCAGTCTAATTTCTTTCCTTTCCTAAGAAAGGACAGTTAATAAAGTGGAAGTTCTGGGTAGCTAGCTGTGGAAGCGCTTATTTATTTGCCCTAAAATCAGAGCTGGCGTGGCAGGCTTGATACAATTCCAGCCAATTTATGTGCGGTGTTTAAATGAGCTGAAGACCACTGGCAAGATTCCTCAGAAGGCTTATGGGACTTGGGGCTGAAAGGGTAGGATTTCTAGATTTGATCTAAAGACACAAAGCAGATTCTTGTACTCAAGATGTGCCACCATGGAAGAGAAGACTTGTGTTTCATTGGGAAGCAGCTCAAAATCCAAGGGGAGTTGGAAAAGTGCAAAATTGCCATTTTCTCATATACACGTGCCCCTACATTCCCATTTTCTCTCACGCACCATGGTCCAGCTGCACGGGCAGCACCCAGTCTGCTGCCCCTCCTATTGGCTTCAGTCAGCATGGCCCAATGGACAGAGAGAAGTCATTCAACAATCCCACCCCTGCTATACCCACACATGGGATACACAAAGCCCGTTTGCTCTGGGAACTCTTTCTGATGTTTTCTTTCCGTGTTGCTTCCTGTGCTAGCATTGCCCTTCCCTGAGAACCTTTGCGTAGCCAGGGGGCTCCTTTACTTGCATGTTACTAGAGCCACATGGAAGCACCCCCTGCCACTTGAATCAGGCACTCCCCTCTCTCCCCCACCCCTGCTTGCATGCAGGTTCATACACACTGACCACCATCTAGCCACTTTTTGGCATACTGTGCACTAAGCATGCCTTCTCTGCCATATGGACAAAACCTATCCTCATGTTCCCCACCAGCCACACTTCTGTCCACATTTATTCACACAACCAGCATGCTCTCATTTATGCAGAGCTCTCATCCCAGACTCGCATACCCCCAGAGTCCTGAGCCCACTCACAAAACACACTGCAGGCATAATTTCCAGGAGCCACAGTCTCTGTTTACACAACCAGCATCTCCATGCCAATGTGTAAACAGCCAGTGTGGAAACGCATCTGATTTGAATAGGTCCCCACCTGCTGATGGCCCCAGAGACGGCTTCAGCTGTTTACACATCATTCGTTTAAAGCACATGACTTGCCCCAAAGAATCCTGGGAACTGTAGTTATGGGTGCTAGGAACAGCAGCTGAGGGGGGTAAACTATAGCCCCCAGGATTCTTCGAAGGGAAGCCATGTGATGTAAATGTTTGGTGTTTCGTCAGCTCTTAACCTCCCTTTTAGGGGATATGTATGTGTGCAAAGGCCACCTTACCCTTGCACCATCCAGTATCATTGCACATGTGAAAGCACTGTGATGATGCACCCTTGACCTAACCAGAGCCATCACCCCTAAAAAACAACAATGGATCTCTTTCTCATCCCTCTCACAACCCCACCTCATCACCTTCCAGCTGGAAGCCAAAAGGGCCGCAATCCCCCGGAAACTTGGGCAGAAATAACACGTGGTAAGTCTCAGCAGCAAGGGAAACATTTGAGTGACTGTTTGTATTTTTTTTTTTCTGAGCAATAATTAGACCCCCGGAGATGAAAGGCTTGGGTGGGGGTGGGGTGTTGAACAGCCAGAGAGAAGGGTGGGGAGAAGATGGGCTGTGGGGTTGTTGTGTGTGCGCGAGAGATAAGGTTGGGTTCACAAAAGGAGAGAGGATGGGCAGACACAGGGAGGAGGGTGGCGGGGGGAGGTTACATAGTTGTCTCCTGCCCATTTGCACGCCCGCATGCGCCATCACCCACATTCCCCCCTCCCCCAGCTGAGAGGAGAGAGCCGCCCAGAGCAGGATGGGGGGGATGGAGGAGGAATGGTAGGAGCAGGACTGCTTTTTTCAAAATCCACCATCACCACCCTATTGCACTGTCACCCAACCTGGACTCCCTTCCCCATATCGACGGATGCCCATTGATCCTGCCGTTGGCTCCCAATTTTGCAGCTCCCACCCTCCGCACTCTTGCGAATGCCACTCAGAAATCCTGCCTCTTGACGCCACTCCAGTTGACGCCCGTATGCCTCCATTAAGGTCCTCAGCCTGGTGACTCTGGGGTCCCTCTGCCTTCTGTCAAGACCGCAGCATGTTCTGAAAGCCTCCCCCCTCCATCTGTCCCCCTCCTCATAGTGCCTTGTGCATATGGGTGCCCAGCTTTAGGGAAAAAGGAGCGGGGAGAGCGGGGACACGGGAGGGGAGTCATGTACCCACCCGGAGTTCTGGCGGGGTTGCTAAAATTACACGAGACAGAAGCTAGGCCTCAATTATATCCTTGGAAATTTTGCAGACCAATAGATGAGCTTTTGAAAATACTGAAAGGGGGGCCTAATGTAGGATGATAAGCAAAGCAGGAAGAGATAGTAGAGGGTATTCTTTACTCATCTGTGCCCCTCTTTTTTTCTTTTTAGAAACACAGGAGTAGCCCAAATGGCTTTGATAAAATTTCCTGCATAAAACAAGACCATGTATTTGAAAGGAATGAGAGACATCTATTCAAATCTGATCCTGGTTTGTTCTAGACACCTTTTTCTATTTCGAGCCATGATATTTCTAATGTTGGAAACTGAAGGCTTTCTGGTAGTGTTTGTTTTTTAAGCTAACAAAATCAGTGCAGCTGCCTATCCCATTCTCTCCTCTGCAGCTCTTGCTGAATCCTGCTCTCATACTGCGCTCTCTATGAAGGAATCATGAATATCCTTCCAGCAGTGACTGTAATGAGTGGTTGCATAAGTCTGATACTTTTGTCACTTAGTCGGAATAAAAAGTTAGGGATGGGAATGGAAAATGCAAGCAGTCACATTGTGCCGTAAGCCGTGCTCTGACTTCTTCAGGGGGTACTCAAGGGTATGCAGTACCAGTGCCTCTTTTTGTTATTGTTAAAAAGTGTGGCACTTAATATAACAACTCATGCTGAGTACTGGCACCTATTTTTCTAGAAACAAAGCACTGGCTATATTTTAAAAACACGGAAGAATGGTAATTTGGGAATGTTGTTGACTATTCCTGGTGGGTGAGCAAACACCCTTTTTTTTTTAAAAAAAAGCAGCAATTTGTTAAAAATGGATTGCTGACATTGTCAGAGCTTTCAGAGTTATTTTTGGCTTTAAATGCATTTTTCAAATTGCTCCTTCTCAGTAAACGGCTTTAATAGTTACAACCACACCCATCCACCCCCCAAAAATCGCATATATTCAAAAATTCAGATTTTTTTGGGGGGGGATTTTTCAAACTTTGGTTTTTGAACATTCTTACAATGAATATTTAAGCTTTACGCCAACTGGCGATAATGCTTTCCTTTCTTTAACCTAATTAAGTTTCTCAGAGCAGGAAAACTAAAAGAGAAGTTGAAACAGAAGGGAAACGTTTTTGACTTTCTCTCCTGCGACAACCAATTTTATTTATCCATTTCATAAAATGTATATTCCGCTTGATTGTTAAAAAACAAACAAACCAACAACCCAAATTCTGCTACTAGTTCTGTCTCCTGATTTTAGTCACTGTCGCCATGAACCAGTGAATACGGGGGGGAGGGGGGGTACTATTTCTGAGGCCACAGAAGGAAAAGCAGGAGAAAGAGAATGTCTTGTGGAAAGAACCAAAACAGAAATCAGGAGGGAGTCTGTGAAAAGGGCTCAAGTAAATAAAGACACCCACTTTCCCTCCCACTCCCACCCCCAACCAAAAGGATAGGATTAAACCCCCACCCCAAACCCCACCGGCTCCTGCCCGGTTTGCTCTTCCTCTTCCTTCCCCCCTCTGTTTGTTTTCTTTTCTTTTTTTCCAGTCCACCATCCTTTCTTTTTGTCTCCATAATTTGTTCTTTTCTTTCTCTTCGGTTCTTGTAGATTTGTTTTCTGTTGTTGTTGTTGTTAACTATTTACAAGTTCACAGTATGGGCCGCTCCCAAGATGGCGACTTTCCGCCCCAAGGGGTGGGGTGAGACAGAGTTGTTGAAACTTGGACCAAACCCCCACCCCGCCCTGCCCTGCCCCGCCCCTGCCTGCGTCTCTGGTGCAGGGCCTTTTACCCATCCATCCAGGTTCGTTGGCTCCTCCTGTCCATCTGGAGCGGCTGCCAGCTATTTCCAGGGGCGCGGAGTGGGCTTCCTTCGGCTGCTCTTCCCCCTAGCCACCCTCAGGCTGCCCCCCTGCCCCAGACGTCATGGCTGCTGTGGAGACGGGGGTGGTGTTTGCTGGACTTGAGTCCCGTTGGACGAGACAAGCTTCTTGTCCTTGGAGCCGCGTCGATGGTGTTCGGACGAGACGTCGGATTCGGAGCGCCGAGACGGTTGGCAGCTGCGGGTTGGAGTGCCTGGCAAGCGGGACTGCTGCCCGTTCTTCTCATCTGGAAGTGGAGAGAAGCAAAATCAGGGGAATTTCACAAGCAGTCACACACACACACACACACCCTTTGGCACTGCTCTGAACAACCAAGATCCAACAGCGCCTTTTCTCCTGCTTCCTGTCCCATAGTAACTATGGTGCTTAAATATGGGTGTGTTCTGCAAATGGTCCTTCACATAATAATAGTGCATTAGAGGTGGGTTTCATCTGCTTTAGTTTGTTCTACAAAGCTTAAGAACAGGCATAGGCAAATTCGGCCCTCCAGATGTTTTGAGACTACAACTCCCATCATCCCTGACCGCTGGTCCTGTGAGCTAGGAATGATGGGAGTTGTAGTTCCAAAACATCTAGAGGGCCAAGTTTACCTATGCCTGCTTAAGAATATAGGAAGCAGCTTTAAATCAAGTCACACCACTGCTCAGACCTCCAAGGTTTCAGGCAGGATTCTTTCCCTGGAAATTGAACTTGGGACTTCATGCATGCAAGGCAGATGCTCTAGGGCTGAGCTATGGCCCTTCCCTAATGCTACCATGTCACTGCTGTCTGGAGGGGAACAAAAATAAACCAGAACGTTTGTGGTATAAAGCGTTATGGGCTTCCGGCAGGAAGTTACTGACTGGAAGTGAAGCAGTGTGACTGCACCAAAAGTTTTGCAGATGCAACCAGGGGCCCTAAATTTCAAGATACCCCATTCCAAAGAAGTAGCCTTGTTAATGTGCTGCAGCAAACGGTCTAGAGATAAGAGAACAAGATGGGATGCCATGCAGCAGCTGCACCACCAGGACAGGTAATATTTGCACAGGTAACAGAAAATGCCTCTTGACAAAAACCAGCATGGGCAAGAGCAGTGGCTAGCACACTGCTCATTGCTAGACTGCATCCATCTAAGATCGAGCAAACCCATTCAAACACCTACCAGCGAGGGCTTGCACAGAAGGCTGGTCGTGTGTGCTGAGCAGTTGCGCCTGGATTGTTTCCACAACTCGCTTAAACCGGCGGCTAGGACCTAAGAATGACATAGGCAATCAGGGTCAGGAAGGAACAGGGGCTCCTGGAGATACTCCAAAAGACAAGATTCCAGGAGCAGGACACTGCTAGGGCTGCATGGTGGGAAGATGCACTCATAAGCAGTGCAGAGCCTAAAACCAAGCTCATCTGAACTCTGTATGGGTGGGTTTAAGACTGCATTAATATTAGAGATATTCAGGCTTTAACGTCTCTGTTTTGTTAGATACCATACTCAATATATGGTTTTAGAACAAACTGCTTATTTCTGGGATCCAGAACAAACTTGTCTGAAGTGCTATGTGCTGTTTTAAAAACCATTCTCTCTCACACCATCACACACCCCTATTTATAAATAAATTAAACACACACACGCACACTCATAGTCTACTTGCTTCAGCACTGCAATATGCCAGTAACAACTGTGAAATGAATGAATTTGGATTCCCAAGTCAGACGCTGGTGCCTTTTTAGACTCTGGGATAGGTGCTATGTTGCCTCTGGAGAGGTTGGTGTTTGAAGTTCCTGTAAATGAACTCTGATCTTCCCTCCAAGGGAACTGGGATCCCCTTTCCCACCGTGGGCGTATCTACAGACTCTAAGCTAGTTTAAAAGGTAGCCGTTTCATGCAAGGCGCTAGTGATCTCTATACAGGGCCCTTTGCCCTTTCGTGAAACTATGAATTCTGCAGGACTCTTTGGGAGAAACCACAAAACTGGTGAAAGCTGATGTAAAATAGTAAGATACATATGCCCCATGTGAGAATCTCCCATGCATTGTTCATAACCCACTACCAAACGTTAGAAACAAAACAAAACCCCACAGGCTCTGTGGGACATCCCTAGAATTCAGCAGCACCATGTGTTGCTCCTGTTGTCAGCCCCCAGGAACTGCAAAGAAGCAACTGGGAATCAGCTTTCACGGAATCTTGAAGGCAGAACTGGCAGCCTCAAAGAAGGGAAATCATGTGCAAAGGCAAGTTGCAGGACCCAAAATAATAGCCATTCAGGAGACTTTGCTCATACATTTCCAGCCATGTGTTTGCAATGATAATGGATAGAAGCTGCTTTTCTTAAAACAGTCCTTTCCTGGGGGGGTCCCAGGGAATCCCGGGGTATGTAAGCCTGTGAGGGGTATGGCCTATCTCTTCTACTAAAACAGCTGGAAACATCATTTTTCTTTCAATGAATCTAGTGGCCACTATTAAACTTACTCCCAAGTAAATAAAAAATGTACACATCTCCAAGAGACTGAAAGGTGATTAGGTTTTTGTATCAGAGAGGGACAGAGGAGGGAGGTATCCAATCAACTCTCCACTGCCCCACAAATATCTATTTTTATTCATACTTGTCCAAAGATATACAGAAGCTCATACCCAATACAAAGTATCTTTTTATAATACACCAGAATAAAAGAAATGCTTTCGAAATCTAATCTAAAAAAGGAACGGAAGCAAAAAGAAGAAGAAAAAGGAAAAGAAAGTGATAGAGAAGAGAGACGGGGGGGAGAATGAAGAAAGATTAAAAAAAAAATACTACTGATTCTCTATCCTGCAGTTAAATATAGCATTCACTCAAAAACATCCAACTATTCTATAAACCAATTTTTCTATAAAAAATTTTCTATAAATTCTATAATTTTTTCTATAAATTCTACAAATTTTCTATAAACCAATTTTTCTATAAATTCTATAAACCAATTTTTCTATTCTATAAACCAATTTTTCCCAATCTTCATATCCAGATATTACAAGTTCATTTTCTCTTTCACACAAAAAGCCAGCAAGAAGTTTTCAATCCTTAATAAATGCCAGTAGTGATTTTTCTCTCATTAAAGGTGTCCAGTAAACACAATTAATCCCCAAGACCACTCAAAGGAGGATCCTAGGGCACTCACCTGAGATGAGGGTGAAGGTGACCGAGTAGATCCCGCTGTCCTTGTGCGCCTCCCCACCCTCGGAGTAGCTGATGTCGACTTGGAACTTGATGGGTTTCTGGAAGACAGAGGGGCCACCCGACGACTTATATTCGGCCCGGAAGCTTGTTTGGGATACAACGCTGTGACTCAGGCTGGGGATCTGTGAATGTGATGGAACACAGGAGATGTCAGCCTACAGGCAGCATTGGGCAAAACGGTCCATTTCTATCAATTTCTCATTTTTCTAGTCTTCACATTTCCACATCGGCTTGTGATTAATTTTTTTATTTTTTAAAAAAGTCCTTATGAAAATTCACCAGCATTTTAGTCCGAATTCCTTCTAATATACACCTGCTCCTTTCAAATTTTAGCCTAACATGCACAGTTCTGCACAGCAGCTTCCCCTATTTTTTTCCTGTGCTTTTCAATAATGTCTGCATTCCCGCCTTAACACTGTACCCTAACATATATGCATTTTTGTACACCTTAAATGATTGGAGAATGGCATTTCAAAATTCGGAGAAGTGTGAATTTTGAAAGTTGACCATGATTTGGTTCACGTATTGATTTGGAAAGTGTGGATTTTGTAAGTCTGCCTTTAAAGGCAAATGGAATCTCTAATTTCTCCCCCATCTTTACCCACACACCACGGATGGAACTCATCCCTTCCCAGGGTCATGCTAATTCCACTGCGGTTGTCAGCACCCAGTAGGCCTGTCTTAAAGGTAAAGGTAAAGGGACACCTGACCATTAGGTCCAGTCGTGACCGACTCTGGGGCTGCGGCACTCATCTCGCTTTATTGGCCGAGGGAGCCGGCGTACAGCTTCCAGGTCATGTGGCCAGCATGACTAAGCCGCTTCTGGCGAACCAGAGCAGCACACAGAAACACCGTATACCTTCCCGCCAGATACCTATTTATCTACTTGCACTGGCGTGCTTTCGAACTGCTAGGTTGGCAGGAGCAGGGACCGAGCAACGGGAGCTCACCCCGTCGCGGGGATTCGAACCGCCGACCTTCTGACTGTCAAGTCCTAGGCTCTGTGGTTTAACCCACAGCGTCACCCGTGTCCCTTTTTAGGCCTATCTTACTTGCCTCCATATCCTATTCTTCACAGTCTCCCCAAACACACACATTCTACCCCTCCAGAGCCTTCAGCACTCACCGAGAGGAAGGCGTGTACGATATCAGCCTTGATGGAGCTCAGGGGTTTGTCTTTGATGACCACGAAAATTTGCTCCTCTTTGTCTAGGTTGATAAAATTCCCAAACCAGGATTTCTTGGCTAGTCTGAAAGGGGCAAAAGCAGAACAGGAAGGCTGTGACAGCCTGCAAATAAGCACGACAAAGAAGGAGAGGTGGGAGAGGTGACCACTTGTTGCCACTGAAGCCTGAGCCTGTGGCAACTGCACAACCACAGAAGCACTTGTCAGGGACTGGCTGGACAAAGAGGAGAGGTGGGAGGCACCATCTGGGGAACCCCAAGGGAAACTCCGGAAGAGGAAAGCTCAGAGCACAGGGATTGGCGGTGGGACACTGAAGAGAGGCCAGAGGAACAGGATTGGGAGTAGGTGCCGGATGCTGATGGGGCAGCAGGGTTTAGTGAGCAGGAAGAGCCTGTGACAGAGAGCAGTTCAGACTCTGAGGCTGAAGCAGAGGAGGGGAGGGGGCAAGAGGCTGATGAAGAATCCAGGGAGTCTCCCTCTCCTGCTGCAAAAACATGCAGAATAATGAGGAGAGCAGAACACAGGCCAGACATGTACAGACGCAGTTTGAGACTGCTTGGGAAACATCCGGGAGAGGAGGAGCCTTAGAAAGGGTGGAAGGCAGGGACCTTCAGTCCTAGCAACTGCTCCAAAGGGACAAGAATTACTGGGAAGTGTTGCTGTGTTCTATGCAGTTTCCTTGAACAAAGAGTTAACTTCACTGGCCACAGAGACCTGCATTCTCTGTGCTGGCCTGTGTCTGACTCCGATGAGTCTACTTGGTGCAGGTGGAGGGTGGGGAGATTTGGAGGGTGGGGAGAAGCTCCCTTGTGCTCTTGACAAGGAGATGTATCGATTCCCCTGTCCCTTTGCCAGTGGAACCTGTGTGCCTTTCCTGGCTGCCCATAGCAGTGGAGGAGTGGCCCAGGGAGCATGCACACTCCCAGCCACTCTAAGCCAGAGTACAGAAGCACCATTTTTGCACACACACCCTGGATCCGGGCCCTTGGCTTGTCTTGCCAACTCCTAAGTACAACCCTGCATCCAGTAAGGAACAAAGTTAAAGAACATGGAGAGAAGGAAAATGAAAGGAATTTTCGTCTCCTTCCTTATTGCCACTGCCTTCTGATACTCACTCAGGGGATGATTCTGGAGTAAGACTGGACATTTCTTCTGGTGTAGGAACTGCAGGGCGAGGAGGAGAAACATGAAATGTAAAACAGGAGTGTGCGTGACCTCCTTCCCACCCACTCCAGTGCTTCAAAGCAAAGCTGCACTTGCTCCTGGATGTTGAGGACAAAAGCAGGGGTGGCTAGGACTTCCACACAGTCTTGCTTGGGCAAGAGCCGTAGCTCAGTGGTAGAGCATCTGCTTTGCATGCAGGAGGTCCTGGGTTCAGTCCCTGGAATCTCCAGGGAGGGCCGGGAGAGTCTCTCTGCCCAAAATCCTGGAGAGATACTGCCAGTCAGTGTAGGCAATAATGCTAGGGGGAATCAGTGTTCTGAGTCAATATGAGGCAGCTTCCCAGGTTCCTATTTCGCACATTTCCAACCCTCTTACATTTGTCTGACATATAATTTATACCATGGATGGAAAATCTCCACTCTACAGGCCAACCTTGGCCTGGCATGGGTTCCAATTTAGCCCAAGAGGCTGTTTCCCCCCCAAAATTGCACCCACCTATCAATCAGGTGACATCATCCCAAGAGGCGGATGACATCAGCTGATGGTTGGGGACTTCATCCTGCCTGGTTCTGCTGCTCAAGCTAGCTTCCCCCGGAATCATAGATCCCTGACATCGTTATGACATCTGTGGTCCTGCCCACTTGTCAAAGTTGGCCCATCGGGTGGAGAGATAAAGATTTGGATTGCTGGACCACAGAGGTTCAGCTTCATGTAAACAATTTGTTGCACAACGGCATTATGCAAACTCCCATTTCATTCATACGTGCGCGCCCTTTTGATTGCTCTCTGTGCTCTTGCCCTTTCATTCTCTATCGTCCCCAGTCATAGGCACACATCGGTCCTGATGCAGCTGTACCCTCTGAATGCTCCTCTGCCTGCCAGAATTCACTGCTCTTGCACATGCACAGGAAGGTGCTTTAGATGCTCACACAGAACATCTCACACACCGCCTTACAGGGGGCAAAGTTGCCATGCGTTAAGGATGGGTCACTCAAAATCCCTTTGTCAACACTGCTTTTATACCTTGATTTGTCTTTGGCACACACAACCGCTACACCCGCATGCACCTGTGCACACACCCTCCCCAGCAGGGGGCGGAACTGCCCACTCACCTTGTAGTTTCCGGCGGTGAAAGCGCGGGGAGCCCAGGAAGCTGTTCTTGATGGAGTTCAGGCGGGTCTTCCAGGCCACGCCCGCCACGCCCGGGCTGCTGGGCGGCGTCCCTCCGGGGGTGCCGCTGGGGCTCTCTTTGGGCGTGTGCACAGGGGTGCCGAGCGGAGTGGGGAGGGGGCTTCCCCGAGGGGAGGGGTGGGGGGTGACCTGCAGCACAGATTTGGGTGGGGGTTTAGTAGAAGGGAAAAAGCAGCGGGGAGAGGAGGGCGGGTGAGGGGGCGGAGAGTTGGGGGGCAAGGGGAAAGGGGCGGAGCGCCGGCTCTGCAGGGCCCGCTCCCCTGCCGGGCTGCCCTTGGCCGGAAGCGTCTGAGTCTTCGCAGGGGCCGGGGGAGGCGATGGGAGGGAGAAGCTGAAGATGGGGCTCTGGGTGTGGGGAGAAGTGGGGGGGAGGAAGAAAGGTGAGGAGGGGAGAGCCGTGAGATGGGGGGTGAGTAATGGCAGGTGACAGCCCCACAAGCCTGCTCCCAAAGAGAGTCTCGCTCTGTGGCCCAGACAGAACTCGGGGGCGTGACAAATGGCCTGCTTTCGTAAGGATCTGCCTGCTCCACGGCAAGCCTACCCTGCATTCTTGGGGGGTATCTGTGGCGCCCAAAGACTACGTGTCTCCCTCCAGCCAGCCTGCGCTGCAGCAAACCTGACATCCACTACTCCACCTCCCCTCCATCGCTTCTCCACGGGGCTTTTTTGATATTATGTCCTCCTCTGCCTGTCTGCCTCCCGGGGAGACCAGCCCTCTGCTTCCTCCTCCCGCAAACAGCCACCCTTTCCTACAGAGCAGCTGCTCCAAGCCCGAAAGTGGCCTTCCACAGCCTGGTGCCCTCCAGGTGTTGTTGAACTCCAGCTTCCATCATCCCTGACCACTGGCCAAGCTGGCTGGAACTGATGAGAGAGCCAGAGCTGGCCTGCATCATCATCAACCTTCATCTTCATTTATTTATATGCTGCTTAAGACCCAGGCGGCTCCTAAGCAGCTTACAAAACATATATAACCCCATTTGCACAATGGTTAGAATGCAGCATAATTTTTAAAACACACAAGTAAAATACAGCATAGAACAATCCCATTAAAATATTAAAATATAAATGTGCATGATTGTTTTAACAGATGAATCCCTTTAAAACAGCCTGGCAGTTGAAACAGGAGGCCCAAGAGATCAAGGGAATGTCTGCATCAGCTGGAAGGCACCAGGGGAAGGCTGCCCTGCCCCTTTCTCACAGGGAACCTGCCCTTCACCCTAGAGGCAGTCAACCCCTAAACAGCCAGCCTACTGCAAAGATAAGCTTCCTCTTCTAAGGGTTTCTTCCCCCATTTCATTCTGTGCACCTTTCCTAACTTTGTGGCAGGCTGCAGTTCAAGGGCTGAGGTCTTCGCTGGCATGGAGGTCTCAAAGCTGATCAAAGCTGCACCAGCTGGATTTCTGCCTTCTGTGCAGCTAGTAGCAACAAAGAACCTGCCTCCAAACAATAAAGGGCTTTGCCTACTTCCACAACAGCCAACATGCTGCACTACCAAATGCTACCTAGCCTACAGCTTGTTGCTACTTTTAGCCAAACCAACCATGGCATGAAGCACACACAGCAGAACCTCTTACAAATGCCTTCGTTTACTAAATTTCAGGCACAGAACTCCCTGCCCTGCTCTTCTGGGGCTGCTGTTTGTTACCCCTGGAGAAAAACTGCAATTAGCAGCAAAGGCAAATAATAGCTGCATGCAGGGGAGCGGGGAGATTTAGATCAGGGCTGTGGGGGGAGCAAAGAGTTAAATCCCTTCTTTCCCATACCATGATCCCGATCTTGATCCCCCCCTCCCCTATCAGCTGCTATTTAGAAACCAAGCACACACACGGGCAGATCATGTGCTTAATGCCATGCCTAGTTTGGCCCTTTGCCTTCCCTTTGATCACTTCAAACTGGTTTCTCCCCTTGCCTCCAACTTTCCAGATCTAGCTGGACCTGCCCACGTTTTCAAGGCACCCCACCTCAAATTCTTGTTCCCACAGAACCTTGAGCCCTGTCCCTTTCACCGAACCCTACCTGCATATACACCATACATTTAAAGCACATAGCTTCCCCCCCAAAAGTCCTGGGAACTGTAACTTACTCCTCGCAGAGCTACAATTCCCAGCACCCTTAATGGACTGCAGTTTCCAAGATTCTGCAAGGGTGTTTGGGTGTGCTTTAAATGTGTGGTGTGTACACAGTCTCAGACCTCTCTCTCTCTCTCTCTGACATCCCTTATCAAATCTACACATGTCTTCTCCCCTTTTTTCTTTAAGGTCACTACTATCTTTCACTGACCGAGGCCAGGCATGTTTGAAAGCTTGGTACCAGGTGGCAATTCAACAGGTCTAGCTTTCTCCTGGCATGGGGATGCAATAAGGGGGGAGAGAGGTGCATGGGGGAGTGATATGCACTTGGCTAATTTTCTGCCTGCCGTGTATGCAAGCCCCACTGTCAGGAGAACCAGCGATTGACTGAACACCTCTTCCCTCCCCTCACCAACTTGAACTGAGTGCAAGATGAGATGTGAATGAGGCTGCTGGATCTGCAGATCTGTTTCCAAATCCCAGTCCCTCCAAATCCCACTCCCTCCCTTCCCTATGCCCCACAACACCCACCACCCAATCTTCTTCCCCTAATGTTTGTTTCCCTTCCCCAACTCTGTAATTTCTCCAGTATCTCAGGTACTCACCCTGGGGCTACTGAGGGGACTGGAGGATAAGCCAGTGGAGGCACCACTTACAGATCGAGACCTGTTGGTTGGGGAGAAAGTCATATTGAGGGTTAGTACCGTCTTGGGGGTCAGATGAGACACACAGGAAAAAAGCAGGAGGAGATACACAAAAATGTTTTTGCAGAAACAGCAGTAAGGGGAGCAAAGCACTGTGTTTCTGTGCAGTTTTCAACACAACCAACGGGGCAGCAAAGATCAACAATGCACAAGGGCAATTCTAACAACTGAAGAACGGGACATGAAAGCGTTAAACGAACTCTGTGTTTGCCTCCTTGGCAGAAACTAAGTATTAAAAATGAAATGTTAACACAAACTGCTCTACATGCAACTACCAGCAAGAGACAGCAAAGTTTTGTTAGTCCAGTAAACATACATTGAATTCCTCGTGCAGCCACTGGATGGCAACCAAACGTTAAAATATTTGCACTTCCCAGTTCCAGGAGCAGAGGAAGCACACACACAAAAAAGGCAATGGCGCCTCCTAATGCCAGGCTGCGGAAGAGTCGCTGCTAAACACATACTCACCGCTGGCTATGTTGTGCCATCTCTATGGCCCGTCGGGCCGGAACGGGAGAACCGCCATCGGTGACACTCAGAACTTCCATGGACTTCCGCTCAGGTCGGCGCTTCCCATGTCGGTTCAGCATGGGCGAGTCGACTCGCTTCCGAGGAGGGTCTAGAATAAATGGGGGAGTGGGGGAGAGAGGCAGTACTTCAGTACTCAGAGGAAGAGAGCCACATTTCCAAATACTCTGATGCCTCCTCTCTCTCCCTCCCTCCCTCTCTCTCCATCTTAGAATCATACAACTGTGGAATTGGAAGGGACCCCAAGGGTCATCCAGTCCAACCCTTTGCAATGCAGAAATCTCAACTAAAGCACCCATGACAGGTGGCCATCCAACCTCTGCTTTCTCAAACACACACACTGCTTTCACTCGGCCAGGGACAGAAATTTATTGGGCGGGGGGGTAATGGTGACGAGAAATGCAGTTCTCAGGGCAGCAACAGAAGTCTGCAATGCATTCAATGACGGGATGCAAAAAAATCCAGCTCTCGCTTAGATGTGGTGGCAACTGTGGGATACTTGGGGGAGAATGTCTTCAAGGACTGTACCCTAGAGTAGTTTAGAGCAGGTGTCGGGAACCTTTGGCCAACCAGATGTTGCTGGACTACAGCTCCCATCAGCCCGAGCAAGCAGGGCCAATGGGTAGGGAGGTGGGAGTTGTAGGTCAGCACCATCCGGAGGGCCAAAGGTTCCTCACACCCAGTTGCATAGGTGACAACACCTGCTCATTGCCTTTCAGATCTTTCCAGGTTCCCCAACACAGGCAAAATCCCCAAATGAGACATGGAAAGAGGGAGGGAGTCCTTGAAGGTTGCCTATCAACCCAGCAGCATTTTCTCAAGGGCCGTTGTTAAGAAGGGGGCTCCAGGGTGTTTCGAAAATGTCTTTTGGATCCTTTGGCAGAACTGTGTCTGTTGGCATCTCCCTGGGATTCCTGGGAATAAGCCTCCCACTCCTGCACCCTGACGGGTGTCGGGAACGGGCTCCCTGACATCTCACCAACATCGTTGCGTGGAGGCAGATCCTCATCCTCACAGCTGGGATATCTCTCTTTGCGGTCAAGGAGCAGATAGTAGATCATTTTCTCCTGGTTCTCCCTGTAGTGGAGAGGGGGAGAAATTGAGGGAACAGGGTCAGGATGCAGGCAGCAGCTTCCTCCCTACAAACCCAGATATTTATGCTTAACAACCCCCCCCCCCGATGCTTCCTGATTCTTCTGTTTTTCATCAATGCTTTTGCCAAGAACCAAACCTCAGCCCTCCTTCACCTCTTGTAGAACACACCCATGCCACAAACCTATGAGCAGTTTGAGCCAGTGTGCAAAAGTTGTTGCAACTTCTCTCAAAGAACTATGGGAACTGTAGTTATGCAGGAGTGCTGAGACTTCTCTTTGAGAACAATCCCAGCTTCAGGAACTTCCAGAAAAACTCTTCATTCAGCATGCATCCTGATTTGTTTGCAGGGAGGTTAGATAACATTGCATCAAAGCAAGTGGTGCTCCACCTTTACTGTTTATGATGGACTATATGGAACTGGCGGAAATGACTGGCAGAATCTGAGACCAGGGAGAAGAGTCGGTGGAAGAAGTTTGGAAGAAATTTAAAGTTTATTTACAGAAACATTGTAAAATTAAGGAATGTTAGATGAATGTTGGAATGAAGTAATGTGGTTTTAGCAGAAATGCTATAAAGGATTAAGAAAAACAGATTGTTAAATGGTGAAAGGAGGGAAGGTAAAGTTACATTATATTAAGATAAAATATAGGACAAAAACTGGAAAAGATGGAAAGGATTTGCTGAAATAGCTAACTGAACTAGAATGCAAAAAAGGGAGGTGTGAGGAGGTCAAGGAAATAAGTAAATGAAAGATAAGTTATGGGAAGATTTATTGTATTTTTTTCTTTTCTTTCTTCTTTTTCTTTTTTTTCCGTATTGTGATGTGATGTTCTGTTTTTGCTTAATATGCTGTTTTTTTATTTTTTATTTTTCCTTTTTGTAACCTTTCAAATCTTAATAAATATTATTTTTAAAAAAAACAACAAAGCAAGTGGTGCTCCACCTTTACTGTTTATGTTAGATTTAAAAAGTTCTAAAGCACCAGTAAACTATGCGTTAGAAAAGCAAGTGTTACTCCGCATTGTCTAATGCCTTTTCCTGTCACTTTCCTACTTGCAGAAAGTCTGATCTCTGTGGGAAGTGGGTTTGTTGCTCAGAATGTCCCAATCAACTATAATTATGCAAACCTGAATTTGCCTGCAAATTCCCCCAAACAGCAGCTGTCTGGAAGCCCCCTTCCTCCTATAGCTCCCAATTCCTAGCAGGGAACCTAAGCTGCCTACAAACCATTTTACACACCAGTCATAAGCTCTGAAGCACATGAGACCACCATCTTGGTGAGGCAAAGCAGGTCTGGCTTTTGATCAGTGCCTGGATGGCTGACTCCCTGGGAAACACACGTATCTCACCTTGGGTTCCAAGGGGGAAGGAAAGGTGAGATACAAAAAATATATATAAAAAACCTCCCCCAAAGTATTCCTCCACTAGTTCAGTGCATCCCCACAGTGCAATGTGCAAAACGTTAGACAGGCTCTCCTTCCCCATTCCAGCCACATGCCCCAATCTCTCACCCCTCGGTCTGCAGCTCCTGCTTCAACTTATTCTTGTCGCGGAAACAGCCAAGGGAGTGCATGCTCTCCAGCACGTCGGGGTCCAGCTCGCTGACTGACTGAATCCGTCGAATGGCCACCTTCCTAGGAATCGGCTGCTCTGGCTCTGGTTCATTCTTACCTCCCCTGGGAGAAAAGAAGCACAGACCACGTAAGAGGAAAGTAAGGCTGGCCAAAGGCAACTATCAACCTCAGGTTGGCAAATGCTAGCCAGCCCGGCTTTATATTTTCACAGCGGAGTGTGCATGTCAAATTTTGAGGTTGGGTTTAGGGTTGTCGCTTTTCTTCCCCCCCCCATGCAATTTTTTTTAGAATTAATTGTATGTATAACAATTACCGTAATACTGTATGTATAACAAAGCACGGCTTTTGTCATGATCTAGGGTCCAGAAAAGAACCTATATATTGCGTGCCTATGGAAATACTGTTTCAGGATTCTATTTTGCATCAGCATTTTAGTATTGTTGTAACAGCTTATAGCCAAAAATAAATAAAACAAACCCACTATCGTGAATATGACTTTCGCTTTTCTGGCGCTCATGGATACAAAGCTATGTCTGGGCACATTTAAGCTGGAAGCTCAGACATCAATGAGATGGATCTAGGGCAGGGTTCCCCAAACTTGGGTCTCCAGCCATTTCTGGACTAAAATCCCCATCATCCCTGACTAGCTAGGGATGGTGGGAGTTGTAGTCTGAAAACAGCTGCAGACCCAAGTTTGGAAACCCCTGATCTAGAGGAAGGGTCACAGTTGCCAGGGATGTATTTGACTGAGAAACTATTTATACTCTGCCCATCTCCTGGGTTCAGTTTCTCCATGGGCCCCCCACCTCATACACACATATCTCCACCCAGTGAAGCCAGAAAATATTGGAACGGTGGGAATCAAAGAGAAGGATCTGGAGATACTCACAAGAACCATGGGTGCTTCTGGATCTGTTCCAGCTAAAGTCGCCACATGAAGGGGGGGGGGGAAGCAACAACATTAGAAACTTTTTCTCCCTAAATCATCTATACAGTAAAAGCAATCCTCTACAAGTCTACTCAAAAGAAAGCCTCACTGAGGTTGGCGAGGCTTAGTCCCAGGAAAGTGGATGTCAGATCTGAAGAGCTCCCCACCCAAAACTATGTCATTGCTTCGATTTCAACTAAGGAGGGGCAAATCTACCAGTTTTAGTTTCTGATTTGACCAGTCTTAAGTTCAGCTCCCCACATTTCTGCATCACTTTGCAGGGAGGGGGCAATTTAAAAGCCCTCATGAAAACTCATCATGATGTTAATGGGTGGATGGGAGGTTGCCTGCTCTTGGGAGTCGCACTCCCTCTGAAGGAGCAGGAATGCAGCCTGGGGCTACGCCTGGATCCTTTGCTGTTGCTCGAGACTCAGGTGGCCTCAGTAGCACAGAGTGCCTTCCATCAGCTTCAGCTGGTGGCCCAGCTGTGTCCCTATCTGGACAGGGATAACCTAACTTCTGTCATCTATGCTCTGGTAACCTCCAGGTTAGATTACTGCAGAGCATTATCTGTAGGGCTTGGAAACTTCAGCTGGTGCATAATTTGGCCACCAGGTTGTTCACAGTGGCAACATAGTTTAAACATATAACACCAATCCTAGCCCAACTGCACTTGCTGCCAATTAGTTTCCAGTTCTTATTTTTATTATGTATTTTGTTTTCTCATGTTGTGAACCACCCTACGATCTTTGGACGAAGTGGGTATACAAGTTTGAATAATAATGATAATAATAATTTATCCTATTATCTACATTTTTGCAAAGCATATTTTCTCTAGTACTTTATTTTCCCTAATATAATGCAATTTGTATGTCACACACACACACATACATATATGGATAGTTATACCACTATATGTCTACTTCTTTTTGTTTTGTTTTGTCTCCATTGTTTTCTGTGTAATTTGTTTGCACAAATGTGTGATTCTGTGTAATTTGTTTGGAAAAACTGAAGTAATGTGTACAAGAATACATGAAAAGCGTGCCTCAAAAAAGCATTTTTTGGTAAATATTTTTTCAACTACAATTCTGTAAATTTTAAATATATTTGTAAATGTTTATACACATCTTACATTAATATATGCATTTTCCGAATACATTACTCAGCTGCAGGAGTGCACTGCAAAATTCAGAGAATTGCAAATTTTAAAAAGATGGCTGTCTCTTGGTTCATACATTGTTTTGGAAAATGCAGAACAGGTGAATTCGCCTTTAAATGAAAAATGAATCAAATGTCTTCCCCTAACCCTACTTTAACAGCGTTTGCACTGCTGGGATTACTCACACTGAGTCTTTTCTCGGGCTCCACCTCAATCATGCCCCGCAGGAGGTTCTGGCAGTCGGGCGGGATGAAGTGGGGCATATGGAAGATCCCCCGCTTCACCTTCTCAAGCAGCTGGCGTAGGTTGTCATCGTCAAAGGGTAGCGCTCCCTGCAGGACAAAGGGCGAGAGAACCGACCCCAAAATGAAAGCTCACACAGATTTTTCAGTATTGATATTTCAAATGCAGAATGGGGGGAGTTTTTTGCGTTTAAATTCGAGTTCTGGTGTTGGGCACTTAGTGCCACCTGTCCCTTCCTGGAGAGGTTCTTCAGGCACCCTCGCTTTTGACTTGTAGATCTTTTTACACTGGCAGGCCTTTGTAACCATTTCATTTTCATTTTTTGGATTAGCTAATGGTTATATGTATTGTTTTCAATTGTTGTTTTATGTTTCAGTGTTGTGCTCCACCCCAATACTTTGTGATGTGGCAGCAGAGAAATGGGTTTGTAAATAAATAAAGAACATACAACTCAGAGATGGGGGACCTGTGGCTTTCCGGACGTTGTTGGACTACAACTCCCATCATCTCTGACCATCCATGGGCCAGCTGGGGCTGATGGGAGATGAAGCCCAACCATACCTGGAGGTATTCACATTAGTGAACTTCAGTCCATCATGTCCATTAGTTTCAAGAGGTCTGCTCTGAGTAGGACCAGCATTGGACATAGGTTGCTCTGAGCAACCTTGGAACACCTTTGCCACAGCAATAACATGCTAGGGGGCGGGCAGGTGGTGTTGAATTGCCCGGCAATTTACTGGGGAGCAGCCTTACCACCAGCAGGGCAAAGAGGATGACTCCGCAACTCCACATGTCAGCGCGACGTCCATCGTACTTCTCCCCCTAAGGAGCGAAGAGCAAAGAGATTTGGTGGGGTTGGCAACTCGGGAGGGCAGGGGCAGGACAGGGAAAGCTTGGCTGGGAATGAATGACAGACAATAAAGAAATCAGAGTGGAGAGTGGAAGGCTCGCCCAAGCGTTAAGAACAGGCGGGAAGGGGATATATCTCTACAAGGATGAGAGAACCTTGTCTCTCGCCACCTGCCCCAACTCCTCCTGCCCTCACTTGGTCCATTACTCAGCAAGCTCTATTGTCTCCCGGCTCCAGTCTATGGCCATCAAGAAGGGATCAAAATCTCCCCATCTTCCAGGACTGGTTGATGTTCCCCTTCCCCAATATCCTCCACAAGCAGTAGTGGCTGCTGCAGTGGAGCAGAGCCACCCTCTCAACATTGGCTTTGCTGCAGCTTATGCAGACAGGGCTGGCATGAGCTGGTGGCACAGCTGGGCTGTGTGAATGACATGCCGACACAGCCAATCGGGCACTGTCTCCCTGCAGCCCTGACCTTGCAGCCGCCCTGACCCAGCCTTGTCCAGGTGAGCTGCACCAGGAGGGTGACTCTGCCCCCCCATAGCCATCTGCCACTGTTCACAAGTGGGTGGTGCTTTTTCCCAGCATCAAAAACGTCTTATTTCTGAGGGAAGGAATTCAGTAGATATCCTCCAGGTCACTGAATTTAAATTTCAGATCTAGCAGCTCTGGAATGAAGATTATGCTGCTTTAAGACAGTTGAAGTTTTTCTGAAGAAGCTACCATATTGTACAGAGCAAGGCCTTACTAAAGCAGGGATGGGGAATCTATGGACCTCTATCGTGGGACTACAACTCCCATCAGCCCTGGTCAGCTGGACAGGGCTGATGGGAGTTGGAGTCCAACCGTGTCTGGAGGCAGGTCGCAGGTTCCCCTTCCCAGCATAAAGGGTGTGAGGGATGGGAGACAAGCAACTACCAGTCTCCTCCAAAAACACCTTCCCCTGTCCAACCCCACATATAATTAGAGCAGTCACCAAGTTAAAAAAGGAAAGGTAAATTTATCATATGAATTGAAGTTGATTAATCAATTAATTAAGCACTTAAATCTACACAAATGTGAATATAAGTGGGGGAATCGTTCTACAAAATGGCACACTTTACTCCATTATTAAATTACACAAGCCTGCATTGTAGCAAGCAACATACTGGATACATGACCTTTCACCCATAGGAAGGGGTGTCTCTTTTAAAATGCTGCTTGCTATATGCAGTTTGTTACATCCTTATAGGAAGAAAAATTGAACTGGGTCCACGCAAATGCTACAATCCTATATACCTTTTTTCCAACCCGAGGATCGCCTTTCCTTCTTGGCGACCTTCTGGGGGCCACATGCCAGGGCTGGGCAGGGCCAGAGGCAAAAGTGGGCAGACCGAGACATGTGAAATTTGCCTTTCTGCAGAAGGCTATTTTCCACACCCACCTCCCTACCCGCCATCCAGACAAACAGGAAGCATGACCAGAGCCCAAGGACCAATTCCAGCCAGGCAAAAACACTTGAGGAGGGTGTGGATCATGTCTGGTGAAGGCTGTGGCTCTGGATGGACTGTGGCCTGGGGAGAGCCCTGAGGGCCAGGCAGAGAGGCCTGGGGGGCCACATTTGACCCCCGTCCCTGCTATAACCTGTGAATAACTCCCATTCAACTTGATGGGACTTAACCTCTGAGTTGACAAACATAGGATTCTACTGTGAGTTAGTTGCCCATAAGTCCCACTGGAATCAATGGGTGTTAAGTCAATCCCTGATACCTTTTCACATTCATTTAAATGGGATGTAAGTGCAACTAGTTTGGTTTGAATTCGACCCACTTCTGAAATCCGTTGACTCAACAGAGTCTCCTTTTAAGTCAACCAAAACCGCTCCCCACTTTCTTGTTTTAATGAATTAAGCAACCAACCGTTCAATCCTATACATGCCTACTCAGAAATCAGCCCCACCCAGACCCATGGGGTTTATTCCATGGCAAATGGGTAGAAGATGATGACATACGACTGGGAAGCCGTTACCCCAACCCAAGTGAAGCCTGGTGCCAGGCTTGACGGACCCCCTGGTTTGATCCGTGGGCAAGAGGGAAGGGAAGGAGATGCCAGCAAGGGAGGGGAGGGGTGTGGGCACTAGGCCTGAGTCCTTACCTTGATCACCTCAGGACATGCATAGTGAGGAGAACTGCAGCCCAGCATTGGGGGCAGAAAAGAGAAAGACAGAGAGACAGAGGAAGAGTGAAACGCAGGAGAAAGCAGACCCCCCCAGGGCCTCGGGTTCAAACAGGCATGTGAAGAGGAGCCTGCGGGACTTCTTCCCACCCACCTACCCACAAGCACACCGCCGCCAAAACCTAAGATGTATTTGTGGAGGGAAAATGTCCCCCCATTCATTCTTGTCCCACAAGTGCTGGGAGGTTTCAGTTGCCAGATCCAGGAGGCTGGCCATGAGGCAAGAAGAGAGACTGAGGCAGAGAAGGAGCCTGCACATACATTTAAAGCGCATGTAGCACACATTTGGTAAGGTAAAGGTAAAGGAAAAGGACCCCTGGACAGTTAAGTCCAGTCAAAGGCGACTGTGGGGTTGCAAAGCTCATCTTGCTTTCAGGCTGAGGGAGCCAGTGTTTGTCCACAGACAGCTTTCCAGGTCATGTGGCCAGCATGACTAAACCGCTTCTGGCGCAACAGGACACAGTGACAGAAACCAGAGTGCACAGAAATGCCGTTTACCTTCCCACCCCAGCGGTACCTATTTATCTACTTGCACTTTGATGTGCTTTTGAACTGCTAGGTTGGCAGGAGCTGGGACAGAGCAATGGGAGCTCACCCCGTTGCGGGGATTCGAACTGCCGACCTTCTGATCAGCAAGCCCAAAAGGCTCAGAGGTTTAGACCACAGTGCCACCCACATCCCCCTAGTACACATTTAAAGCACGTGACCTAGCTCACATGAAGCACATGGAACAACTCCTCGGCCTTCCTTGGCACTGCCCTCCATTTTTTTCTGGGGAGTGTCATCACATTGACACCATACATTTAATATTCATTTAAAGCACACCGCTCGCCCCCAAAGAATCCTGGGAGCTGTAGTTTGTTAAGAGTGCTAGGAATTGTTGCTCTGTGAAGGGTAAGGAACAGTTCCCAGGATCCTCTGGAGAAGGTCATGTATTTTAAAATTATGGCAGGTATGTAGCCATAGGTGTGCTTTAAATGTGTGTTAAAAGTGCTTTGAATGTATGGTGTTGATGCTGTGATGGTAGAAGTGCTTTGGGTGTTCATTATTTATCTATTTTAAATGTGAGGGGGTGGTTTTTTGGGGAGGGGGGTTACACTGCCTATGCATCACACTGGCATTTACAGCAGCTTACAAAAAAGGAAAAAGCAATACCAATTTTTTTTAAAAAAAAATTCAAATAAAATACAGATTATAAACATTCAAAAAACAACTGCAAATTTTATAAAGGATGTGCAGTCATGTGGCTGCAACTAGGCAATCTCAAAGCATTTCCTTCACTTCCTCCCAGAACGAAATATGTCCCAGCTTTGAGGCTAAAGAGCTGGCAAGCGAAGTTCACTTTCGGGCCAAAAAACCAATCGTGGTATTATTCATGCTATCAGTAGTTACGTGATTTTTAAAAACACCAAAACAAAGCATATTTCAGCTGGGGGAAGTAAATTCAGATTTAGACCGTGACATGAAGACAGTCCCCATTTGGATCAGGCTTTCCCACAGCTGCTATTTGTCCCCAAAAGAGATGTTGCCATTGTCACCTAATAGAAGCCAGAGAGGTGCGAGGGCTGATCAGAACAGGGTCAGGGCACAGAGTTAAAGCCTTGCTCCCCTGACAGCACAGTCCCGACCTGGATCGGGGGTGGGAAGGCAAGAACACAGTGGCTGCTATTTCCTTTTAAAAAAAAAAACAATTCACAAAATTACTAATTGTGTGAGTGACGACACGTTCAGTTTGGGCAGGGCTGAGCTTGAGAAGCTGCAGTGTGAAAAACCAGAGACCACATCTGTCTTCTTTTTGCTAGCATATTTTTTTCTTTCTTTTCCAGATTGGCGGCCTTAATGGGAGAGTGACTGGTAGGGCTACCAATCGGGTTTGGGAATCCCAGAGCAGGGGGTGGAGCAAGGGAGAGCCGTGGTAGTGTGGGCCAGACAAAGTGGTGAATTACTGTACCTCCGTTCCCTGGGAAGGGTGTAAGAGAACAGCATAGGGATAGGTGGGAGGGTCAAACTATGGCAACACAGCCAAGGTGGCATAGCTTATGTCATTCCTTGGATGAGACCCTTGTGCCACGCTATTATAGGGCTGGCAAATCCCCCCAAAATCCACCCCTCTGCTGCAAACGCAGGAGTGATTCACATACTATACAGGAGATGTTTCTGATTTCTGGACACTCCACTGAACCCAATCATGTGTGAAAAGGAAGCACATTTCTTAAAAAGACATGCACCAGCTTCTCTGGGTTTGCAGACATGTGCTTCCTTCCCACTTCACGTTTTATGGTATTCCCTGCAGGAAACACCTGCGGTGCTTTTGGTGTTCCTGCCAAACAAGGATCAACTGATGCCCGACTCCTCATCCTCGTCTCTTTTGTGGCGTTGTGTGCAACCCTCCAATCAGCCCTCCACACGTAGAGGTTGGCTCACCCACAACTTGTTTCCAGCAGGCTATCTCCGACCTGCAGGGAGGCCATGCCGAAATCTGCAATCCGGATATTGTTCTTCTCATCCAGCAACAAGTTCTCCGGCTTCAAGTCTCGGTGGCTGGGGAAGTCCAAACAAAACAAACGGAGACTGGTCAGCGGGAGACACAAAAGGCACACGCACACGAAACATCCCTTGCAGTCAAGTAGCTACATCTGGGATTATCCCAGTGAAGGAAATGCGATCAGAATGGACTTGCTTTTCCCCGCCCCTTGAGCAGATTTTTTAAACACAGGTGCTGAATCGGACTTGTGGCCCAGTGGCCAGGGAATGTGCTGGATTTCAGAGAACCCAAGCTTTCTTTTTGAAACAGGAACAAGTTTCTAGTTGCCATGGCTATGGAAATAGCATTGGGGCTTGCTTAATCAGAATAAGAAGTAGCTATCCCAGAATTGCTACCCTGAGAAATAATTCAAAACACACAATGAACAGCAGGGTGTTTCAGCTAGCCCTCCTTGCTGACTCTCCTGGGTTATTCACAATTCACCATGTTACCCTACTACAGAAATTGTCCTGCGTACCAAGATCAGGGCAAAGTAAGTCAAGCGCTCCTGAAGTTGCCAAAGGTTTTTTCTACTTTGCTCACTTCAGCCTCTCCTTCCTCCTCAGTGAATCTGAAACTAGAGCTGCAAATTTCAATCAACTTAAGCCTACGATTGTTACGGCGAGAGTTGCCAACTTATCTACTGTCTCTTCACCCCTGAACAGTAGCTCAGCATGCAGAACAGAGTAGGTAATGGCTTTTCCTTGGTCTGATTGGACTGTGCAGAAGGGAAGAGAAACCTAAGGCCCTCCAGGCCTCACTATCTGACCCCTAGGACTCTCTCAAAACCCCACACCCCTTTCCAGGCTATACCCATCACTGGCCTCTGCTTCATGCCTTTCTCACAAACTCCTTGAGCTTTGCTAATGCCTCTTGTTTGCCTTGGAGGAAAGATGGAGAGAGAAGTGTAGGCAGAAAGAAAAACCTCTGGCTTTTGAACAGCTAGGACATAACCTACTGGACAAAGGCTAAGACTGGAGTCACAGCCAATGCTCCACCCACTTTTACCTTTGGCCACACCCACAACTGGAAAGGTCCCCCAGAAAAGTTGCGCACAAGGCAATGTGGTCCTTGGACTGAAAGAGGTTCCTCACTCTGATTGTACAGCCACAGAGCACATTTCAGTGGTCCATAAGGCAATGGAAGATCCAAACACAGTCTCAGCGACTCGGGGATGGGACAGCATGATGGTTATGATGATGATTAAACAAATAGACAGGTAAGCTATTATTTTGATAGCTCAAAGTGGCTTACAAAATGAGTACTTGAAATAAAGCATCATAGACAGAATACAACACAATCAATACTTACACAGTACCAAGGGAACAAAATGCTATGGCAGCAGAAGAAAAATAAACCATAAGAAAAATCATTTCCCCCCTTTCCTGCTGGGAAAAAAAAGACCTACTTAGCAATATGTGATAACAGCAACAGGCAATGAGCAGCCGAGGGAAGATACTCACCATATAGAATAGCTATGGCAGAAATCCAAAGCTGAGACAATTTGTCGGAAAAACTTCCTGGCTTCCTTGGGTGTGAGGCGTCCCTTCTTCACCAAGTAATCAAAGAGTTCCCCTCCTGAGACATGTTCCAAGACAAGGTATCTGACGCGGAAGGAGGCAGAGGGACCGAGAAGCAGGGAAAATCGGGAAAGAGGTCATGAGAATCCATCGGGCCCCCTGTGGAGAACAACCTCACCGAATTCCTTCTAAGCTGGAGCAACTGCAAAGCAGGCTGGGAGAAAAGGAAGCTAAATGCTTTGCCACAGAAGGTGGATGGGAAACCTGGTGCCTTCCAGATGTTGTTGGACTACAACTCACATCACCCCAGACCTTTGGCAACGCCGGCTGCGGCTGATGGGAGTTGGAGTGCCAACATTAAGATGGCGATAGGTTGCCCATCCCTGCTATAGAAAGAACAAGGATGAGCAGTTCCATGTATCTTCAAGTCACTTTTGGGTAAGATGAATTACCGGCTGTTATGCAATCCCAAAACGCTGTGCAGACACCAGCTGTTGTAGCTGTAGAACCCAAAAGAGAGAAGCCACAGCTGTTGCAAACATGACAAAATTGCCTCATGGAAAGCACTTCTATGAAATAAAAACTGGGCAATGTACAAGTCATGGGTGGTAAGAGCGGCTTCACACTTTGCTTAGTTGCATCTGCACTGAGGAAAGTGTACCCAGCCCCGGCTTCCCAGCCGGCATACTGTGTACAACACCACATGCAGCTAAATACACATGTGTGCAATCTCACACAGGACTGTTAACATTACATTAAGCATGCCATATATTAAACATATAAGTGTCGTTCAGCCCGGACAATGAGGTCCAGCTTCGAGGGCCTTCTTGCAGTTCCCTCACTGTGAGAAGTGAAGTTACAGGGAACCAGGCAGAGGGCTTTCCCATCAGATGTCAAGGAAATAAACAACTATCTGATTTTTAGAAGACATCTGCAGGCAGACCTGTTTAGGGAAGCTTTTAATGTTTGATGTTTTATTGTGTTTTTAATATTCTGTTGGGAGCAGCCAGATGGGCAGGATATAAATAGTAAACTGTTATTATTGTTATTATTATTATTATAAGTGCTTTCCACGCCATGTCTAAAGTGGTCTTTGGCTCTCAGGACATTACAGCAGTTTGCAACAGCATGAACCTATGCATTTCTGCTTGGAAGTAAGTTCCCGCGGTGTTCAGTGGTTCTCACTCCCAATTTTACATCATATGGCACTCCTAGGCATAATTATTCAGCAATAAAATCCCATCAGTTCAATGACCTGGTTTGCACAGTAGGCCAAACCGTGGATTGTTTAGCCTAACTAAGGTTTCTCTGAATATGTCAACCTGGCCCAACAGACTAACCACATGAAACCATAGTTTATGGTGGACTTTTGGAATCGTGTCTTTTTAAAACTATGGTTTGCTGTTATGTCCAGCCTTCTAAATTGTACTTTGTTTGGCCATCCTGTCCCAGACCCACACCAAGCTCCAAAGGCATTGCTTGGCAAGAAGCAGCTGGAAAACAAACCAAGCTCTGGAGAAACAAGCTATGGTTTGTTTGGCCGTCTGTGAGGCAACTTACAGTTTGTTGAACATGATTAAAACAAACCACGGTTTAGCATTATGTTGGAACTCAGTCCTAAGCAGATGCATTCAAGATTGCCCTGCACCACCACCACTAATATTGCTATTGTTATTAATATTTCTATAACACCGTTCACCTGAGGATCACAAGGCAGTTTACAATATAAAAACACAAAAATTAATAACAAAAAAATACCCCCCACAATTTAAAAGGCCATAGATTTATTATTTACCTCCTGTCTCCCTACCAATTAAATTACAGTACATTTCAAGTCCACGTCAACCTAATTCTCAAAGGTTGTAATGGGGAAGCCTAAGGGTACACTGGCCAGAAGTGATTTAAAAAGACAACAACCAAAAATCTATCTTGGGAGAGCTTGGAAGTTTCTTTACTCTTTCCCCACTTCACACACACAAAATAGTTTTTGCCAATAAAGGAGACCTCTTATTCAGGCGCAGATTAAAGTAGTTGCAGGCCCCAAGCGCTCTCATAATTGTAGACCTCCAAATAGATCAAGTGATAGATATTTACGTTATATAGGTCCCATAATCTCTATAAGCAAGAGAATACTCCAAGGCTCTCTTTGCTTGCACTACTCTCCACTGAGAATGAGCTTTTGCAAAAAAAATTAAAATTAAAAAATGAAAGTCACCTGTGATTTTGCCAGTGAAAGCAGCCTCAAAGTTAATGTTTAATTTACATTTACTTAAGATGTATTATACCTGTATGTCGAGGAATGATTTCATAAACCGCTAAACCAAACAACCTGCTTTAATTGGATTTTATGTAGGCCTCAAACTTTTCCATAGGCCCTTGGGAGTTTCGTAGGCCCCAGGCACTGAAGTCTATTTTCCCTAACAGAAAATACCCTACCTATAGGTAAGACACAAAGGGGTTGGAGGAAGAAGCTGCCCGGAGGAAACATTTTGAATTTCATTTCAGATGGTTTTACAATGCAAAATTATTTCCTCAAGGCATCAGCCTCTTCCTCCAACCTCTTTCTTTCTCTCTCTCACTCACACAAACACCTCCTCCCATTGTGTCAGCGGGAGGAGGATGACAAAGAGAGCTTATGTGTGGGGATTGCCAGTTGTCTGGCACCGCCTGGTATTCTGGACGGCCCTCTCGCACACACCACACACACACATGTTCACAGAGGCTCTGCCGCTCTGGCGATCTTCACACGCATGCAGCAACACAACTATCTCCTACCTAGGAAACCACCCCACGGTGCCAAGAATTTCAGAAGCAGATGGGATCGCCAAACACTTTTCTTTTTTAAAAAACGTGTTATTTTACGGATCCCGTCCCTCTGCCTTTAACAGCAGGCTTGACACGCAGAAACCAGGCGTCTACTCTCACCTGATCTCCGCAAATAAATGTTTCGGCAGCTAATATTTCTGTTGCACTGAACGTTAAACACACACAAAAATAGTCGGTTTGCTCAGCCTGCGGCTCCCGTCGTGTGTACACACAACATGAAACACAAACCCACGCCTAACCAGCACCTGCCTTGTAGTTTCTTAGCAAACGATGCCGTTTCAATGTGGCTTTCCTCCCCCACCCCCCTGAACCAGCTTCAAATCCGAATGGAGAAAAAGAAGCACCTAGCTGCCAGCAATGCGTCTGTGCAAAAGGGAGCAGTGGGTTTTGTGGAGGTGTGAAGGGGGGAGAGGACTGGCGATGCTTTGGGTTTGAGCGCAGAGAAAGGAGAAGACCAGCTCTGAGCATGACAGAAGCATGAACCGGCTCCACAAGCTCACAGGCCCCAGCTATTATTTATCACATGTTGGCATCCTGGCTTCCAGAAGCCATATGTATGGCCTGGCGAGCACACCAAAGTAGACCCGAAGCCAGAAACGCAGTTGCAGCAAGGGAGGGGAAATCATTGCAGAACAGCCAGAAACATAGACGCCAGCCGCCTAACCACATTTAAAATTACTTCCCAGGGTCAGACTTCGCATTGTTATATTAAGCATGCTCCTTTTAAGAAGTGATTAAGGCCCAGCAGCCCCCTTTCTTAACAACAACGAAAAAAGCTGCTATTTGTCCCTGAAGATGCTATTATGGAGGGGATTTTTGGCAAGAAAGCAGCACAAGGTCAAAGAATTAAGTTCCCTTCCCTGCACCAATGCCCCGATCCCACTCAGGACCTCTTGTGGCTGCTTTTTTATTAAGAGAGAGTCGTGGAAGGTCGTAATTGTTTGTTTTCTAAGTTGTTCAACGTTAACATGGCCTTTAGGGAGCAATTCAGTATAACCCTGCCAGCATGCTTTTTCCTCATCTCTCCACAGGTAAAAGGGAAGGAGGTTAAGCATGCAAACACACCGCACATTTAAAACATGTGACTTCTCACAAAGATTCCTGGGAACCATAGTTTGATGAGGGTGTTGGGAATTGTAGTTCTGTGAGGGGGTAAACTACAGTTCCCAGGATTCTTTTTTGGGGGGGAAACCAGTGCTTTTTTCTTTAAAAAATGTTTAGGGGTACTCTAATTTTCCCACTCATATTGAAATACTGCCCCTCAATGAGGCCGAACTTAGATTTATAAAATGTTTAGGGCAGGGGTCAGCAAACTTTTTCAGCAGGGGTGCCAGTCCACTGTCCCTCAGACCTTGTGGGGGGCCAGACTCTATTTTGGAAAAAAAGAATGAACGAATTCCTATGCCCCACAAATAATCCAGAGGTGCATTTTAAATAAAAGGACACATTCTACTCATGTAAAAACACACTGATTCCTGGACCGTCTGCAGGTCGGATTTAGAAGGCAATTGGGCCGGATCCGGCCCCCAGGCCTTAGTTTGCCCACCCATGGTTTAGGGGTATGCATCCCCCTGCGTCCCTCCAGAAAAAGGCATTGGGGAAAATAATGATAATAAGAGGAGCAGCAGCAGCAGCAACCACCACCACCACCCCACTTACCTGGGAGTAAGGCCCATCTAAATCAACCACGCTTACTCCCAGATTAGGTGTGGTTAGGACTGCAGATTTAGCATGTTTTGTTTTGCTTTTAAGGAAGCAGAATGTTCAGGGAAGAAGTTTAGAATATCCCTGAGGTGGACCAGGATCCCCTGTGGCTACAACCCTGACTAGAAGGGATCCCCAAAATTTGTCCTGGAAAGAGGATCCTCAGCAGATATATCAACAAACAAAGTACACTACCCCCCCACCCCTCATTCAAGCTGTGAAGTGACTTGCTCATAGGAAGCTCTGCTCCACTCTGATGGGGACATGTGAACATGGGGGGGGGCTGGGGGGGGAAGAGGGAGGCCATCTGCAAATAAATACCTACAAATATTTTTTGTTCTCGTAGACATCATGGAGTTTGAGCACATGGGGGTGTTCAATCAGCTTCAGAATGGCAATTTCCCGCTCCACCTAGAAGGGAAGAGGGAGAGAATGCATGTGTGGTTATATACAGGGGGTAAAGAACAAACTCTTTTGAGCACTGCCCATGTCCTAGGATCTACAGAAGAGGAGCTTCCTCCTGGGTTCTCCGTGAAAGAAGAGAGTTTGAAATAATTTATGAGGTATTATTTGTGCAAGATGCCTGGAGTGGGTTTCCAGCCAGCTGGAGGAGGTCTCAATAAAACAAAATAAAAAACGGACAGTGGTGGATGTGACTCAATAGAAAGTAGAAAGACAAGCCTATGTCTAAAGCTCTGTCAGAAACTGTGGGTTATATCCACATCATATGCACATTTAAAGTACATAGGCGGAATTGACGTCCGGGAGGAATTCCCAGAAGGCGGAGCTTTGTCCTGGATCTTAGGCAAGTCAACCAAAAAATTGTTTTTTAGGCATGGGGGGGAAGCGCCACAACTTTGGGGTTTGTCTGGTTTTTACTTTTTGAAATATAGCAACTGTAGGGGTGCTGAGAGTTGTAACTCTGTGAGGGGTGAACTACAGTTCCCAGTATTTCTTTTGTGAGAGGGAGCAATGTGCCTTAAATTTATGGCATGGATTCTACAACTTTTGATGTTCAGCACTACAAATATTGACCCAGGAGTCCTTTAAACCAGGCAGTGGCTCACATGGCCACCGAGGCTGCTAGTCTAAGAGAACACCACCCCAAGACCTTTCGATAAAGGGTGGTGTATTAAATTGAATAAATAAGTAAGTACAGGTCCCTCCAGCCAGGAGTTTGACATGACAGCCCATGATCCTTCAAGCCTAGGAAGTCAGCTGCTGCTGCTGGGCCAAGCTGATGCTATTGAGGGATATTTAAGGTGCCTATAGATTGTATTTGCAGGAGGGAGTCAAACATTTTGGGAAATTTGTTGTTGTTTAGTCGTTTAGTCATGTCCGACTCTTCATGACCCCAAACCTAAATTGGGAAATTTACGTTTGTGCAATCAAAGAGCTCTAACATCCTGGTGCAACAAATCCACTTAAAAAATAATCAGCCTCTTTGCTGTTAGCGAAATGATGCAGAAAGGTGTTTATAAGTGTAGAATGAACAAATGATTAATGGGAAGTATAAACGCCCCACACGTAAGTCAGAATGAATGCTCATTGTCATGTAACCTCTCCACAACCAAATCAGAATAAATGCCAGATTATAATCGAAACTCCACATAAACTTCGTACAAGCAAATCAAGGCAAATGCTCCATAAATAGGTCAACTGAAGCAGCCCAAAGGCTTGCAGACCTGCTGATTTCTTTCAGCCTGGCAATGTCTTGCAGATGGATGCCACCTGGTCCCCCATTTTTACCTCCAGATTTCGGCTCCTCGCCTGTCTGTCTCCAGCTTGCCAGCCTGCCTCTGCTGGGGCACCACCTGATGTTGCCAAACACGGCGCTTCCAATCTTGCGCCTGCCTGCAAGTGTGCAAAGCCTCCCATTCCCACCCCACCTGGTATATCAGAAGGGGACACAGGATTGTGTCAGCTGCTGAACGTTTCGTTCTGGCCTTGGCGAGTGGCAAGTGAGGGCATACTGAGAAATATCTTCCCTGTTTGTTTCAAAGCTTCAAGCTCCTTTTCTCCCACGGTCTGACAAATGGACAGGGGTTTTTGTGTGTGTTCTTTACATGTTACAGCCTCCACAGAAAAACTGCTCAAAACTGCTCCATAGCATAGCTAATATCACATGGCACGTGGAGCAGCTCATCATTCAGGGATTTTCTCCATGTCAGCACAAACTTCAGGAAAGGGGGAGGGAATCACACCAGCGTGAGGGGGAAATGCTCCAACTAAGCTGATCCGCACCATGTGATTAAACTGCTATCATGTGGACTAAGTCAAAGTCCTGGACCGAGGCCTAGTATACTGATGAAGGCTGGCGATGCCATCAGCTCACGCTAAACCTTGCAAAGGACGCTGGTCCAGAAACAAGGCAGGCCTTCTGTATCATGTGACACCTGGCAAAATAAGTCTGGAATACGGGAACCGCGTGAGCTCGCCCATTTTTAATCTTGCTTTATTTTCTGCGCTTTCTCAGCTCTCATTTTCAGCCAAGGAATTTATTTTTATTTTTTAAAAATAATTTTTATTAACAGACCAATCAAATCAAATCACATAAATTCCAAATTACAGAGCCGAATTTTAATTTTTTTGTTGGGGGTACCCATATTTCAAGTTCCGAAAGGGATCCAATCATCTAGTTGCTGCTGCTTTAATGTCCACTCAGCCAAGGAATTTAGAGGGTCAATCCTTCAACAGGAGGTACAATCGTACCGCTCTTATGACATCCAAATCAAACAAACAACAAACAAGCCCGGCATTTTTTACTAGTTTCTGCATCTTCTTCCTGCTTTCTAACTCACCAGTGTCTGCATTTGGCGAGAGTATGATAGTGTTTTGCACTTCTCTCTGCAGTGAGATAAAAGGTAAAGGGACCCCTGACCTTTAGGTCCAGTCATGGCTGACTCTAGGGTTGCGGCGCTCATCTCACTTTATTGGCCGAGGGAGCCAGCGTACAGCTTCTGGGTCATGTGGCCAGCATGACTAAGCCGCTTCTGGCGAACCAGAGCAGCGCACGGAAACACCGTTTACCTTCTCTACCTTTATCTACCTTTATCTACCTTACCTTTATCTACTTGCACTTTGACGTGCTTTCGAACTGCTAGGTTGGCAGGAGCAGGGACTGAGCAACGGGAGCTCACCCCGCCGCGGGGGTTCGAACCACCGACCTTCTGATCAGCAAGCCCTAGGCTCTGTGGTTTAGACCACAGCACCACCTGCTAGTAAATTCATTCCAAGCCATGCTGTGTAGGCTGTGAATGTGTCTGACCATATCTGGCAAGGCAACCTGGGTTGAAATTTCTGTAAAGATGAAGTGGAGAGACCGAGACTCAGCAGGTACTATATATATATATATATATATATTCGCTGTTCTTACACCATTCCCAACAAACCAACCCACATGCTCACCTTCATCAGTACTGACTCCGAAAGCTTTTCCCGGTTCACAATCTTAATCGCCACTTTCTGCCCTGTGATGCAGTGTACGCCCAGCTTCACCAGACCTATGGAAATGAAAAGAAGCACCAGAGAAGATCTGTCACAATGCAGCACATCGTAACAATGCGAAGCAGGTTAATGATGATCTAAGTCAAATTTCCTTCCCACCAAATGTACCCCTTTTAAAAGATGCAAAATGTACTTCCTCTGTACAGAGATGGGGGGGGACCTGTAGCCCTCAAGGTGTTGCTGGACTACAGTTTCCATCATCCCTGCCCACTGGCCATGTTTGCTGAGGCTGATGGGAGTTGTAGTTCAGCAACATCTGGAGGGTCACATATTCCCCACCTCTTGTATTGGGTTACTTTGATCATACACCGTAGGCAGCTTAAGGGCTGCAACGGGGTGGTCCTTTACCTTTTTTTTTTAGTACTTTGGAGTGATTAATGCCATGACTAGAGGCTTGCACATATGAAAGCAACATAGGGACCTAAGGCACACTTTCTGTGCACACTTACTGAACACAGTGAGCTTTGTTTACACCTCTGATCTCCCAGCACATTTGCAAACAATGTAAATATTAGAAAGAGACCTTTATGCCACAATCCTTGGTCTGTCTGCCTGAAAGTAAGCCTCACTGTGTTCAACCTAAAAGGTAAAGGTAAAGGACCCCTGACAGTTAAGTCCGGTTGCGAACAACTCTGGGGTTGCGGCGCTCATCTCGCTTTACAGGTCGAGGGAGCTGACATTTGTCCGCAGACAGTTTTTCCGGGTCATGTGGCCAACATGACTAAGCCACTTCTGACGAAACCAGAGCAGCACACGGAAACGCCATTTCCCTTCCTGCTGGAGCGGTACCATGCTTTCAAACTGCTAGGTTGGCAGGAGTAGGGACCGAGCAACAGGAGCTCACCCTGTCGCGGGGATTCGAACCGCCGACCTTCCAATCGGCAAGCCCAAGGCTCAGTGGTTTACACCCACAGCGCCACCTGCACTTACTTCCAGGCAAATGCTGTGTAGGATTACAGCCAAACTCTTCTGCGATCTTATCCAAAGGAAATCAGTGCTTCCCCTGATGGCAGGGAGTGTCTCACAGTATCTGTTGCTGATGTGCAAGGAAATGCTTAAATTCTGGTGTCGATGTGTTTCAAGAATACTTTGGAAGACATCGTGCTCCCAATTCACATGGAAGGGACCATGTTCATTATGCTGCTTTCTGTACTCCCCGCTTTCTCAAGGAGTAGTAGGTTTCAGCAGAAGCTCATACAGAGTCAGTTTGCCCTTGCAGGAAACAGAGCTGGACCTTTCTCTGCCCATCAGGCACTCTGACTGTGAGTACATTCTAAGGATGGGGAGGGCAGGTAATGAAGCCACCTGGATCATGGAGAAAGGGGCCATAGCTCAGTGGCAGAGCCACGCTTCACGTACAGGACATCCCAGGTTCAATTCCTGGTATCACCAGTTAAAAAGAACTGGTAGCATTTGCATCATCTCTCTCTCTCTCTCTATTTTGTACAGTATAATAATATTTTATTATTTTTTCCAGAGCGAAAGTTACATTTGTTACTCAACAGTTATATTTCAGCTCAACATTCAACGGACAGCATAAACTCTGGACTAGGCTACTAAATACTTATTTTGCAGGAGTTGGGGATATTTTTGTTTTTCTCATTTTTAATTAAATATGCCCAGCAGCGCACCCTGTACATGATGGCAACTATAGAACAGTACCTTTCACCACACAAAAGAGAGACTGAATACCGTCACTATTTCTCAGGTTCCCAGACGTAATGAATGGCTCCCCAATTAATTCAGATTCCCTGCCTATTCCCTGCCCTTGCAAAGGATGAATCACTGTAAGGACTTCTAAAGAGTGGAGTTCTCAAATAAATCCTATGAATTAGAAACAGCTGCCCCAAAATTATCCCAGATCAGTGCCTGTCCTACGGCTCCAAAATACACCTTATGTCTGAAAGGGGCATTGAATGTAATGAGATTACTAAAACTGCTAAAAAATTATTTCACAGACTAGAATCAGTCCACAAGCTGTTGGATAACAGGCTCTGATCTAGCCCACCATTGTGCCCTAACAAAGGATACTCTATACCAGCCTTCCAAATTAGCTCATCAAAATTATTAGCTCACAATAATTTGGCCTAACCCATAAGGTTAGTACAACTTTTTCCAACCTGACTCCCCTCAGATATTTGGGACTATGTATTCTTCCAGATGATTTATTTATTGAGCATTCACCCTGATTTGCTTGCACAAAGTTTATGTGGAGATCAGATTATAATCCAGTCTTTACTAAGCATTTGTCCCAATCTACTGGGGACATTGTTATACAACAATGAGCATTCGTTCTGATTTGCTTGTGTGGAGTTTATATGTCTTCTCCTTAGTCGTTTGTTCATTCAACATTTCCCCGTCACTTTCCTAACTGCAAAAAGTTGGCTACTTTTTAAAAGTGGACTAGTGCTAGGGCAACAGAGTGCTTTAATCCACTTTAATTATGCAAAGCCGACAATTTCCTGGTGGGCACTTGAATCCCTTCTGCAAAATATTGACAGTCAGGAGGCATCCTACGACTGCCATCAACCCCAGTCAGCACAGCTGAAAAAGGTTGGGTTAGGACGGTTTGTTCCCCTTCTAAACAAGACAAATCCCTTTTCAAAGTCAAGTGTCAAAGCAGTCCCTTTTGATAAAATGGATGGCATATATGAGATAAACAAGTGATCGTTACAGGGGATTCCATTTAAAAATGTTGCCATCATCCTGCTCCACTTTTGCCCATACTGCCCTGTCCCACAAGAGAAGGAATATGGTGAATTTGAGGAGGGGGAATTTATCCTGGACGACCCTTGTCCCTTGCTCGCGGAGTACCTCCAGTTTAGCTTGAGCCTGGCATCAGTAACAAGTTCCGTCAATAACGGGCCTTGTAGGGATTTTTTAGACACCTCACCTGGGATCAGCAGATCCCTGAGATAAAGGCCAATGATCACATGGGTAATTCTGGAGAAAGCAAAATTTTAACTGCCAGCCAAGAGGACTGGTGGTGAGTTTCAAATGGCCCCTGCCTCAGAAGGCCACTTATATACCCTCCTCTCTCACCTAGCAAATAGGTCTGGATAGAAAGACAGGCTGTGTGCACATTACCTGCTTGAAATGCAGCTCAGTTTGGATTGAAGCTGGTTTTGGAGGAGGATGCATCAAATACAATATTTCAGAAGAAATGACTGGATAGATTTGCATTGTGGCTAACATTGTGTGTACACCACTTCGCAAACCAGCACTGGGAGAGGACTGCATGCAGAATAAACAGGAGCGTGCACAAAACATTGTAGGGCAAGACTCTTCCTCCATTCCCTGTTCTTCTCAGCCCAGGGTCTTACATCTTGGGGTCAAACTTTGTGTGCTGGGCAAACACATGTGAAATACATGCTTGCCCTCTTCATAAAGCAAGCAGGAATTGAGGAGGGAGGGAGGCTGCATGCCTTACACGGAAAGAAAGAAGGGAGCAAAAATTTCATCATGCTTCCCTGCCTTACCTTGACACACTCTGCTGCTTTTAAGCATAAGGACATAGAAAGCTGCCTTATACCAAGGGCACTTCTAGACTGTCACTCTTCCTGGGTGGAATTCAATTACCTACCAGCCAATTCAGGCTGCACAATTAAGAGTTGACTGGGAGGTCTTGTGCCAACTAACCCACTTCCCCACAAAAGGACCAGACTTTCTGCCATAAGGAGAGTGACTGGAAAGCGTGGGGCGTCATCTAACCACTCCGCAAACAAATAAAAATGCCCATCAGATTGTCAGCAACGTCTGATCTCCCTGCAAACACATCAGGCTGAGTGAAAGGATTTGAGTCGGACGCTTGGTCCACCTCCTGTAGCTCAGCATTGTCTATGTTCACTAGCAAAGGCTCTCCAGAGTTTGAAGCAGGGGACATTCCTAGCGCTTCCTGGAGATGCTGCTGGCATGAATTCCATATTCCTAAATATTTTGGGGCCCTTCTGCACACAAAGTGGATGGTCTAACACCGAGTTTCAGCTGTTCCCTGAACAGCAGTTGTCCCCGTCCCCCCCGCCAGCCCCAGTACCAGAAGTGAGCCAAGCAAGCGAGGGAAGGCTGGAGAGGAAACAGGTTTCTCTGCTCCCTCAGATGCTCCTTTATGGCATAAAACATAGATCTCACTCCCACCTTATACAGTGGTACCTCAGGTTAAGTACTTAATTCATTCTGGAGGTCCGTACTTAACCTGAAACTGTTCTTAACCTGAAGCACCACTTTAGCTAATGGGGCCTCCTGCTGCTGCCGCGCTGCCGGAGCCCAATTTCTGTTCTTATCCTGAAGCAAAGTTCTTAACCTGAAGCACTATTTCTGGGTTAGCGGAGTCTGTAACCTGAAGTGTATGTAACCTGAAGCGTATGTAACCGGAGGTACCACTGTATGTGGTACACGATTGCCCAGCAAATCTAACTGGGCTCTGGGAGCCAATGGTACCCGTTGTTAGGCCCATACCGCATCACCTTGAGTTCTTTCTTTATTCGTGCCAAAACTTGAGGCCATACATTTGCTCTCTGGTATCAAGAAGTTCAGAGGCCTGGGCAGAATCCTCTATGAATGCTGAATATATGTAGCAGGCTAAGCTCAGCGGCAGAGAATCGACTTCACATGCATAATGTGTGGAATCCCTGGCATCTCCAGCTAGGGCTGCGAATGTCCCCTGCCTGAAACCTTCGAGAGGTGCTGCCAGTCAGTGTAGACTTGGTATATGCTCCTATGTTAACACCTCTAGAATCCAGGGATTGTGGGCCCCTATGGCAAGAATGAGGACCCTCAGGCCCAGGTGCCAAATGCAGCTCTACAGGCCTGCCCAGGTCACACGCCCCCAATTCTACTTTGCCTCCTCCTTCAGTGTTTTTGCCTGGCTGGAATGCGTCTGTGGACTCTGACAATGCCTCTTGCTTTCCTGGATGGAGGTGATGGGGTCAGGTGTGTCCGTGTGTGTCAGCATCGATTGCTCCACCCACTTTTGCCTTTGGCCCCACCCACCACTGGCCCTCAGCTCTCTCATGGCAGCCCAGAACAGAATGCAGCCCTTGGGCTAGGAGAGGTTCCCCTCCTCTGCCATAAGGGCTTTCTCTAGGTGCTGCCCTGCCATGGGGCAGTGTGTGTGCATATCAGGGAATATACGGGTCAGGCACCTCAGGGGCCAGAGAGCAGAACAGCATGATAAGCCGCCCAGGAATGTGTGGTTTAGGCTTCAGTGCCCGCTTCAGGCCTGACCAGCAAAAAAGGCATACAAATAATAGCCTCCATTTGGCAGGCCACCATGGCCTCAACTACCTCAAAGTGTTGGTGCTGACCTTTAAAGCCCTAAACAGCCTCGGTCCTGTATACCTGAAGGAGCGTCTCCACCCCCATCGTTCTGCCCAGACACTGAGTTCCAGCTCCAAGGGCCTTCTAGCGGTTCCCTCCCTGCGAGAAATGAAGTTACAGGGAACCAGGCAGAGGGCCTTCTTGGTAGTGGCACCCACCCTGTGGAGCCCCCTCCCATCAGATGTCAAGGAAATAAACAACTATCTGACTTTTAGAAGACATCTGAAGGCACCCCTGTTTAGGGAAGTTGTTAATGTTTGATGTTTTATTGTGGGTCCCCCACTCTTACCAAGCTATTTATTCAATAATTCACAGAGAACGACGAAGGAATGCAACCTTCCAAAAAATGATGTTGCTCCAACTGAGCTCTTCCCGCCTCCCTTCCTAGCAACAGTACTTCCCCTTATGGTGGTTGACAGGGGCTAATTGTCTTAAAGTCCTTCACTCTTCAACTTTCAACATAGGCTGAGTTCTGGATGAAGGGGGGGGGGTCCAAAATGCTCTCCAGTGATAACGTGTCACCTGGCTGCTCTGTCTCTGTCTTCCCTCTGTTTTTACTATTCTTTTGGAAGTTGCCCAGAGTGGCTGGGGAGGCCCGGCCAGATGGGCAGGGTATAAGTAATAGATTATTATTATTATTATTACCAGGGTTGCATGTCTGTGGCAGCTTCCAGCAAGATCTCGTGAGATCTTGCAGAGCTCTCGCGAGTTCTGAGAGGTCTTGCCAGAAGCCGCCACTGTGCAACTGGTGGCGGGCAGGGCAGCCCCAAGGAGGACACCCTGTAGGGTTCCTCTGCTTCAGTCAGCCTCATGGGCGGGGCTGGCCCTGCAGAGGTAGAATCATAGAGTTGGAAGGGACCACGAGGGCCATCTCCCTGCAATGCAGGAATCTTTTTGCCCAACGTGGGACTCAAACCCACAACCCCAAGATTCAGAGTCTCATGCTCTACTGCCTGAGGAGCCATCACAGAAGTAAAGTATCATCCCCTGCTAATTGCTGTGGATTATGCCACTTAAAAGGGACACGGGTGGCACTGTGGGTTAAACCACAGAGCCTAGGACTTGCCGATCAGAAGGTCAGCAGTTCGAATCCCTGCGATGGGGTGAGCTCCCGTTGCTCGGTTCCTGCTCCTGCCCACCTAGCAGTTCGAAAGCACGTCAAAGTGCAAGTAGATAAATAGGTACCGGTGAACGGTGTTTCTGTGCGCTGCTCTGGTTCACCAGAAGTGGCTTAGTCATGCTGGCCACATGACCCAGAAGCTGTACCATCTCGGCCAATAAAGCGAGATGAGCGCCGCAACCCCAGAGTCGGCCACGACTGAACCTAATGGTCAGGGGTCCCTTTACCTATCCTACTTAAAGCAACAGCATGTGGCAGCATGAGAGCCAGTGTGGTGCAATGGACAGTGTGCTGGATTGAGAACTCAGAAATCCCATGTTCCATGTTCAGCCATGATGAAATTCCCCGAGTGATCCTGGGTCTCTCTCTCAATCTCTCCCTCTCCCCCCAACCTACCTCGCAGGGCGGTTGTGGGGATAAGATAGGTGTGTGAGTGAGGTAGAACTCAGTAGACCACCCTGAGATCCTTTGAAGTAGGGCGGGATGAAAATATGATAAATACAATACCCTGCCAAACTCACAGCTGCAGAGCCAGCTAGAAAAGTTGGCAACCTGAGCTGAACGCCACTCGTTGACTCTACAACAGCTTCCCATCCATGGGTTCTTTGAGTGTATTAGCAACAGGGACATAACTGCTTCCTGTTTTTTAAGTCCCACTTACTAACAAGGTTGAAAGAAAGCAAAGGCATCCTAAAATAAACCATCATCATCACCACTGTACCCCCTTCAAAGGCAAAATAGGGACAGTGGTTTACCAGGAGCAAATGTCAGAAAATACACACTATTTTTGGTAAATAAGCTATGGAAGCCTCACAACAATGGCAGGGTCTGTGTGTTTAAAATACAAACTTCCAAAAGGTGCGCTCTCTCTCTCGCTCTCTCTGACCTTGAAACTCAGCTTCACATTGTGAGAATACAAACTGAGTCATGGGAAAAAAGAAAGTTAAACCCTCTCACACCCAAATACATCTTTTCAGCCTGTCAGAAAATTAAAAAAAATTAAAAAGACATGCACTCTATCTAAGTCGCTAGATCTGGTGTCATAGTGGTGTGGTGCGGCTGTCAAAATAAGCAGACCAGACAAATCACATGCAAGAAGGCTGAAGGAAGAGATTGTCTTTAGCCTAGAGCAGGGCTGCGTAATTTGCGGCCCACCAAGCAAAACGCAGCCCACCAGCCACTGATGGTGGCCTTCTAGGACCTTGATGTCTGCACCCCCCCAAACCCCCCCCCCAATAGCCAGAAGCCAAAAGAATCCTTGCAAATCATCCAGAGTACAGATATGGGTGGTCTGATAGGCTCTAAGTTATTTCATTATATCAAACATTGTTTATATTTAATTAAAAAAAAACAACAAGTGCCACGGGCTTGTCCTTTTTTACCCTGCTTGCCTTTACGCTCTTTGGCCCTGACACTGGAAGGCAGGAGCAAGTTTACCTCTGTCTGGGTAAAACTGGGTAGAATTCTGCCTGCCTGCTTTTCCTTACACCTTCGTAAGTAAAAGGTCTAACTTGAAAAAAGAAAAGAAACATGAAAATTCAGGGAGGGAGCTTGGAATATCCCATTGGGGTCAGGCAACCAGGGTTTCACAGCACAGTGGTCAGATTGTTTGACTAGGACTTGGGAGACCAGGGTTCAAATCCTTAGTCAGCTATGAAGTTCACTGGGTGAACTTGGACCAGTCACTGCCTCTCAGCCTAGCCTACCTCACAGGGTTGTTGTGGGGATCAGGAGAGGGAGAACCATACATGCCATATTGAGCTCTTTGGAGAAGAAAGGTGTGGTTTAAATGCAATAAGTACATAATAAATAAATAAAATTCTGAGAGACAAAAACAAGGGCATCCTTGTAATGCTCCTGTTTTCAGTTGGTGTGGCACTACTCTGTTCTGTTGCGGTAAGGTTGGCATTTAAGCATTGCCAAAAAAAGGCGGAAAAGCTTGTTATATTATGATCCACAATGGCGGCGGGGGGGGGGGAGGGAAGTCAAAGGGGATTATATGTTTATGTTTTTATTTCACTTGTATATGTAAAATAGAAAATGCAAAAATAAAAATGTTTTTTTAAAAAGGAAAGGAAAGGAAAAGCATCCTCTGGGAAAAATAGGTCACAAGAGGACACCAATTTGCATATCAAAGATGCAAATGTAGAAATGATAACTACAACATAAATAGAAAAACAATACCTCAATAACATAACATTAAAAAATGGGCAGGGATGGATGAGACTGAGTAGCGGGAAGAGAGAAAAACCTATTTGTCTCTGTGAAGAGTTGTGGGTTACATGCACACCATACGTAACTTCCTCCAAAGAATCGTGGGAATTGTCGGGTGCTGGGAATTGCAGTTCTGGAAGGGGGAAAACTACAGTTTCCAGGATTCCTGCAATACTGTGTGCCTGTCTAGTCGGCTGAACAGGTAGCAACGGTTGCTGGAGAAACCTGGTGGCCTGCCCTGCTCTCCCTTCTTATAATTCTTTCTCTTTAAACCAGCCTTGGACCAGTCAGGCCTTCAAATAGAGGCCTGTCCTCTGACAGTTCTTCAAACAAAGGATGGCCTTCTGTAACGCAGGACACATGGCCACCCCATGCTTTGGTCAGACCTCACCACTGCGTGGTGTACATTTCTGGGCACCACAGTCTATGGAAGGTACGAACAAATTGGGAGTGTGTCCAGACAGAGGCCTGGAGATCAAGTCCTATAAGGAACAGGCAATGTAGCCGGGTCTGTTTAGCCTGGAGAAGGGACAACACAGAGCAGGTAGGACAGCCGCCTTCAAAGATGTGAAGGATTATCACACAGAGCCAGTGTGGTGTAGTGGTTAGAGTGTCAAACTAAGACCAGGGAGACCAGGGTTCAAATCCCCACTCAGCCATGAAGCTAACTGGGTGACCTCGGATCAGCTACTCCCTCAGAGCCTAACCTACCTCACAGAGTTGTGAAAATAAAATGGGGTGGAAGAGCCACCTTGGAGAAAAGACAGAATATGAATGTAATAATTTAAAAAACGAGGCAATAGAACACAGGGCAGGACCCAGATTCAAATTACAAGGAGGGGAGGTTTAATCTATAGACTGAAGATGAAAGTATGCACATTAATGCTGTTAACTGTTGGACAGTAAATACCTTTCTTAGAATGGTTTTTAGGCAGAGACGGGGTGGTCACCTTACACAGCTGCTGAAGCAGCAGGTTTCTTACATTGTTAGGGGTTGGACTAGATGGCCTTTGGGATACCATCTGGCTCTATGATCCTACCAAAGCTCACTTTGGAAGCCCCAGTCCATCCACTATTACATAGTGCTAAACTCTTTTCATCGCCAGTGGCATGATGTGCCTATTTATTCTGCAATAGCCCGTCCCTCACTGATTTCAAAGACAAGGAGGATGGCGGTTCTTTTGGTTTAAACTTGACACACTAGGAAAAAAACCCTACTTCACTATGCAATCAATACTTTGAAATACCTTAGAACTGCAGTGTGAGAAATGGCATTGTGTGTGCTCTCTGCGTGAGCCTTTAGTGTGCATGCGCCTGCATTTTTATGCATGCACACTAGAATCACCCACTCCAGAGATTTCATGTCCAGGGACTCAATCGTGACAATTCCTGAAATATGCTAGCAAAATTTGAAAAAGGCACTCACAAAAAGGGAAAAATGTGGACATTAATTTACTGGGGGGCGGGGATACACAACAATAAGGACAGCCCCTTGTGTATAGGAATATATGCCGCAAGCTAACCTGTCCCTACATTCTCTGATTCTCCCCCATACACACCCTGGCCATACCTTGCTTTGCAGCCCATCAGAAAAGCCAGAAGATGGATCAAGTCCCACCTTGCTTCCCCCAAATGGGGGGCTATGTTTATTTTACTGGATCACAAGTTGGACAGGCAGAGAAAAGGCAAACTGGGCAGGAACAGGTGTGGATATGCAGACCGTTTCCAAATATCTAAGGATGTAAATAGGAGCAGGAGGGGGAAACAACTGCCATGTTCACATGATACAACCAAGGTCCCCAATGTGGTGCCCGTGGGCACCATAGCACCCATAGACAACTCCTCTCGGCACCCACTGAACCTCACAATTTTTATTTTGAAAATTGCTGGGTGGTGGGACGGAGTTTTTCTTTGGTTGGAGGTCTTCTCTCTTTGGAAGGTTGGCCTGCTCCCCCCCCCCCCGCTGCCCCCGTTTGTTCTTTATCTGGGAGGAAGGGACTTTTAGCATACCCACCAACATTTCCCAGATGAAAACAGGGACACTTCAAAGCTAATCCTGTTCCGGCCGCCTCAACACATGCATGCTATGACACATTGCTGAAGGCTCCACTCACCCTGCTACATGTTGTGTCTGTGTATTTTGCTGTAGGCACTTATTTAAAAGCCAAAAAAGGTGTTGTTCTTTTGGCTGGAAGTATATTTGACAAACACGATCGCCTGCAATATGTCATAACAGTTCCAAACATACTTCGGAGGCAGTGAAATGTCACTGGGTAGTGCCACCGTGTTCGTGTGCGTGCATATACACACACCTGTGCACTATAGACAAGATGCACCCATCATAAGAACACAAGAAGAGGCTGCTGGATCAGGCCAATGGCCCGTCGAGTCCAGCATCCTGTTCTCACAGTGGCCAACCAGATGCCACAGTGGGAAAGCGGGACCTGAGCACAAAGACGACTCTTCCCTCCTGTGGTTTCCAGCAACTGGTACCCAAAAGCCTTACTGCCTCCAAACCATGGGGACAAAGTGTAGCCATCATCGCTGGTGACCACTGATAGCCTTGTCTTCCACCATAAGGAAGAAATCCACCCATTCACCTTAACTTCTAGATCTAACTCGGCAGCTCAAATCTGAAAAATGAACAATAACTCAAGCAACATGCACTAACAAAATTTTAACACACTGCCTCCGAATAAGCAAGGAATTGACCAAGGGCTCATACCAGAAAATATGAGTTGTCTCTAGTAAATAGAGAGAGTTTGATCGTATGGTTTAGTACAACGTTTTGTGAGCTTAGCAACGATGGCGGGAGCATTTGCAAATCTGGCACAGAGCGTCATGGTTTAGGACAGAACAGTAGACTGGTCAACTGGGAATCCATAGGGTAGATCCAACAATTTTATCTGACCTCTGGTGACCCTGTTAAATTGAATCAGAGCTTGGGGTGGGGATTCCCCATGTTTCAATCCTAAATTACAGATATTCCACACGTTAAGAGTTTACATCTCTCTTTGGGTTTGGGTTTGTATCTATAAACTCCAATTCTGCGAACAAAAAGATATATAAAGAGCATCCTTAACCTCTTGTATGGTACTGTAAGTGTACCTAGACCTGACAACATACATGGGAGGTGAGTCCCACAGCCTTTTAAAAGGTGGGAAGCATAAGGAAAGCAAAAGAGTGAGTAAAGTGATGAGGTTTCCCTCCCCCCATGTCTGTTGATATGTATGTTTTTATATATTTTTCAATGCTCAGTTCTACTCCTTAAGAATAGTAAATAAGCCAAGATTGACATACTTGCCCAAGGCACTCCAGGGCAATGGATCTAGGCAGCTTCAGCCCCACTGAAATCAATAGGACAAGTTAATCTTGGCTAACTTAAGTCCCGTTCATTTAGTCAATGAGAGTAAAGTTTAACAACCTGGATCCAATCCACTGGCATCTCAGATCGTTGAGACTATGGACTGACGGGCGGGGAGACAAGCCTATTCTAATTATTCCAGTTGCAGAATTTAAGGTCTCCGATCACTGCTAGTGCAGAATTCTTGCATGACCTGTCCTGCCGGAGAACACAGTTAAGTTGGCCATGGTTATTATCATTTCGCTACTCAGCATCTTCAGGTCTGGGAAACCAAAACTGAACAGGATAGCCAAGGAGGAACAGGGATATGCACAGTTTTTGATTTCTATCTCTGCCACCAACATCCCTTAGATGACCTTGGGCATGTCACTGCTGGTGCCTGGACTTCCGCTGTTTCCTGCCAACTGAGGATTCACATAACCATAATAACACTCCTTCAGAGAAGGAGGAAACGAGATTGCTAGAAATACGGCGGCAAGCAAAATTAGAAGAGCAAGAAAACTCTCGCCCGCCGTAGAAGGCGGCCATTTGTCCTATTGCTCCTGGTCTCCCCTCCTTCTGGGGTATGGGATGCAGCCAGGCCTCATCCCATCCACCCCCAGCAAGACTCCATCCACCTACCCATTCAGTCTGCGATTCCTGAAATGTCTTTGCATGAACTGCCTGCCGCCACGGTGCAGAAATGATTATTCAGCAAAATCCCGCCCTCCCTTATCCCCTGCTACCTCTTCTGTCTCTTTCACCCACCTGCTCCAGATATTTATTACTGTTATGATTCCTTAAAACCAAAACCAAAAAAACACACAACCCCACCTCCCAAACATGCACGCACACACAAGCATAGCCCGGCTCCTTCTCCCCCCTGTCACCGTGTCTTTTTCTGCCACTGCAGTAATCTTCCCCCTTTCCAAGCCACAATACTCATTCTACACACAGACACACACAAATTGAGAGAGAGAGAGCAGAGAGAAGAGAGAGGCCTTGTGGTTTGGGTTTTCCTGCATCATTGCAGAGAGATGGATGGTTTCACCCCCCCCCCCCGCACTCCCCGCTTCCCATCCTCAGCCTTCCATCCAACAACTGACTGTCACCGAAAAAGAGGAGAAGGAAGCCAAAGGAGACGGTTTTTCATATTACCCAGCCTTTAGGCATTTATTCAAGCAATCTCTCTCATAACCAAGCCCCATAATCTAAACCGCACAATCGAATCGGCATCCCTGCAGAGAGTAAAAAAAAACAAAACCACCACTCTTCCATTCATCCAGAGTGCTGCAGCAGGAGAAGATTGGTGTATGGGGGGGGGAGAGAAATCTATAGGCCTCTCCTATAGATTGCCCCCTCATAAATACAGAGCCTTGGCAAAATAGAGATGGGGGAGGGAGACAGAGATGGGTGGATGTCCCGTCTCTCCACCAACCAGACAGGGGTTTTTTTTGAGGGGGGGAGTTGGAGGTAGGGAATCTGTATGGAAATGGAATAAATCTGGAGCAGTTGGTTCTTCTTGCTTTCCTCCCTCCCCAACCAACCTTGGCCATTGCAGCATTATTATTTTTAAGCTACTGCTCCATCCCAAACAGAACTGCTTCAGGCCCCAACCACCAGGGCACAGGCACCTGGGCAGAGGTACGGAAACTAACCCATCCAAAAAATATGGTCGATCCACCGCTGCCCTCGCTGCGTTCCCCTTTCCAAGCTCCATCTGGGCATTTAATGTGCGTTAAAACACACAAACACACCTACCTATCAACTACCACAAAAGCACTGTGATCCTAAGAACCCAACTATCCCCAAACAGCACTTGCTGCTAAGTACAGGGGTGGCCACAACCGCTTTCAAAACCTGCCCCTATTTGTTGTTGTTTTTTAAATTTTCGCTTTTTTCTTCTTCTATCTGCTACCTCTGTAAAGCAAACTATTTCCCTGCCATGCACAGGGACCCCAAATAAAGTCCAGCAGGGTAAACATTAATGCACTCCTTTGAACTCTTAAAAGACACCTTTTCCCTTCTGGTAGTCTCCAACATTTACTCTCCACTCCCAAATAAAACAGTGTGTAAGAAAGAGAGGGAGAGGGGGAGGGAGAGAGAGAGAGAGAGAGAGAGAGAGAGAGAGAGAGAGATGGAGAGGTGCCCCAACACCCAAAGTGTTGCCCCCTTCTCCTGACAACCTGCTAAACCTAGATGCCATTGGCCCCAAACAAGACTCCCCATTTGCTCTCCTCAAATAAACTCCAGGACAGGAAAGAATTCAGCTTTCGCCAACCACCACCACCACTGCGGCCAATTTATTTTCCCCAACAGGAAATGCATCTGCCTTCCCTTTTTCGGATCTCTTTCCCCACCCTCATTCTGCAATGGGACAAACACTTCTGGTCCACAGGCGAAGCTCTGGGCTCTCCCATCGCACCCATTTCTGTGGCATTGGGGTTGCCCCTCCTACCCCACCCCACCTCCAGGAGCAGCAGGGTGCCAAGTACTCACCAGTCTGCCCTTTCCCCAGTGTCTTCTCCAGCCGGTAGGGCCCCACATACTGAGCATGCTGCTGGCTCTGTTGTGGCTGGTAGGGGTGGACCCCACCTGCCTCTTTGCCACCGGACATGGCTTTTGTCTGTCACCCTTCTGAGCAACAATAAGAGACGGGGGATTTGGGGTGGGGTGGGGAGGGGAGGGGAGAGGCACGGCAAGGCAAGGCCCCCCTGATATCCCCCTATAGGGACAATACCGGGGCCGGCATCCTGAAGGATTTAGGGGGAGGGGGATGCTCTCGGCATCAGGGAGGGAAAGGGAGGCGAGAGAAGGATGAAGGATGCTACAGTCCGGGTACCAGCATCATCCAGCTGGTCCAGCCAAGGATGCTGCTGTTGGTGCTGCTGTTGCCGTGGATGAAAGATGCTGGTGGAGAGCCTCTTCTGCTCTGGTCCTTCGCCTCCTCTCACTGCAATCTGAAGGGATCTCTCGAGCTCTCCCCTTACATCAGCATCCGGGCAACTGGGTGACAGACACAATCCGGGTTAACCCTTGGCGGAACAAAGGCAGCGCCTCCTCCCCAGGCAGGAGAAAGGGGTGGGGATTTGGGGGCGGGGTGCGGTGGGGGGAGAAGGGGTCAGCGGGGAGGGGTGCAGCAGCTGGGTGGGAGGGGTTAACCGGGGATAGGACCTCTGTGGCAAGAGGGAAATTGTGTCATTTATCTGGGAGGTTTAGAGGAGGTAGTTTTTCATTTGCTGATGGTGTGTGGCTGTGGTGGGGATATATTATCTGTGCAAGGTTTTTACACGGTGTGTGTGCGGGAAGAGGATGCAACTGCGGTTTTGCAGGAGAGAGATGTATGCGATTGAGAGATTATGTGATTTTGGGAGGAAGGTGTGTAAATGCATGTGTGTGTGTGCGTGTGTGTGTGTATGAGCAAAGAGGCTTGCACTGTATTAAAAAGGGATCAGGTGTGGCCACACAGGAGAGAGGGAGATAGATTTCCCTCCTTTCTCTTCCTACCTCCAAACAATGAGTATGAGCTCTGACAGCCTGAAAATGCATACCTGTAACTCTGCTCTTGGGAGAGAGCAGTGTAGTTCTAAGCGTGCAGGACACAGAACCTTAGTTTTACCAAAAAAATAATTGTAGCCCCATTTCTCTGGATGGCCATCTGTCTATACCTGTCTGAACAGGCCATGCAATCTCAGGTGGTAGGCCTCTGCTGAGACTTGCTTGTTGGTAATGTCTCCAGGTTTGTGTCTAGAGAGTCCAGCAGCTTTAATATGATGGAGCACACACAAACAAACAAATATACAGTACTGTAGCAAAACACCTATCGGGAGGGCTCATTGTTCCAGAGACGGAAAAGCTCTCGAGACAGGAGGTGGAACTTTCCTCCCTTTCATGGCAGAGACACAGGTCGCGTGCACAGCATACATTGAAGGCACATGGCTCCCCACAAAGAATACTGGGAACTGTAGTTTGCTAAGGGTGCTGGGAATTGTAGGTCCGTGACAATTCTGAGGATCCTTTAGGGGAAGTTATATGCTTTAAATGCATGGCAGCTATGTAGCCATAGGTGGCTCAAATAGTCTCTAAAAGAGGACACCCCCTCATGGAATCTGAAGCGGTGACTGCCTCACTCTAAACTTTGCCATCGGTGAGCTAATGTGGTGTAATGATTGGGGCGTTGGACTAGGACCTGGGAAACAAGGGTTTGAGACCCATTCAGCTATTGAGTCCCAGTCACTGTGTCTCAGCCTATCCTACCTCACAGGGTTGCTGTGAGGATAAAATGGGGAGAGGAGAATCATGTATGCCACCTCAAGTTCTTTAGAGAAAAAAGGTGGGGTGTGTGTGTGTGTGTGTATATATATATATATATATATATATATATAATAAGTTTAAAATAAAATAAACCCTGATCTGAGCAGAGCTACTGTCTTGATCCAAATTTGCCTGTAATTGGTTTTAAGTGAAGTTTCAGGTGTCTTGTTTTGTCCCTCTTTCAAATGACTGGGCTGGATTAGCACCTCCATCCACAGATCTTTACACACATCAAAGGATCTCTTCTTCCTCTCCTATGGAAGAAATGCTTGATACAGGGATGCAGAGAGTAGATTCAGTAAAGTCTTCAAAGAATAGAATAAGGCTGTGATCCTACACATCATTACACAAGAGTAAGCTCCACTGAAAACCTTACTTCGGAGTGAACAGTGCACAGCATCTTTGGCGATCACTTGTAGCCGAGTAAGACTGTCTTCCATAAACACGGTTTTATCAATGAGTCCGTAAGTGACTGTGGAGGCCAATTCTGGATCCACACGTCCTTCCACAGCGGGGACATTGGTTTCCGGGCAGGAGTTGACCACGGTGTGGATTTGCCAAGCGTGCCTTCCTCTTCGCACGTTTCTCCCTTGCATCCTGAGTTTGAGTGTCTTCAAAGCCCACAACACCTTTGGTACAGGCTGTTCTCCAACTGGAGTGCTTGCAGGAAAGTGTTCCCCAATTGTTGGTGTTTGTATTACATTTTTTAAAATTTGCCTTGAGACAGTCTTTAAACACCTTTTGTTGACCACCAGCATTACGCTTTCCCTTTTAAAGTTTGGAATACAGTAGTTGCTTTGGAAGATGATAATCAGGCATCCGCACAACATGACCAGCCCAACGAAGTTGGTGTTGAAGAATCATTGCTTCAACACTGGTGATCTTTGCTTCTTCCAGTACACTGGTGTTAGTTCACCTGTCTTCCCAAGTGATGTGTAAAATTTTTCGGAGACACCGTTGATGAAATCTTTCAAGTTGGAGATGGCGTTTATAAGTGGTCCATGTTTCACAAGCATACAGTAAGGTTGGTAGTACAATAGCTTTGTAAACAAGCATTTTGGTTTCCCTGCAAATGTCCCGGTCCTCAAACACTCTGCACTTCAGTAGGGAGAAAGTCGCACTCGCAGAGCTCAGGCGATGCTGGATTTCGGCATCAGTGTTGGCCCTTGTGGAAAGATAACTGCCCAGATAGGAGAAGTGATTGACATTTTCCAATTTTCCAACATTACACCACTGAGTTGGATTTGTAGCGCTGAAGAGGGGTTATTTTGTACTTGTTGGTGAAGCACTATGGTTTTTTGGATGTTGGGCGATAGGCCAAGCTTTTCCTAAGCTTCTGTAAAGATACGTAAGCTTCTCCACTGAAAAGCTTACTTCGGAGTGAACAGTGCACTGCATCGCACTGTTTGCTTGTTTATATATTAATATGAATGGCCCTTTGCAGTAAGGGTGGGGAGCCTTTTGCAGTCTGAGGGCCACATTCCCTTCTTGGCCACTTTCCAGGGGCCACATGGCAGTGGTGGGTGGGGCCAGGGGCAAAAGCTGGCAGGGCAATGGATGTGAATTTTTCCTTTGTGCAGTAAGCTAGTTTCTACACACAATCCTCTCTTCCTCTGTGTCCAATCATGCAAGAGGCATTATCAGAGTTCAAGAAGCAAGACAATAGGTGGGTGGCTGTCCCTACTAGGGAGACTGAGGCAACTTCCTCCAGCAGCTAATTTTAGATGTTGCAAAAAGGCTGCAAATAGTTAGTCATTAAATTTATTGTATTGTCACTTGGGTGGGGCCAAAATTAACTTGGCCAGCCTCAGATAAGATGCATCTCTTGACTTGCAGGGGATGGGGCAGCAGAGAAGTAATTGCTGCCCCCCCCCGCCGCCGCCAAGAAGCAACATTTATTCCGCTGGCTCTGGGTCACAGGTCTCTGCCTTGAGGAGCTTACAATCAATAGTTTGGCACAGCAAAGGAGGAGGTGAGGATAAACAGGGCAAGGATATGCATTCGGTCAAGGGTCAGACTGGAAGTGATGTCAGGAAGTCAGACTGGAATCCTGATAAACCATACCTGTGTGCATTTCATTACAAGCAGACACAGGGAGGAGTGAATGTAGGAACACAGGACACTTACAAATCAGATCACTGATCCATCTTGGACTTCTGCAGACCTTGGGGTTTCTCCAGACCCGCTGGTCCCTTCTTCTTGTGTGTGGGGATGCTGCCATTTTGGTTTCATCAGGATCTACCTTTGGAGAACTGATGATTTAGAATTACTTTATATACATTGTTAAGCACCAGGAAAAATATTTCTTTTCTACCGAGCCTTTGGGTTTTAATTAACTGTGCCCTCCTTCAGTGGGTGGGGTGTTTTAGTCCTGCCCTTTAAAAATATGAATGAGTTTTAGATTTAGATATGCTGGTTTAAATGTATGCTATTTATTTATTACTGTAAATCGCTGTGAGTGACTTTTGTTCTACTGCATTTTTGAATAAAAAAGTACACAGTGGTACACTAAAACAGAATGATACAAAGCAATATATGGTATGGTGGGGGCAGGGACACCATCTTAAAAAAACCCCATCCCCAAATAACATGGATATTCTGTGCATATTTTACTGAGTCTTACTCCCAAGTAAATGTGCATAGGATTGCACTAAAACATGTAGCACCAAATAGCAATTTAAAGCAGCATCAGGGTAAAGAGCAAAATAAAGACCCTCAAAAGTCCCATTTAAATAAAGGTGTGGGAGGGAAGAAACAAAAGGGGGAGAAATGATTTATGCCTTTTCAGCAGGCATAAACTGATGTTATGCGTTTGTGGGTGTCAGACACTTATAATCCTAGCAAGTGTTAAAAGCTAATCAAGCCAGGCTAGCTTCCTGATGAGGTAACTGACTGGGTGATGGGCCATTAAGAGAACAAAGGAAAGGGGCTCTGTGCCAGATGAAAAATGGATGTGGCCCCTCCTGCAGCTCTTACAATAGTTAGAGGGACAAATCTGAAGTTTTAGGGCAGAGTTTACTGTGATGTGACCTAGAGGAAAAAGCTGCTAGCTGGAAAGGCAGAGAGAGAGGGATCCATGCCTGATTTCTGCTAGAATCCAAGGCTGTAGCTATGGGAGAAGCAAGACTGTCTCGGGGTGCTAAATGCTGTGAACCCCTCCATCGCAGGCTCAGGTTGTATATATGTGTAAATAAACCATGCATCATGAAGACACCACAGTCTGCTGTGCCTCATTTCCAAAAGGAAACACAGACCTTGGGTAAATGCCTGGAACCCCTGGAATCTCAGTGCTCAGAGACTGGG